AAAAAGAAAATGCAGAACCAACCCCCTAGTGATGAAACAAGCGGTCCGTCCATCGCCCAAGCGGTCAGTGATGAAACAAGCGGTCAGTGAACTCCTTGAAAACGGAAAAAGGATCGATGTAGACTGGACGGCTGGTGTAGGTCTCGTTGCTGGTCAGTGCCCTGTAATCCAATCCCAGCGAAAGGACTTCGTTTTTTCCCCTTGCAGGCATTTTCGCATCATTCCCTAAAAATTCGATGCAGAGTGGTCTTCTTGCTCTTCCTCTTATTCGACTTGCTCTTATTCGATTTCGTGTACCAGGAATTCGATTTCGTGTACCAGGAGATTTTCCTGTACTACCAGGAGATGACCACCTCCTAGTTTCTACTTCCTTGACGCCTTGCAGCTTCCCGAGTATTGTTCTACTCCTATGTAGAAGAAGTTGTTGACTCCGAGGTGCGCCTTGTCTCATACTAGAAGAAGAACTGCTTGATCCTCTTGTTGTACTGGCGACGCCTTCTTGAACTTGATTTCCTTCATCATTTCTAAGACGCATGAAAGCCGCATTGGAACTGGCGGAACCAAAGGGGTAGATAGCCACGTCTGCATGCGCAAAGCGATCAATCGCCTCTCTTAGTCCCGTATTCGTGAAATTCTGACGGACTAGCACTATTTCTCGAAGTTTCTCGAACTCAAAAATGTTGGAGCTAGAGCTAGTATTAGAGGTATCGGGAATTCATCCCAGGGATCATCTGGGTCCCTCTTTTCTTTTGCCTTTTTCTCTCTCTCAGAGGACTTTGGAGATGAATTCCCTACACCCATAATACTAGTACTTGCTGTACTACTACAAGATGTAGTAGTATCCACGAGGACCCTATCTTCCTCGCCAACGAGTTGTACTCTTTGTCTTTCTACTGATGCTGTAGTAGATGTAGAACTACAAGTCGCATTAGAAGTCGTTGTAAAAATATCCTTTACAACTTCTACCCTTCTCGATTTAAACATGTACTCGAACAACAGTCTCAAGAGATTGGCAATGGCGCTTGTCCCTGTCTCTGACCAGACAATTCCTTCATCCCTCAAAAGGACATCAGCAAACTGCTTCGCGGAGGCAGCTATCTTTTTTTAGAGGAAATCATGACAATGACTAGCAATCATCCCCATTTTCTATCATCGGAAGATCCCGTTAAGAAAGTAGGCGATCATTATGTGAGCACGCCAGTCATCGATGGAGGTAGGTCAGGACTCACAAATCAATCCTCATGCTACAATCACTACGTGTCCCTGTGTAGACTCACAAATCAATCCTCATGCTACGATCTACGTCTCCCTGTGTAGTGAGCCTCGACCTACATACAAGATGTCATGTCATGGTGCCTCTTATATAGCTATTAGTGTCTACTCGTGAGGCCAACCAGTTGGAAAGTACCTCCGATGGAGAGCCCACCTACCGGTATAATATTTGTTGAATAGCACCAACCACAGTTCTACGTAGAAAAAATAGATACTTCATCAGACTAATACAGTTCCTCGCAGCACATAAGAATTCTTACTAAGTGACTAATACAGTTCCTCGCAGCACATAAGAATTCTTACTAAGTAACTAATACAGTTCCTCGCAGCACATAAGAATTCTTAATTAGTAACTTACCAATACAGTTCCTCGCAGCACATAAGAATACAATTGAGCGACTCGCTGAACCCGATTCGCGTCTGCATTCCACCATGGCACAAGGATACGATTGTAGCTGGCAACGAGGGCTAGGAACTCCCGTTCCTGCACCCATGCTCGTTTCAGAAAACGATCAGGAAAATGCCACGCGTACTCCTTTTTCATCATTCCCTCATAACTGCCTTCGCGTTTGATGAGGACCACATTTAGCGCTGTGGGTTTGGGTACAACTTGATGTTCCACCTCCGATGTGGCGGGTACTTGATGTTCCACCACCTCCGATGCCGATGCATTTAGCGCTGTGGGTACAACTTGTTCCACCGATGTTGTTGTTGTACTATCACCACCACCTTCAACACTAGTACCGGTAGAAATTCTATTTTGATGAAGTAGACCACGAGTTGCTGCCCTCTCTTCTGCTAGAACTGGAGACACAAACGGATTACGCGAAGTGAAAGTGCTCATCCATCTCCGAACGAGTTGCGAAGTATGTGGTTGCATCACTTCTGGGTTGTGGCTGTTAGAGGAGCGCCTAACGATTACCACCTGTAGCTGATGTTGTGAAGACATTTTTATAGCTCACTAAAGCAGGAAAAAAAAATGATCCAAGTAAGTAGATGAATTGAAATAAAAATCTGAAAATCCCTCCATAAAGCTAAGCGGAATGGTTTTGCAGAATGTGGCCGCTGGCTGTAGCCAATGCCTACTCCAAAATGTGTCCATCGGACCGTGCCACGCGATCAGTTTTACTCTAGCGTCCACTATACGTTTTGCGATCAGTGGCTCAGCTACGTGATGCTTGAAGTTGTCTGGCGCTACTTCTTCCTTCGCGGTCGATTGCTCTTTGTTGTCTAGTGTTAGTTGTATTTCTACCTTTGTGGCACCCTTAGCGCCACCCGCACCTTGCTGCTCTGGTTCTAGATGAAGTTCTTTGTTGTCTGGTGTAGGAGTTAGTTGTGCTTCTTTTCCTAATATGCCATGTGGAAGATGAATATGGTCATCTTCATGTGGGTGGAAAGAACGGTCATCAACATGTGGGTGGAAATCAAAGATGTCTCGCTTCTTTAACAACGACTTGAGCGCATGCGCATTCTCCTTTGTTTCTCCATACAACCCAGCTTGTAATTTGATATTCTGCCTCAATATTTCATACACGCGCATCGTAAAAGGGTTCATCGGGACTAGGAAGCTATTGCACATAGAGAGAAGAGAGAAAGACATTTTCTTCATCTTCTCCTCCCTATTATCTTGATCGCGCACTTTAAAGCTCAGGATTCAATGGTCACTGATGCTGAACGGAAGAGATGACCCCCTTCTTTCCCTTCGTTTTCCCCCCATCTTTCCTCAAGGGGTCGCCTCTTCGATCTCAGTGACTCCAATCTCAATGGTGACCATTGAAAGCTGAGCCTTAAGTACTAGTTCATCTTTGAGGTGGAAGACGCCGAGATTGCTTTTTACCAGTCGCCTAATTGCTTCTGAAGAAAGAATGTCCTCGAAAGTGTAGATTTCCTCTTCCTCTTCTTCCGCCCCATCTTCACTACTTTCACTCCTTGTAGTTGTACCACCTCTAGTAAAAGTGGTTGCAGAAGACGACTTTGTTCCTGAGCTGCTTTTCTTCGGAGACATTTCAATCTCGATGTCTTCCACAACAAAGTGGTCGTCGTTGTGCTTGATGTTGTGATCGTTCTTGTCCTTTTCCTCTTTTGTAGTTGTGCTTTCTTTCTCTTCCTCCTTTCTACTTTCCTCCTTTCTGAAGGTAACATGCACAATAATCCTTGCCAATTTTTCGAGGGACCATAGGAAGGCTGGCAAAACGTCGGACATGAAATGGCCGAAAGCGAACGGAAATTCTCGCACAGCATTCACTATACAATTGCTTCTCTGTCGATTGCGAGGAGAGAGGATTTTTGGTTCGTGTCGTTCATGATGTTCCACTAGTTTTGTTTTAGACAAGGCCTCTGCTTGTGTGCCTTTCATCTTCGTTGCCTGTACTAGAGCCACGTCCGGACGACCTCCAAGTCCATCTTGCCCGTTTTTCGCCGGCTCTGCACTCACCTCCTTGTGTTCCTCTACAGCCGCAGCCCCAGTACTGACACCAGTTTCTCGATCACGCAAAGTTACCGTACCACCACAATATTCACCAGACAAGTCTGTTTCGGAGGTTAGCGTTAGATTCACCACCGTAGGCTTACAACCCCACCACCCGTGATCCGCATTAGGAGGTTTCGCATAACGATTCGTTCGTTGCAGTTGCAACCAATGGGTGTGTTAGAGAAGGTCCAGGCTGATGCTGGAGTGATGACAGACAGTTGCGTCGAAGATGAATGAACAGCTACAACACATTCCATCTTCGTGAAGATCATAAGTGTCATTATACAGCACTCCAACATGATGCGGCCGCTGCTTCCGCGACACAAAACGCCAAAAAAAGTCCAATCTGCCACCACCATCTCCGATTGCGCGGTCACTCACGTAGAAACCTCCACTGTAGTGCGCTAAGAGGTAGTCTCGCGCACAAGGACGATGATCTAGGTATTCGGAGATGGAGTTCGCCTTCATCTTGGCTACTGTAGTTTCGTTACTATTTCTTCTTTCTCCATCCCTTCTACGACCCTGTGAATTAGATTCAATCGAGGTAGCATCCGAGGATGCTTCCAGCGTTCCAGCTGTACCATGAGGACTTGAGGAAAGTGAAATGTCCGTCCGACATTCCTCCCAACGCCCATGCCATGGAGGCTCTCCTGTAAAAGCGGTCTCTTCTTCGGATTCTACTGCTGCGCAAAACCCAGAATGCAAATGGGAGATCGTCTCACGATAGTACCTTTATTTTGTTATTGCAGACGGATCTTGATGAAAAACGAAAACCTTTGTTCTGAGTTAGTACCTACAACAGGCAGTTAGCGGGGTCTTCTAGTATGTATGTATGTGCCCCTGTTATGGTCATTCTCGACCACCCTAGAGACCAGATGGCGGGCGATACCAAGATCGACACCCCCACTAGTCGTACTTGCGCTCTTAGTGGTCTCATTACATTTGTGTCAGCTGCAGAGACTAACACTTCTGAAGTACACCTCTCCCGCGATCCATGCTTATCAGACGTCAGTCGTTCCGCATATATCTGCTCACCTCCAGTAGGGACGCCCTCCAGAGCCTCCCGTTCATGCACGTCGCTAGTATAAACTTCGCTACTCTGCTGGAGGCTCTCATTTTTGCGATAATGTTAGAGAATGAAGAGAACCATTCTTGCATAAGTTTCATCCAGCATCATAGTCTCTTTTTTAGTGCATTGCTAGCATTCCTCTTTTTAGATTGCATATGGTGCTATGATGCTGGTACTTAGGGGACGAGCGACCCTGTCATGAAGGAGATGGTTTTTCTATAATAAGGTTGGTGGAGCATATCTAACTAGAAAAAACAAAAACCGAAACGAGAAAAGTCAGGCAAGAACATATCTACTACTAACTAAGCGCCGGCGCTGTCGTGGTCCTGTCAGCCCCAGAGGTCTCACCTTATAATAAGTGTAGAAAGTTCATCCATATCTTTCTTCCCACGCCTCAACCATGGCCTCGACTGAGTGGTAGCAGCACTTACTCCGTATCCTGGTGTGAAAGTCGTAATGGCCAGGTGAGTCATCGATACAAAGGCCTGCACGACCTACAGAAACTGGCTTCTTGAAGGGCGGATCTGGTAGGATGCCAGAAGATGAACTCGCCACTTCTGCGGGCGGTAAGGGATCTGGTAGGATGCCAGAAGATGAACTCGCCACTCCTGCGGGCGGTAGAGCAAAAGCAAGTAACGCCAGCATCCTCAGAGTCAACGAGTTTTTCGCGTTGACGACATCTTGGTAAAAACTCGCAAAGAAATGAAAATCAAAAAAGGGCACATGTGTATCCGAGGGAATGGGAAACAAGTTAGTAGATGTCAAATATCATTTAGTGTTAGGCCAAGTTCATCAGCAGAAGCGAGAAACGTGAAGATGTCATCATTGATTTATTACATAGATACTTCCCTCCGTAGTTAATCACTTGCCCTCCTCACTCTTTTTCACAGGGTCACTTTCTCTTGCCTCTGTGCTCTCCGTTGTGCCAAACACAAACTCAGGTTCAAACAAGAGACGACCACGGACTGGAACAATTGGTTTGCATGTCAAGAAAAGCGTACCTGCTTGCGCATTCCGAGGGCCTGATACACTTACTCTTGACAACATCAAAAAGACTTCTTAGTCTTCACCCAACTCATACGATCTATGACCTTACTACTTCGTAGAAGCTGTCCATCTTACTTCGTAGAAGCTGTCTGTGGGACTAAGGTTTCAAAAGTTGATAAATCTTGGATATTCCTAGGTTTCTCCCCTGCACGCATCGCGATAACATGGGCCTGCACGTCATCCACCAGCTTTTGCGCGGCGCCGGATAGGACAGAAAGGGAGTTGGGATTAGAAGATGGATTTACACGACGGACAAAGTAGAAACAAATAGTCTACTAAACAATTTGCCATGACTCGTGGAGTAGCACCTAATTTCGGCGGAAAAACTTCAGTCATATCAACCGGGGAGTTTTTACCTTCAAACATCGGAAACTAGAACCGTCCAGCCGAAACTAACCAGACCAACAAGGCCCGAAGGGGCATGGCAGGGACCCCATGGACGGTGCTGCACACCCTAACAAGACGCCAAGGCTGCAGAGGGATCAAGATGCCGACGCCCCCCCCCGGTGAGCGTCAGCGCGCCACACGATAAAGAGCCCCCTCAGCATGTGGCCCTTAGCATAATCCCCGAACCCCAGAGCACACGGCCAGCAGTCAGGACGGCGCGTACCCCTCCAGCAGCTACTCCCATTCCCCGAGCAAGCAGAAACAAGCGCGCTACGCCGCAAAGAAATTCAGCTCCCCAACCCTGGACGACAATGAGAGGCCGACTGCTACGCAAAGCGACCTTGGAAGAGCTTGAGCCCAACAATGGGCCGCCCATTGCATCCCGCACAAACACAGAACAGAGCCTGCGCCACCAACTTCCAAGCCTGAGGGAGGCACCCCCTCAACTCCGACAGTTGAATTCTCAGTCCCGCGCCTGCAAAAAGTCTGGCGTTCGAGCTCGAACGCCAGGACTTCAAAACCCCTGATGCTAGGCTCCTTAGATTTCTGAGAGAGGGCAAAAGTCTGGCGTTCGAGTCGAACGCCAGGGTGTTTTCCTGTCCACAGACCGAACGAGTGGCCCCTGCTGCGTCAGTGTTTGGACAGGAAAAACCTCTGGGGTTCCACTCGAACGCCAGACTTTTGAACAGTCCCAGAAATTGGCCATGGTCGTCGTCGAAGGTTCTCAAATCCTGGCGTTCGAGCTCGAACGCCAGACTTTTTTCAGTCTCAGAACTGAGATTTTCCTGAGACTTGCCGCTCCCTTGCTGGTCACGGCTTAGGCAAATCGGCCCCAAGGCCTGGGGTGCGGGGCAGCACCCTGTGGCTGTCTGCGTGCCTCACGGCGCATCCACGTATCCACCCCGGCGCGAAGAAGCACTGCACGGCCACCCCGTCCGGCCCATACCATGACCAGGCGCGTGCGCCACGCCGCGTGACACCGTCTACGCACCCGCCGCCGCCACACAATGGAACCGCCGCGCCAGGGGCAGCACGGGAGCCGGCGCACCGGTCCAGCACAAGGGCGCCGCTACAGACGCGGCCCGGCGCGTGTCAATCGAGGCCTGCGGAGGTTCGATGAGTTGGGGGATGGGCAGCACCCCCCAAAAGTCAACCCTACCGCGGGGCGCCCGCGTTGTAGTTCTAGCGATTGCGCACACCCTCAGCCCGGTTGGACAGCGCGAGCAAAGTGGAAGGCAGTGGCCTGACTCCAGCGGGCGCGTACTAGATGCGTCGCGTTGTCGCCATTATTCGCCTAGTAGACTCTACTGAAGTTTTTCCGCCGACGGAACGTTCTAGGAACACAAGTCATGCAATTTGCGTTTTTCCGTCTTTCGCCTTCCACTGAAGTCATCTCATTATAAGAAACATCTGCATTCCGCCACACTAATCAAAAGAAGCTAGACGTACGAGCAGAGCAAAATTACAATATCAAACGTCTACGACTAAGACCACTTAAAAATAAAAGTGAATAATAATAAGATGAGCCTAGGACTTTCTAAGATCAGTATTTCGGTGGAGTGATAACCCAAAACTAAAATTTCTTTTCAACATAATTATCGCTTCCTCCACTGCTGATCTGACACTGCGATTCTTCGCGTCATTCTCTCGCGTTTTATGCGCCACATCTATCAGCTTCCGCGCTTTCTTCGCTACCGCTTGTAGACTATCAGCTGATTCCGAAACGTCTGGATCCTCTACTTTTTGCAGAGAGGTCTCTTTAGCTGCTTTCGTAGAAGGTGTAAATGATGATGTTCTTCTCCTTGTTGCTTGCTGATGGAAAGCGTCGTCCTCATTGTAATTGCAATTGCTCGTAGTTGTATTTCGTGAGAGAGTCAGGGACGAAGCAAAAGACGACTGTGACCGTGATGAATGTCCTGGTCCAAGCAGCCGGAAATCGGAAAACAAGAGGTGGTCCACCAACCTCATGCTCGACATGGTTTTTTGCTTTGTTGAAGTGAGAAGCTAGGCGGACGGTAGACATTCGGTATCAAGGTTCGACTCCTTAATCAACATCGAGATTATCAACTCCAAACTGCAAGGGGCAGGGGGTATGTCCGAATCAGAGGGGAAAGACGCGACAGAAGCACTTCATGATGACAGATACTTATGTAAGTACACCGATCCTCATGATCACCGGAATTCGGCACAACCAGACGGGGCCCCGAGACCGATTATATGACTTCGGCACAGAAAGTTAGCTTCTCTCCTGAGACCGAAACGTACAACTATGACCAAGTTGATTTTTTTTTCGAGGACAGCCGAAAAAAGTGAGAAAACCTCTCCGGAAAAAGTGGGTTTCAACAAATCCAATCACTACATTTGCTTGTTGACATAGTAAGTACTTCCCAATCAGTATATATAATCTTCCACGTGTTTAGAGTAACGTAAGGTACCCTGCTGGGTCAATCACTTACAGTCGGGAAAAACAGTTTATGCGGCGCGAAAAAATTGTTCTCAGTCCCCCGTCAGCATTTTCTCTTTTATGTGTCTTAGCAAAAAAAAAACTTGGTTCTGATCATATTGATCTCTACTACGACTCGAAACACGATCAAGGCAGTCCCATAGCGCATCTGCTCTGGAGGTCATTCTAAAGCAGAGCCAGACGCTTTCTGTCTCGACAAGATTTTATGACTGTATGAGAGGAGACGAACAAAGAAGTAACGGCCAAAGCGAGCTGATGAGAGATCAATTAGACCAGATCCGGCTACTGAGTGAATGCTTTACTTATGATCAAGCGGTAAGAACATGTTGATCAAGAAACAAATAATATAGTATGCCAAGAAATAACATAGAGTGGGTGTTATTTCATCAGGGCACAGGGGTTGACGCTCTGTTCGAGAGTAGCGTCGAATTTTCAGCTGAGCTAGCTAGCATCATTACCATTACGTAGGCCTCAACCTAGGTCGCATCTTCAATTTCTCTTTTTGCCAGTCGTTTCTTCCTCTTGTACTTTCCCAGGACAGCAGATTCGTAGGCGGCGACAACAGCGCGTGCTCCTTCTCTCCTACTTGCAATGGTGTTTTCTTTCCCACCACGATACATGCCTTCAAATTCCCTAACGTAACCCAGCGACGCTCGGTGATTGTGAGATGAAAACACTTCCCATGAGGTGCTGCCACTGTTACGCTTAACAGATGTTCACAAAGAGAATCTAGATTTTCGGCACTTGTCAGAAGGACGAACCGTCCCTTGTCAGGCTTCAAAATCCGAACCAAAAAGTTCGCAAAACCCGGATGCAATCGGTCGTGGTTGTCTGCTACGCAGCCAAACTGCTTTCCAAAGGGCAAATCACAGAGGACGGCGTCGACGTGAGAAAGAGAAGCTTGGAGTATGTCATCCTTCAGGTCTGTCACCTCCAGAGAGTCCTGGAAATTTCCTTGGATAACAGTGAACGAGGTCTTCTGCTGCGAGTCTTCTTGTCGACTAGCAAGTCTCACTTCCGCTGCTAGTACTTTGTTACCATCAGTACTAGATTGGAGGCTTTTACTCGTTCCACTTTTCGTGGCCAATAGCCCATGTTTCGCTTTCAAGTCGGCTGTTAGTTTGAGGATTTCTTCACTTTTCACCTTGTCCTGACACTCCTCTTTGGAATACGAAGGCGACAGGACCTCCAATCTCGGTCCTCCTCTTAGGACCTCCAATCTCGGTCTAATCTGATGCGATTCCGCGTTGACCAAACAACCTGCGACTTGTTCTTCGCTTTGATCGATGCCGATTAGTCTACTGCTCGTTGGAGCAAAATTCGTTGATGTTGAAACCGCGCGTTCCGCACGTAGTTGTTGTTGTAGGAAAGGCAAGGTCTCTAATAGCAGTCCTCCCTTTCCGCACATGGGATCTAGGACAGTTTCGCCAGGTTTTAGGTCTAGAGAACGCGCCATAGCAAAGCAAACTGGACGGGAGAGGCCACTAACGTGGTAGCAAGCACGACCGCCGTGTGATGATGTGGCTCTAGTGGGAGCCTCAGCAGGACTACGACGTTTAATATCTCCTTCTAGTAGAGAGTCACTTGTTCTTTCTAGACCATGATCTTCAGCAATATTCTCCCCACCAGATGACTGAAAAATCGGAATATGCACTAAAATTTCCTCTTCGTTGACTACCAGAGCAACCTCCAAATCAAAATTCTCCATCTGTGCCTTCAACCCTGGCTCAATATTCAGCACAATGCCAGCCGTTTTCCGACATAAGTCTGCAGTTGAGAGGGAGATCAGTGGAGAGCCTTGTTCTTGTTGAGCTTGAGAAGTAGATGTTTCTTGTTGAGAAGTAGTTGTAGATGTCGATGATATTAATGTTGTTTCACAAGAAGAGTTCCCCGATGACGAACCGTGACGATTCTCATTCTCCTGTTTCATCCTCGTGCCGTCGAGTGCTCTTCTCTTGAACTTACTCTTCTGGCACGATATCCGAAAACTCTGTGGACGTTTCTTGGCATCTCCATGTGCATGAGAATGTACCATACCCCAAAGCTCCATCGCCTCTTCCCACTTCGCACTTAGCTCTTCTGCGATGAAAGTGAGTAGTCTTTCGTTACGGTCTTCGAGGGTGGAAGTAGGTCTATCATCAGTACTAGGAGTACTTGTAGGAGAACTTAGTGTACTAGTCTCATCTTCACATTCACGAGATGAACCTTTAATATCATTGTTGTTATCTGTTGACAGGTTGTCCGGCGTCGAACAAGCAGTTGAAGCTGCGCCGGGACTCTGTAACAAGATTGGGCTACTTGTTGTGGAGGAAGAACTACTCGAAGAACGCTCGTTGTCGTTTAGGCAACTTTTCTCTGCAGAAACTATAGTCAGCAAGGGATGCGCCTGAGCTATGACGAAGCTCACTTTTTCTGCGAATCTGAGATCAGGCAAGGATTCCGAGACAAACTTCTCTAAGGAAGACGATCGTCCCTCTTCTTCGGCATCACACCTAAAACAAGTTTCAAAGTAGGCTCTTCCCTGCCGCATCCGCAGATTTTTCCTCTGCCCCGATTGCGCGACTACTCGATGCAGCTCAGAGAGTGCGTATTCCCGACAGCCCACACCACTAGCGTAGGAAGCAGTCCACTGCTGTGCTTTCCTCCTAGACCAATAGTGTGTGCTTCCCGTGGTGCCGTCCGTAGACGCAGTTGCCATCCTGTTGGACGAGTCCATGGTATCCATACAGTAGTACTTGATGTTCCCGTTTTCGACGTAGTCCTGTCCATGCATGTACTTGATGTTCTTCCCGTTTTCGACGTAGTGGACGAGTCGGAGGTATAAAAATTTTTATCTGGTGTTGTACTAGTTGAGTAGTTGATGTTCGCAAGGAGCTGCTAGAAGGTCGTGAGGGTGTAGCTGTAGAAGTTGATGTTGTGGAGTCTATCGAAGCGACCAATAGTGTGTGCTTCCCGTGGTTGCCATCCTGTCGACGTAGTTTCGTATTTTTGCTAGGGTACTATAGTTTTCTTTACGATTCTACCTTGTGAAAACTAACGGTCGTGATGACATAATTTTCCAATGCGATAGTAGTGGTTTTGCGAATGTAAAAATTACGTAAGTTTGGACATGCTCTTCTCCTGCATTTGGCTGTGGAACTTTTCATATTTTCACGTGGGCATCATCGCAAAAATGTTGCACCTGTATTCATTCGTTCACTCATTTACCTAGCACGAGGTGTTGTAAGTCCAGATCTCACTCTCGTAACCCACTGCCATGATCCATGACCACTAGTAGACACCTGTTTTGGTAAACCGCTTGTACTGCTAGTACCTTGGATTTGTGACTTACGATGATCTTCTAGCAGAACGCATTGATCTTCTCGGAAAAATGATTTATTAGATGTTCGAGTTTTCACAGGTTCTCATGTTTGGAATCTTAGGGAAAGGCATTGGGGACGAAGCGGGTTGTCATAGTTCAAGCCTGTGACTCTTTTACGATATCTATCTTAACTGGAACTGTAAAGAAAGAGGGCTGCGACTGATTTCGTGACTGCTTTCAGCGTATCACCAGTGCGCGTAGCTTGTGTCAGAACTTCTTCCGATCTTTATAACCATATACTATAAGGAGCGTGGTGGCCGAAAGGGTTTCTATCTGTCAGAAATACTTACTATCTTCCCTGCTCTTCATTCATGTATCATGGTCCGAAGACTACAGTGCCGCAATTCAGCTAGCTTTTCATATCTTTGATTTTTTGTCCCCATGAGGAACCGCCATCGTGTGCTTTGATGATATGCTGCACCTCTTTTTCAGCCGCTTCTCGTGAATATTAGAAGAAAAACTTCTGAGAAACTACAAGTTGTGTGAAACTCCTTGTTTTTTGTAGAGAGAGAGAAATGAAAATGATCGCTGTGGACTACATTGAGCAGAACGAAGTGCACTGAAATCAATGTTATAATTCGAATGATTTTTAGGCAAAGTCGTGCATCAAGTTCAACCTACAGGAATTTCTACAGGTACAACTTACAGTTGTGTCTGAGTATCCACACTTTCCGTGGAAAAGAAACTACGAATGATTGAATAAGTACCCGAATTAATATAGTCTAAGCACTATACCCGAAAAATCGTCATTAAATCCGCGTCGAATATTCAATACCCGAATTATAGTCCTCTAAGCACTAGTTGAATACCCGAGTCAATATAGTAATACCCGAATTAATATAGTATAAGCACTACTAGTCTAGTGGTCTTTTTAAACAGAAGAATGATTGAATCCATGTCGTCTTAAGTGTAATCCGGAATCGTCCTCAAATCCTTTCCCACCTTCTCTACTCGCGCAGGATGAGTCGGATCCGCGAATAGGCCAATCAACGCAACAGCGACTGAGGGCAGCCCCATCGTCGTGACCCACCCTTTTGGGGTCAAAAGCTCGAAACAGATGGCACCTGTTGTAAGCAATAAATACTGACTGAAATAAGGGGCGTAGCTTATAACGTCAAGGCTACTCTTCCTTCTCGTCAGTCTCGTCTCGGTTATTCGGATGATCAGGAGTTACTTCTTGCTTATTTCAGTTTTATTTCGATGAATACCCTAACTCTCGCTGAGGATGCGAAGAAGGCAGTCAAAATGAACCTGCTCAACGGTAAAGTTTATACTTATACTAGTACTTACCACTACGAAAGACGAATCCTCCTTGAATCTTCGGATGCAAAACTCGGACCATAGGTGGCACCATCGGAAATTTTTCTGGAATATTCACTTCAAAACGGATACCCTCTAAGTTCTGTTCTTCACAGTCCTTGCGTAATTTCGAATCCTTGTCCATGCCTGAAAGGAGATTTAGATGTTACGCAGGTTTGGATATGTAGTAGTAGTAGTAGTGTACCCATTCATGGGGTATGAAAGACCGTTTAATTAGATGTGCACTGTTTTGCAGGTACGGCTTCTTTCTCTACTCCTCTTTCCTTTTTCCTTTGCTGAGTGCTACTGCTGGTTTCCAGTAAGACAATAACGGAATAAAGAAGCATAGTTAGAGTACTAGAATAGGCCAACGAATGAATAAAAAGAAAAGTGCTTCGAATCAATAAAAACCCTCTGGCATTACCTTTCGTCTCATACGAGAGACTTCAAGCTATAGTAGACACTACGTCTCATAGACCTCCATCAGCATTTTAAGCAAGTTAGGAGTAGTACTTAAAAATACTTATAGTACCTTTCGTCTCATACACCACCTCAAATCTTGACAGGTCCCAAAGTACAGGCTTCTCCCATCGCATGTCCGTCTGAGGGACACAAAATATCCTCTTGCATTCGCCGATCATCCTTGTACAATACTGCTGAGGCTTCCCATCGAGGTTAACATTGTCCCACCATGGCAATTCTTGGGGCTTTTTCAGTACTGTTGATGCGCCACCTGCTGCGGCGGCAGCACTGTTTTCTGCAGTGTGTGTGTGTGTGTGTGTGTGTCCCTGATCCCGTAATAAATTCCCTACAGAACAAAAGTTTAGTATCAGGTCAAACATTGCTCGTAGGGCTGACATTTAAGGACTTACGGAAATCCATGGGAGGCTTTAGAATTAGAATTAGGTGTAGTCTTGAGAGTAGAATGAGGTGTAGTCTAAAAGGCAGAGGAATTCTCATGCAGTGTTTGTAGTACTGTTTGCAGCTTCTGCAGTGTTTGTAGTATTAGAGGTAGGTTTTTGGTGATTGCTTACCCCGCTTTTTATGCCTTTCTCATCCTAAGGGAGAGAGGCATAAAAAGCGGTAAGAAAAGCACCTTTAACCTACCCTTAATAGTACTCAAAGCACTAGACGAAGCACCAGATGCGCTTGCTGTAGCACCAGTCTTGTTGTTGTTGTTGGCGGTACTAGATGAACTTGCTGTAGCACCAGTCTTGTTGTTGTTGGCGGTACTAGATGAACTTGCTGTAGCACCAGTCTTGTTGTTGTTCCCGGTACTAGATGAACTTGCTGTAGCACCAGTCTTGTTGTTGTTGGCGGCAGAAGACGATGAGCTCGATGATGAACTGCCCGCAGCGGACTTATTTGCAGAGATATTAACGGATCCCTGAGTGACAGAATGATATTGTCTTCGTTTTTTCCTAAACATTGGAGAAGAGTAGAAGGTTGATGCACACTAACTACAATCGTGATAGATTGATTATGGTGCATGCTGCTGCTATAAGTTAGTCTTTTCTTTTTGTTAAGTACAAGAGCATCATGATTCACTTGTTTCCTCTGGTTTCACCACAAAAAATAAAATTGCTTGAAAAAATTACGGTCCCAACATATGAGTACAACATGTGCCGCATCCTTCTTCGGCTTCTTGCTTCCGGCACGTGGAGGCGTCGGGGAGTCCAACTCTATCACATCTGTCGAGGCACGCTTCATTTTTTACTAGCTTTTATCACACAGGCTGACAATATAAGGAAAAAAAGAAAAAGCAAAAACAAACCGAGTAGAAGCTGTTTCTTATGCACATAAATTCTGGTGAATTCGAAAGTATTCTTGTCTACTCCTGCACATAAAACACTGGTGGAGCACGTCGATCTACGAAACAAAATTACATAAAAAATGAAATTTGTCTGATTAAAAAACTTGTTTAGTGGCCACGTTTATGTTAGGACGATCCGTATATTCTACTCCTGCACATAAAAGTATTTTCATGTCGAGCCGCTTGATGCACTTCGGTGCGAGCAGTACTGCAAGGCAAAACAGTAACTAATGTAGTAAGTGCAAATAACAAAATATACACCAGCACTTGTCCATTGAAGATATTGATCTTCATTTGTGCTTCCATCAACATGAGTCTGAGAAGACTTCGCGGTTCTTGTCCACATTAAAACTGCCATTATAGTGCTGACATCTGAATCACATCGAAGACAGATCGAGGACTATGGTTTGTGAATAAGGGTTTCCTTGGGATCGGGTCAAAATTGTTGTAAATATAAGCACTACTCTATTGGAAGAGTGCTAGAGAAGGGTTAGATGTACTGCCAAACCGGTGTAGCGAATACACCTGATGTATGAACAGTAGATGCGATAATTCTATGCTTACCGATTTTTTTTAGTGGTGTTTGTCACCTTGCTCCAGCGTCAATATCCTCTCAAGTTCTTGAACTGCACTTTTCGTCGACGATGCATCCCAATTCCCCTTTAATTTGTTCTCTAATGTCTCCGTCTGGTCCTCCTAGACACCCAAGGTCTTGCCTTGGTACGTAAGGCACGTCTCGCCTTCCTTAGCCTCATATTCCTCAAAGGCATTATTCGCCTCCGTGCGCAATTCAGAACAAAGAAAAAACGGACCTTCAGCCTCAAAGAAATCGTGAGATGAAAAACTTGAACAAGAAACGAAGAGTGACTACTTAACATGAACTTTCCTGTTTTACTGGATTGATTGAAAAAGAAATTGATCTTTTGATTCCATTGGCATCAGTCTTCAAGAACTTACGCGGCCTCACTGACACACCTTACGCGGCCACATGTGTTAGCATGTCCAACATTCCAAAAAAACGAAAACAACCGCACGGAGGCGATCATCCATCAATCAACCCGCAAGCAACGGGATCTAAACTCCGCACGGCGGATCATTTTTCTGGGCTGAACTTGAAATTCAAAGTTTTGTAACACTGCCACGTCGGGGTAGCGGATAACTCGGCTCGACTCATTTATGAGCAGATGAGGATGTGGATTCTGAAATATGACTTTGCAAATGTTACTGCGAACTTGGGGGATAGTCAGATCCTAGGTCTAGTATGGGGATACACATACATAGATGTCTTCTTTCACAAGTAGATAGGGGTTGTGATGGGGCAACCAACCAAACACGTCGCAACTGTGTTGATGTAAATAACTTCATCTCGTATTAGTAATCACTACCATTTAACGCCTACTACAGGGTAGGACACCGCATGGTCAGACCTCCTAGTCGTCTTTCTTACAAGTTATTCAGTCATGAAGGTTTTACGACATGTTCATGTTTCGAACTGCCAGATTTCTCGAACTAAGACATTATGTAACAGCTTACGTGGCTTCAGTTAAATACCGTTCGCAATCAACAACCGTGGAGAGAAGATATCTTCAAAGTGAGCTTTAGATTGTGTTATGAGTTAAAATACCGGAGAATTCACATATATTCTTGCTCGTAGGTAATCGGCCATGAGTGACACTAACAATGAATCCAAAAGGTATTTTTCTACAAATCCGCAACTGAAAAGTATTCATAGAAATCTTCTATATATATTGACTTCTGACGACTAAAAAGTGCTGAAGCTTATTCATCTATCACTGAGTGACAATTTCTATGAAAAGTACTTGTTGATTCATAGTTCTAGATCTAATATGTTTTTCTGCTTTAAATCTGATGACATTTAGAGACTGGCCGGACTTGACATCTTGTTCGTACTAGGAAAATAGATCGGGTGGAGAATTTTCTCTCGAACCACTCACGATCTTGATGATATAAAAAAAAATTGACCTCCTTCTAGGTCTCCAATTTGACCTCACTTGTGATGACTCACTTTTCTAATCCTAAATACCGTATTTAGTAGTAGTCACTTTGTCTCCATCTTCTCGGAGTCACTCTACTTTCCTCCTGGATACCTGGTAGCATTGGCAGCCTGTTGCAATTGCGCAGCTAACTCGTCACGCAACTTGACTACCTTCTCCAATTCGCGATCGGGCACGCCGACGCCTCCGCCGCGAAGATCATTAGTAGAGCTCAAAAAAGCGATTCCGATTCATGATCCTTTCCTAAGGTGTTGGTGTTCATTTCTCAACTTCCTAAGAATGTGTGCTGTTGTGGAGAGGACTAGTACCTAAGAAGGAAACATGGAAAAAAGACACGACTTGCAAAAGAAAATGGATCACAACTGAGCCTTAAGATCAGCTCCTCCTCCACCACCTCTAGGAGGACTCCTCCTTCTACCCGGTGATCGACTCCGTGGACCTCTAGTGCCTCCTTTAGCATTTCCACCACCGCGACTTCCCTTATCTCCATACTCGAAGGTCTCGAAATTGCCGTAACGCTGCTCTCTGCCTCCTTTGCCGCTGTGGTCCTTGGCACTCATGGCCCGTTGTATGTTAGAGTGATACTAGTAGAGCTTGTTAAGTACCTAGAAGAAAGATTCCTCAACATAAAGATTCATCAATTATTGACTCATCTTGGAAGGCAACAACTTTTACGTGTTTCTGTTTTCCCCTTGAGAAAGAAAAGAGTCTAGGTCAAACAAGATCCCTCTACAAGGAGGTTTGGTGACCTGAGTTGTAAAGTCCCTGATAATCTTCATGATGAATTCCCACATCAAGGAAGTCTTAAGTAAAACTTCCGCTCGCACGTCTCCTCTGCTACCTGCACCGTGTAGAGGCGTGCCCCTACTGGACCCTGTTCCACGAGGTGTGTAGTCGCCACTAAACAAATCGTTCCGAGAAGCAACTACTGGAATATCCGGAGGACCTCCTCTTCTGGAGGTTCCTGCGCCACTAGAATAGTTGTCATGCTGGTGGCCATGGTCGCCACGTCTGGAACCCGTGGTGCCGTCGTGGTGCAAATTAGAGGAGGAACGGTCGAAGCATTGTTTATCATGTTCATTCATTTTTCATTTACCAGTAGTTCTATCTTCTACTAGTGTTGCTGCAGTTGTATCTTCTACTAAGCATGAAGATTGATTGGAAAGTTTACTTATGTCTTTACTATATGAATCCTGAGCAGCCCTTCTCCTTCATAATCACAAATCCATGGTCTCTGGGTATATTGCCATGCCTAGTGGTTCTATCTCCATGTCGAGTGGTTCTATCTCCATGCCTAGTGGTTCTATCTCCATGCCGAGTGGTTCTATCTCCACGTTCTGCGTGTATGCCGCGGTCACCGTGTCTGGTGGTCCGTTCACCTCCTCCACGTGGCTATTAGAGCGCACCATTATGATCCGTCTTCGGATAGTACATCCTGGAGGGTGCCTTTTCGTCCCCTTGAAAAGCGCACTCTCAAGGATGTCGTTCAAAGAGGTGAACGATGATGATGTTAGTCGATTCGGACTGGACCTACGACTTCCCTTCAAAAAGAATCTTGATGTTCGTGCATATATTTTTTGCGCTTATGCTCCTTTTCTACGCATGAGGTAAGGTGTTCCGGTTGATGTTGAATTTATAAGGATATAAGCCTTAAGGCAAACTACGTCTACCACCACTGCGTCTGGGACTTCGATGTCGCCGTTCTTGTTGTCCAGGTCCAGCGGGACTTCTTATTTGTGCAGGTGGCGCAGCAGGAGCAGCAAAGTTGAAGTTGTCCCTTCTAGGGGTAGTTCCCCCGTTTCGAGCAGCCGGTCTAAAGATTTCCACCTTAGTCGCACAAAGCTGTCCAGACTCGTGGCGGCCGCAAGTGAACATGACCAAAGCGGTCTCACGCATTTCAGCCTAAGGTGTCCGAGTTGAAGAGGAGAGAAGGATGGAAATTAATCTTATGATAGATCGTACCTAAATGATCCTCTGTATAAATAGAAATCAAATAAGTACTAGTACCCCTCCATTCGGAAACTCGTTGACACTGGCGAATATGGACCGACTTTCGGTGATACAGTCTACGACGCACATGTCCTGGGATACCCATGCGATTTCACCAGCATATCTTTGTCCTACCACCAACGTATCTTAGAAGAGGTCCTTATACTGAATTGCATTCTAATCTTCGGAACATCCCTGGTGACCACGTAAAAATATCTTCTTCTTGAAAATAGTGGATGCGAATGCAGAATGCAAACATGTGGAAACTATCGTCCGTAAGTATCCCTAGTACTGCTTGGCGGGTCTCGCTCTCGCACACTGCCTCCTCCTCCTCGTGGAATATTAGAGGTAGGTTTTTGGTGCTCGCTTAACCCGCTTGTTATGCCCTTCTCCTCCTAAGCGAGAGAGGCATAAAAAGCGGTAAGAAAAGCACCTTTAACCTACCCTTAAGAATATTGTCTCTGTTAATCTCTCCAGAGGAATTGTACGCAGCAGACCGAGAGCTCCCAGGGCCACTGCCAATAGTGGGTAAGCCGCGGGTTCGCTCTCGCGATCTTCGGTTCAGATCTGACACTCCAGAAGTGCCGTACTTCTGCTCTGGCCCACAATACAATGGGCCATGAGGGCGATCGGTCAGACGTCTGTCTAGAAGAGGTTCATCTCCTCTTCTCTCAGGTTCACGACGATCTAGAACAGGTTCTCCGCGCCTATCTAGAACAGGTTCTCCCCCTCGTCGATCACCTTGTTCTCCGCGAGCACTGTAAGGCGCACCACGTGGTCTATCATGAAGATCTACTTCTCTCAGAGGATTATAAGTAGTCGGCACGTTCCAGTTTCGATCACGAGGGGAGTAGTTGTAGCTGCTCCCTCCATCAGCACGGGCAACAAGTCTACCTTTATGACAGGAAAAAGTGTACTCATTTATTCAAGAAAAGAGGCTTTTCCCTACTCAGAAAGTGGCTACTTTCTTGAGGATGAGTACACTTTTTCATCGCTTCATAACCTTCTCTGGTACAACCATATTGTTCACCGCCACCAACAGCATCTCTGCCATCCCTAGTACTAACCCCACCTCGAGCTCCTCTACCACTATCTTTCGGAGCATAAGGAGGTATATAAGTTCCAGCCGCTCCTCTACCACTATCTTTCGGAGCATAAGGAGGTATATAAGTTCCATCCGCATTGAGTCTACTCGAGTCGATCACACGGACACTGGAGGCCATGAATCGTTCCGCGTTTCGGTGGTCTCGGCTTAGCCGGAACTCCACTCCTTGCCCGGGTCGCATCTGCATCGCATCATGACGAGTTGCGAACTCGTTTACGTGGAGGAAAACGTCGAAGGTTAGAAAAGGAAGGTTAGAAAAGAAGCGGAGCAACCCATTCGTCTACGCTGCCTGCAGTTGCCCTAGCTAGGCACAGATGGATCACTTCTACGCTGCCTTCGGTTGCCCTAGCTAGGCACAGAAAGAAAACAAGTCAAGAACACAACTACATCTTGTCTTGTCTAACAGTAAAAACAACAGCTTGTCAATGCAGAGGCAAAAACTTGAACTTTCTCAAGTCATCTTGTCATGTCATGGAACCTCGTTTGTAGCTGTGCATGTAGGATAGAAGCTGTGCATGTCTACCTGTGAGCTCATAGTCATCTTCTTACAAGCGGCCATAACTGAATATACAAACTATCCGGCCGCTCCACACGGTAGTGGCGGGATACAAAACAGCAATCCGCATTTGGCATTACGCGTTGGATCTCTCCGATATATCGGTCACCTGGGTTCCCATTGCAAAACTGATTCAAACTAAGTACATGAAACTACGTCTGACGGACAAGAATAATCCGATTGCAAAACTGATTCAAACTAAGTACATGAGCAAAATTGACAAGAATAATCCGATTGCAAAACTGATTCAAACTAAGTACATGAAACTGCAAAATTGACAACAATAATCCGATTGCAAAACTGATTCAAACTAAGTACATGAAACTACGTATTCAGTAATCTTCCCATTGCAAAACTGATTTACATGAAACTACGTCTACGTCAGAGATCTTTCTTACGTCTACGTCTACGTAGAAACGCTTCTCACAAAGAGGGGAACTCTAACAATTACCTTCAATCATTCTATCCCTAGCCAATGAGAACGGCATTTTGTTGATGCTCCTTTGCACTCTGGCAATAGAGATTTCGGCGGCTTTGACTTTAGCATTCTTATCCTTGTCCACTTTGAATTCCAGCCAAGTGCCTTCGACGAAGATTAGAATCCGCTGATTCAAGAGGGCTTTTGAGAGGATGTCAAAGAGGGCCGTTGAGAGGATGTCAACCTTTTCAATGTTGTGATGTTCTTACACACAGGTAAATCTAAGTGGAACAAACTTTCTTTGCTTGTTGGCAGTCGTTGACAAAGAAGATTTATCCGAATCCTAAAATCCATCATCCAAATCCTAAAATCTTTTCCAAATCCTCTCTATGTCGAAGGTCGCTGACGTGGCCGAAGATAGAGTGGTAGCACAGCGGACGCGGCACCATGGGCTCGCGGCCATCTAGATGCTCTGCAACAGCAACGAAAAAGGCATCCTTGATTCTCTGCAATTTCATAACGGGTCCGCGACAGTGGTGTCCTAGCATGCCATCCCAGTTGTGGTCGCGAGGGTGCCTGTAGTAGTTGTCATCAGTTAGTTATTTGTCTCTACTTATAGAGGAATTTGATACAACTAGAATGGCTGAGATACATAGCTCAGGTTCTAGCTTTTTATTAGTCCTTCATCTCATGAGAAATGACTGGTAGAAAAATTTGTAGCGTCAAAAAACGAAGATTCAAAAAAGGCTCTCCAAGTCCAATGTCCCCAGTACCTTTCCCATATTTCAGCTCTGTCCCAGAAAGCGGTCTCTCTGCTTCCTTCCCCATCTTTACCACCTAGAACTTCTCTATCTTTTCCACCATGAGCACCATGATAATCTCCTCCTCGACCTCGAGAATGGTCTTTACCGGCAGCACCATAATTTTCACCTCCACCTCGTCTATGATCCACCTTGCCAAATAAATTATCTTTACCTAGTACACCCAGCACTCTAGGTGGAACTCTTTCTTTGCTACTCTTGCCCTTGCTCTTGCTGCCGTACTTGCCCTTACTCGGTCGCTCAATGTCACCCTCATCGCTGGAAGAGCGCTTGACTCCGAGCTTTCGGCCCCTATTTATGAGGCGTGGTGGTAAGGGTGATCCTGGTCAACGCAGCTGATCACAAAATGCAAATGTGAAGATAGTAGTATGGCGGAGTTAAATAATTATTTTAGCATCTAATTATTTTTCCACTTTTGCGGAATCTAGTGGTAAAAGTGAAGATTTGGAAAAATAATCATTTGCTAAAATAATTATTTAAGTCCGCCATAAGTAGAAGTGTCTACTACTAGATCCAAATGTGAAGATAGTAGAAGTGTCTACTAGAAGATAGTAGAAGTGTCGGGTGGCAAATGTGAAGATAGTAGAAGTGTCTACTACTAGATCCGATACTGTAAGAACTCACTGCTCGAAGTGTCTACTAGATCCGATACTGTAAGAACTCACTGCTCGTCTTGCACGCAACATTTTTGAAGCATAAAACTACCTTCCACCCTGTTCCTCTACTTCTTCTCTTTGTCTTTTCGATGCAGCATCCTTTGCTGCTTCGGCAGCCTGTTTCCCTTTGCCTTTTTCTGCCAGTATATCGCACCACCGAGTGCGGACTGAGGTCCCGACAAGTTGTGAAACTGTCATGGCAGGTGACATGTCATCGGGACACTCGGTGTCCACGCCTTTCCTCACAAAAACCTGCAGTTCGCTGAGAGTAATTCGAAGTCGGAGCTTTTGGGCAGCGACGTGGAACTTCTTAGCTGATTAGAGTCTAAAAAACGCTTCTTTTGACAAGTATCAACCTGGCTGTCTGTCGCAAGAATTGTGAAAAAAAACGATCCAACTACATGATCCCTCCATAAGTGTAATCCTGAATCAACGCTGCCGGATTCGACCTATCAGCGTTCATTGGGAGGTTTTTCAGAAACGTGGTAATCCATCTTTTGGCTAACGCAGCATCTGGCTCATGGTCCTCCATTACGAAAACAGCCTCATATCGATTATCCTGCAATGGATCATAGTTTTTGTTGCGGCTGTGCGAGGGCTGCTTACTTCCTTCCCGGTGAGAGGCTGTGGACCTTTCGTTGTCCTCTGATTGTTGCTTGATTTAAAGCTCAGCACTCATTGGTCACTGACTCTGAACGGAAGAGACCCCTCCAAGGCTCTCCCCTTTCCCTTCGTTTTCCCCTGTTCTCTCAAGGGGTCGCCTCTTCGATCTCAGTGACCAACCCCAATGACCATTGAAAGTTGAGCCTTAATTGATGTTCTTGTTCCCATCTGCACAAGCACCTTCTCCTCCCTCGTCCTGCTCATCTTTGTAACAATTGTTTCCCGCGCCACTTTTTCTGTCCTTCAACATTTCCGCATCAGACGCAGAAGAAGTTGTAACACCGGTTCCACAATCGGTTTTGCCCTCGCTACTGCTTAGCTTGCTCTCATTCTTGCTCTCATTCTGCTCGTTCTCTTTAGCCATGTTCTCTTCGTCTTTATCGCCACTTGGCCGTCGACTGGATACATTAGACTTACAACAGGTCGCGGTACACTCTAGTTGTACGTAGGTACTTTATTTAGGAATAGAAGTCTAAGTAATCCTCTAGTACGTAGGTACTTTTAGGAATAGAAGTCTAATTCTCTTCGATAAAAATTCTACTGAAAAATCACTGTAATTTCATCTACAGATTTAATCTAGACATGTTCATTTCTTATTCCGTTGAAACAAGTGAATCATCATCCTGTAGCTCATAACTCCTCTCTCGCCACTACGCCGTGTTGAGTCATCGATTCTGCCAAATGGGAAACTACCCGATATCCGATTCTGAAAATTCCCGATATCCGATGGCTCATCGTCCTCATCTAAGAGAATTAGACCGTGTTCCTCCGCGAACTGCTGGCACATAAACTGCACCTCGAGTTCTTGATCCTCCACTGAGCCGCGTTCGTAGTACCTGCCAAGGTTGTCGCGAGGAGGTGTAGAGGTGTGGGAAAGGACTTATATGAATGATGAATGAATGTGCCTAACAAGAGGTATGTGCCTAAGAACTCGTCTTTTTATCTTAAGCTTGTTTTGGATCTAGTTAAACTTGCTGGACTTTGCTTCTAAGACCATTAATTAAGAGACACTTTCGTACTCAGAAAGAAAAAAGAAACAGAAGACCACAGGACTTATAATGTTAATGTGAACATGAAAAGCCACGACCCATGGTGCCACTATCAAAAAGAACCAATAAAAAACCAATAAAACACCAGTGACGAAAATACAAGGCATGGTCGAGACATCAATGGTCGAGACATCTTGGCCAAGATGGATCTTGGATCTGATACGCGAATGAAAATCTACCTCGCCTGCACGTCGTCGTCCGTCGTTTTGTAACCCATGTTATCGATGAAACAGTGCAACTGTTCTTGGAAATTCTCAGACAAGACAGCTCGTTCCAGTGCAAAGCTGGGTGGCCGGCAACTGCCTCTTCTCAACTTCGTGGCGGGGACGCAACACTGACGTGTGGAGGTATGGACAATTACATGAGGACACGGTAGTTGAACCCGGGGTTCCTACCTTCGCTGATAAAAATCATTTAGACCCCCGTAAACAGAAAATCCTCCTAATCCTAGTACGGTAGTTCCTACCTTCGCTGATAAGCATTTGAACCCGCTGTAAACGAAAAATTCTCCTAATCCTAGTACTTCTTTGAAGCTCCTCACATCACGAAATCTTCAAAATTCAAATTTTATTTCGTGTACAACTTAAATCTAGATGAAGTAGTACGATCCCAATAGTCGCGCAGTCTTGTTTGTGAGTCAGCAGTCGTCCAATGCATTTTAATTCTTTTCCTTGCGCAGTCGCAATGCCAGCCAAGACGATAAAATCCTCGTACGACAAATAGGACACTGTATTGCCCCTTTCCAAGACGAGGGCTGGGGTGATGGGTGCGGCATTAGAAGACGCTAGCTGTGCAGGAGTTGTCGTCGTCGTGGCTGCAGTAGAAGACTGCGGTGGAGCTTTCGTCGCTGTGGTGAGATGAGGGGCTGTTGTCGCTGGTGGTGTTGTCCCTGGTACGATATTAGACGCTGTTACGCTACCAGACGCAGCAACAGCCGTAGTCGCTGTTGAAGACTCTGGTCCTGCAGACGTTGAAGGAAGATCCGGAGATGTTTTCTCCCCATTGGATGTGCCAACAGTAGTCGCCGGTGATGGCGCACCTCCAATTGGCGGTGTAGATGAATCTTTGTTCTCGTTTTCGAGGACTGCTTTGTTACTTGTTGTAGAAGACTTGGCATCGTTCATTTTGGCAATGGCAATACTAGCACTTTTAGCAACAGTTTCTCCAGCTGCCTTCCCGCCAGCTGCCTTGTTGGTCTTGTTCGTCGCTGCAGGAGTTGGTCCACGATGGAGGTTGTTCTCCTTGACCTCCTTGGCCTTTTTCAGATGATGTTGATCGTCTTCTAATATGTCCCCACTTTTAAGTTGTTCTTTTGCCTTCTTTCCTCTATCTTCTCCCGCAGTTCCTACATCTTCTCGTGCAATGCCGTTGATTTTTGCTGCATTTTCTTTGTCTTCTCCTTTACTTTCTCCGCGAGCAACTACATCTTCTAGTTCTACTTTTGAATCTCCCTTAGCCGCCTCATCATCCTCTATTAAGCCGAATATGGGAGTCGTGTTCATTTTGGCATGATCCACAGTTGTACTAGTCAGTTTCGCAACCTCAGTGCTCGTGTTCATTTTGGCATGATCCACAGTTGTACTAGTCAGTTTCGCAACCTCAGTGCTCGTGTTCATTTTGGCATGATCCACAGTTGTACTAGTCAGTTTCGCAACCTCGACAGTACATGCACGACGAGCACAAGTTTTCGCGTCCACAGTTGTACTAGTCAGTTTCGCAACCTCGACAGTACATGCACGACGAGCACAAGTTTTCGCGTCCTCAACCTTGTGGTCGTCGTCGTCGTCCTTCTTCGCATCCTCAACAGCACTTGTCGCCTTGTCGTCTCCTTCAGCATTCTTCATCGCCTTCGCCTCTGCAAGAACTTCCTTTGAAGATACAGCTTTCGTGAGGAGACCCGCGGCCTCACCTTGCTTTGAAGATACATCCTCAGGAATCTTCTCCTGCTTATCGTCCTTATTTTCCTTGATACTCTCCTTAGTGTCCTTGACGATACAACTCTCCACCTTAATAGTGTCCACCTCAGTCTTGTAGTTAGAGGTTACGGAATTTTTACATTCTTCAGAACATAATTCCTGGCCTCTTTTCTGCTAGGAAAAGAGTCAGGGATGGTCGTGAGGAATGCAAAAATTCGGAAACTACCTGGTGTGTCCTTGAAGATATTACAACTCTCCACCTTGATGATACGAATCTACTCGGCTATCTCCACCTTGATGATACAACTCTCCACCTTAATAGTTGTGTCCACCTCATTATCATTGTAGTCCGCAATCCTAATCTTGTCCTCGAAACTGTTCCTATCCTCGTCCGTCGCTACCACATCCTTCAGCACAACATCCTCAGCAGGCAACATTCTTTTTGAAGTAAGGAGGTATAATAAACTGTTGATCTAAGTGTCTTGTTGAGTACCAAGACAAGAACTCCTCTACTTTTTCAGGAATCCAGATGGATGTGGTTTTTCGAGCAGATGAGCTAAACTTTAAAAATCAAAAAAGATGGATCTTGAGTAAGCTCAAAAATGCTAGTTCGAGGACACAACCGACACCTCGTCACACCTCGAGGTGTAGTAAGTAGCGCCGTCGTGTACACATATTCCACTAGGCACTCTCCTGTTCTGCAAGCCCTGCCTCACATCTTGATGAGGGAAAGATGATGGTTAATTTTCTTGTGGAAACAAAGACGTGTTGTAAGATAGCTCGACTGGTGTTGCTCTCAAAATAGCCAATTCCGACCATGATCTTCGAATACAGCGAAATGTAGAGATCAATCACATGAAAATGAATGTTCCACCCTCTTGAGGAGATTGGAGGGGCTACTGACCCCTCTGTGTCTTCACCTTGTTGGCAAGTCACCGTCTAAGGTAAGAACATCAAAGTAAGCAATAAGCTACTAGAAGAAGAAGTGCATTTGTTCTTGCTTCAAATGCACTCCTATTGAAAGGAATTTCGATGCCTACAATAGGACTACTCCTATTGAAAGGAATTTCGATGCCCACTCCTATTGAAAGGAATTTCGATGCTCTACAAGAGAGCCCTTGAAATCAAGACAGCGAACACGTCTTTCTAGAGAAGGATTTGGAAGTTCAGTAAATGTGTGATCCAGCGACCCAGCCTGTCAGATCCAGTAGCAGCTTCTTGGAACAATAGCCTTTTGCGGCCAAATCTTGGAATCCATCTTCAGGCGCAAATCAAACATTTTCAGGAATATTTTGATACAAAAGTAATTTCCCAGATAGGAATATTTTTCGGCAAGAATCATGCATCCCAAGAGAATATGTGGCAATGGACAATCTGGACCCCGTCAATGGCACGACACTAACGATTTCCCATGTCCATTTTCCAGGCAGAGAACTCGCGACACGTCAGAGGACTCGCGACTCCTCAGACGACGTCGCTCCCGTTACAAATTCGTGGACGCTTTGTTGTCGCAGGATTAGAAGACTGGAACTGGAAGGGGAGTGAAGTTTTCAGATAAACGATTTAAACGAACCTTTCAGATAAACGATTTAAACGAACCTTTCAGATAAACGATTTCAACGAAATTGAAAGACCTTCTTCTACAACCGCGAGGATAAACGAAGTGAAATAGTACAAGCGTCAACTCATAATGATGATTTTCTCTTAAACCCTCTCCCACGCAATCCATGCCATCTAGGTACAGACATTTGGATTGTCCATTGAAGGAAGTGTGAATCTCTATCTCAAAGTGGTGGTGAAAATGACGCATTCAGAGTGGAGGCGAGGAACCTTTCACTTCCAGAGCACCGCCAAAACAAAACAAGGGCTCAAGTTTCAAGGTTTAGGGTCCGCGGCTCTGCGGGCCGGCCGCGCCGTCCGGGACGAAGAAGGCTCGAGTAGAGCCAGAGCCCCATCAAAGTAAGAAAACAACGTTCTCTTACTCTTACAAAAGAGTCAAATCAACAACATTTTCTCATAAACCCTCATCCGCGCCATCCGCAGCTTCCAAAGCAGCCTGGTCCATGCCTGCTTGTGAGGATTCTAGACGCTTCTGAAGTCTCAATACTTGCTGGTCCCTATCCTCTCTAGGAATCATGTGCTCGCCCATAAAGTGCGGCACTTGTAGCGAAGAAACTGGCTTGATCTGGTCATCTCGAACTGAGATTGCGACAGTGTCTGCGGGGATATTAGAATGAGGATAAAGTCAGGTGGATGGTAGGTGTGACTGTGATGTAGCACTACGGAGAGAGGACGAGGTGATTTAGTGTGTAATCTATAAAGCGTCGTCTTTAGGTGGGGGAAGAACCTCGTTATGATTTTTATAGAAAGATCGAGCAACCACAGTTCTTGTCTGCTGTCGCGTCACTTGTTAGCACCATTTGTTTCTAATATTAAGGTTTTCGTCTAGACTGAACAATTTCATCATAAGCATCGAATGTATCTGTATGCTTTTCCTCTTCACTTTGTCACCCACTGTATCATCCCACTCCTTATGTCGATGAAAATTCGCATGTATATGCTCTTCTTCGCCTCTTGGAAGAAGCCGTCGATTCTTCTCCTCGTCACTGCTCTCTTCTAGGAAGTCTGCATTTTCTACTATTTCCCCAGCCACAATGCTCCGACTCATCTCGCTCACTGGGAGACCTGCCGTTTGTTGGTAGCAGTCCTTTAATGCGTGTTGAACATGATAGGACATCTACTTCGACTTCTTGGTTGGTTACTTCTTCATGGAGAAAAACACGATGTTGATGCCCTTGCTCGTCCCAGACAGCTAAAAATCAATAAAAATAATTACGTGCTGGATAGACAGTTTTTTGGTGTGGGTGTCCATCTCGCTCTATGAAATCACCGACAGCCTCTGAGACTCTGCCTACAAAATTTGCCGCATGACCTCCTAGAGTCACGGCGTGACCACCCAGATCAATCAGTGCATCTCCCGCCGCATCAGCTAGGTTCTCTGCAAAGCTTCCCCTGCTACCATCTTTGCCTTTGCCTTTACCACCATCTTTGCCTTTGCCTTTCTTGCCTTTTGAAGATTTACTTGTCCGAGAAGAAGCTCCTAGACCCCCTGCGCCAGCACCTTTCTTGTCACCTTTATTCGTCTGAGAAGAAGAGGAGGGTCTACTACTCGTGCCAGCCTTGCCTTTATCACCGGAAGAAGCCCTTTTGCCAGTCTTAGAGGCAGCTTTTTGGTGTTCGCTTCCCCCGTTTGTTATGCCTCTCTCCGTTAAGAGCGGCAAAACAAGCGGCAACGTGAACGCCTTTAACCTAGTAGTACTTACCCTTAACAGTCTTACTACTTCTCATCTTTCCGCCTTGTCCATCGTCACCTTCCTGCATCATAAAGAAAAAGCCTTGTTGTCCACCTCCCTGACTTTTCCTCTTTCCTCCACTAGTACCCTTCATCATCTTTCCCCCAGTGTCCTTACTCATTGACTTCGATTTGCCTTTCCTCTTCCCACTAGAAGATGGAGTCCCTGTTCCGAATTCGGCACTAGTGTTCATCCCCCACCGGTCTTGCTGGACGCGAAGATTAGAAAAATCATTGCCATCTTCGCGTCCAGCAAGACCGGTGGGGGATGAACTTACTTATACGCGAGATCAGTCACATACTCCTGCATATTTATAAGTAAGTGAGTTGAGACCTTGTCATATAAGTAAGTGAGACCTTGCATACAAGTAAGTATCTACAGCCATAAAAACCTGTAGTTGTTCCTATTATTGCTTCCAACTAAGAGTAAGTATCTACAGCCATAACAACAACTTCCCCTGACTCCGCCACCTGCAACGGCCCCTTGCCTCCTTCGTCACGTGCTAAGTCCTTGACTACAAGACTCGCACTGTGATGCCTCTGATCGTTGCGCGCTCGCGTCAGGTCCAAATCTTCAACCCAATAGTCGTTCACAACTGCTGACATTTTATTTTTTGCTTGTAGTTGATCTTGGATCATTCAACTATTTCATGAGTCAGGCTTCTTTCACAATTCTGTGTTTGATAGCTAATCATGCTATTACAAAAGCAAAACAATTTCAGTTTGACTCAAGTATAATCTCAGTACGTAAAAGGCACAATTTTTGAAATAGGTTCTTTGCTGACTGAAATCCGGCTTTCTCTCTTTTTCATGACAATAAATTGGACCGAAGACAGAAATCTCCAGCGGTTTTAGGAACATGAGCTGCGTCGAGTTGTAGTACAGAAAATAATTCTCTCTCGCTACTCAAGCTCTCGCGACCGATCAGCATCAATTGCCATTTGTTTACTTCTCATGTCCTTTTCCTCTTGTATCAGCGTTAGATGAATGTGATATCAACGTCAAGTTCAATTTCGAGAAAAAAAGAAAAAAGGGAGAGCAGCGGTCAGAGAGTGGTGGAAGCATTGCTTTTGTGGAAAAATCAGCTCTGGAGTCTATTGACATAGTTCCCACACTTCAACTTTCAGTGAGTCTTTCCACCCATACACCTTCGAATAGTCCACCACAGCCCGCTTTTGCTCTGGCGGCTGCCGTACTAAGTTTCCATCTTCAGGCTTCGGTACCACGACGTCGTTTTTCTTAGTAGAAAGCAACGACTCGCCACCCCCTAGAGATATCTTGTCGTGTTTATCTGCAACACAATGGTAAAGCGGCACACCAACTAAGAACTGGGAAGCAAGAAGAGCGTCGATACGGGTCCATGCGTGATGTAAGGACGAAGAAGGTGAAGTAGAAGAGGTGTCAGCTCCAGCAGCACTACTAGAAGTGTGATCTACAAACACAATCTCCCTGCAGAGTCTCAAATAACACGGGTAATACTGCAGAAACAAAGTCTGCAGTATCGGAAATGACTTCACTGCTAGGTGTGGGAAGAGAAAATAGACATCCTGGCCATCGTCTGCGGGAGCACTATTTTTCTCGATAGTAGTGTTAAAGAGGCGTTTGTACTCGAGAGCCAGTTTTTGTAGTGCCAGCCTGAGCTTATTTGCTTCCGCTGCACTCGACACTCCCCCACTTGTGCAAAGCGCGTGCCTGGGAAGACTTATGAAGACTACTCTTTGAGTTGTAGATGAACTTGAAGTATTATTTTGATCCGGACTTGTGCTTGTCATAGCAGATGTAGATGAATCAGTCGAGTTATTCAGAAGTGCCCGGCCGGAAACTGTGGGAAGTTTTTCTAACCAAGAGAGATGACTACAACTGTCGGAACCGGTCGCAGAACTACTACTTCCGCCTGCCGGCACAGCTGCAACGGCCTTCAACAGATCCTCCAACTTCACTAATTGGGGCACAGGAAGTCCGTTATTTTCAATCGCCCTAAGACCGTCCAAGGCTTGTGCCTCTTTCGGTGCGATGACGTAAGATGCAGAGGATGATGAGGTTGTATTAGAGCTAGAAGAAATCCATCCTCAGCGACGTCTTCCGTCTTTTTTCCCTTGAGAAACGGGACCAAGATGCCTGTGAGGATGGATTTCTTCTAGCCTTAATTGTAGAACTTGACGAGCCTCCTTTTTTCGTCGCAGAGGACTGCTGTTCCTCTAACACCTTCAATTTGGGCAATACCAAGTGGTCGTAATTCCTGACCAATTCGATGTTGGTGTTTTTGATCCGTTTTATGGCTCCATCCGCGAGCACGACATCGTAACGACCTGCCTCGACATGAAACGCTCCGTATTGACACAACTGCCCATTTAGCTCTCTAGCGCCTTCAAGCCCACTAATGCGTCCTAGACTCCCAGTACGCACTTCCACTAGATTTTTCGGTAATAGGCTTTTCACCTCATTTGCATTTGCATTCGCATTTCCTGTACTACTAATTCCACCAGTACCAGTACCAGCAAGGAGGGTAACAGACAATCGCTCTTCTTTTGTCGTGCTGTCTTCTCCAACCGCAGCGTCGAACAAACACCTCGATACCCATCCGAGTCGCCCATTCAATGATGGGGCTTTGAGTAAGCCATGCAATTGCACCTTCGCCAATCCATGACTCCCTGTTACGCCACTTGTCTGTTCCTTTTTCTTCAGTTGTTCGAACACTTTTTGCTTCTTCTTGGCACGCTCTTCTGCTATGGGATCCCAGGAGACGTCACGACGATCGTCCTCAAAAGCAGCTTCTTCTCGCTTTCGTTTGGCGTTTTCGGCACCTAGGCGTAGCAAAGTCTCAACATCGTCACGATCGTTTTTTTTCTTCTTCTTCCTTTTAGTTGTGCCGTGCTGGAGATCTGGGCGGCCATGCTGATCCTTACTACTGCCACGTGGCGCTTTCAGAGTCCGCAAGGAGGCATACATCAAATCCTCGTCATCCTCACCATTCTCGTGTTTACGACCACCTCGTCCTTGATAGACATTATCGTCGTCACTATCATCTCCATCACTGTCGTCGCCTTTAAAGGCGTGTCTGGCGTGGTCTCGCTCCGAATCAGAAGAGTTGCCAGCCTCTGAAGACTCATATCCAAAATCATCGTAGTCCTCTTTGCCACCCATCTTTGTTGTTCTACTTCAACTTCTTTGTGGCTCTAATATTTCAGTATAATGGTCGTTCGCTCGCGCGACATTACTTTTGGTTCCTCCGTGTTATACTTACAACAGTTCTTGTTCATCAAGATTTTTATACCACATGAGCCAACCGAGGTTCCTCTGAAGAAATTGGCACAACAAGGAGTCTTCTCTCATGAAACATCCTGTAGAGACGTCAATTGAAAAGCAGAAGATCTTCGATAGTCAATTGAAAAGCAGAAGATCTTCGATAGTCAATTGAAATGCGGACTTACGTAGTCATCCTCTTGATCTTCAGAGAGTATCTGCTGGTTGTTGTTCTCCTCGAGCTATCGGGTATCCAATCTCAGAGACTCAAAGTCTCAAAGATTCCATGCTGCGCATCATCTCTTTCCTCTGAGCATCCACGAATGACCGACCATCTACTTAGCAGATTCCGATTTGTATTCATCATCATCGATCTCCAGCACGTAGTTGTTTTTCCTAAGACCACGACCAGTGATATTACTTACAGCTTGATTATATCCATGATTCTTCAAAGCTGCAAACATTTTTCAATCGCTTTGTTCGCGAGAAGTTACAGGCATCGCAACGTTGTAGCAATGTCACAGAAGTGCATGGTTAGCAGCTAGGCATTAGTGCCAAAAATCATACATTTTCATCATCGTTCCGCTGCTAGTAGATTGTTGCTTAGTAGAATATATATTTCCCTAAAGATATGCCCGCTAATTTAGGTAGATGTAGGGCAATTGAAAATTGTCAATCCAGGCTATCCATCGCGCCTTATTTATTTGGTTGCATAGTTCATTTTTGAAAATTCTAACTACAAAATTCTAAGTGCCGTCACTCACACACAGTTAAGTAGAAGAAGCAGATCGCTTTTTAGTCCACGAGTAAGTATACCTTTAGGCTTCAGTCCAGTAGAAGAAGCACATCGCTTTTTAGTCCACGAGTAGAGCGCTGCCTGAAGGTATACATTCTTCACTTCCCGACCCGTGCCTTCACCCCCTACAACAAGTGGCGCGCCTTCACCCCCTACATAATCGGTTTCAGATAAGTTGGGTCTTCAGTGGAAGTGTTGCATATATATCTAAACTAAACATTTTGGGCCAAAAAAAAAAACTGCAGCACAGCACGAAAAAAAAGCAAAGCACAGCATGAAAAAAAAGCAAAGCACAGCACGAAAAAAAAGCAAAGCACAGCACGAAAAAAAAGCAAAGCACAGCACGAAAAAAAAGCAAAGCACAGCACGAAAAAAAAGTAAAGCACAGCACGAAAAAAAAGCAAAGCACAGCACAAAAAAAAAGCAAAGCACAGCACAAAAAAAAAGCAAAGCACAGCACAAAAAAAAGCAAAGCGCAGCGCAATAAAAGACACAATGAGGACACCAGTAACAAAGCAATGCACACGAATGGCACAAGCACGACACAGCGAGGACAACAAGCACCACGAAAAGACAGAATGACAAACGGCACAGACGAAGAACACAGCAAACCCCTAAGCGATAACCATAAACGGCAAGAAAACACACAACCACAAACGGCACGTAAACAGCACCGTACGACACAAGCAGAACAACAAAGGCCGAGGCCAACCACAACGGAAACACAGCACGGACACAAGATTCTTCCAGCTTCCCCTAACTTCTTACAGCTTCCCCCAGCTCCTCCCAGCTTTCCCTAACTCCTTCCAGCTTTCCTGAACTTCTTCCAGCTTTCCCCCACTTTTCCCAACTTTCCCCAGCTTCTTCCAGCTTTCCCTAACTCCTCCCTGCTTTCCTTAACTCCTTCCAGCTTTCCCCCACTCTTCCCGTTTCCCCAGCTTTCCCCAGCTTCTTCCAGCTTTTTCCAACTTTTCCCAACTTTTCCCAACTTTTTCCAGCTTTTTCCAGCTTTTTCCAGCTTTTTCCAACTTTTCCCAGCTTTTCCCACCTTTTTGCAACTTTTTCCAGCTTCCTCCAAATTTTCCCGACTCTTCCCAACGACAGTCACGGCCTGAGGCTGATGAGCTCTGGCGGGTTTGATCCCTGTGGGTATTCATCGGGGTTGCAAAGGCGAAGCCCCAGCCTCTTCTTTGGGATATCATGACGGGGAAAGCTTCGCGTGCTCATATGAAAGAGCCCACGCTACCCCCATGAATCTCCTACGGTCATCACTGTGCTCTATCGTTACCCATCTGGATCCTGATTGGCCTTAGTGATGGATATACATCAGATCACACCACGCGAGACCTATCACGATAATACCTTACGACGGTCTTTATGCATTTGGAAATGATCAGAGCGGATCGCTTCGGGGACGGACCTGGTTACAGCTATGAACATTCGTTATCTCTGCTATCTGAATACGCTGACGGCCGTTTGTCTGTTGATCGTTGATTTTGGAACCCTATGCGTTTAGGTCTATGGGTTTCCTTGAGATCTTTCCGGTGGCGTTTGTCCTGGACTGTGCTGAAGGATTTGGAACAACATACAAGAGAGAGGAGAAGCCAGAGACACCCGCGCGACGGTAAACCCGTCGGGCGTTGGATAGTGCTCCGGTAACCTTTTGCAACAGCAACAAGAGAGGAGAAGCCAGAGGGCAGAGACACCCGCGCGACGGTAAACCCGTCGGGCGTTTGGATGGTGCTCCGGTAACCATGTGCCTGGCGATCTTGGTCAGTTCGTTGATCCTTATCCTTCGGGTCATTGGCGTGGTGGATCTCTGTGGCGCTTGCGTCGATCTGGATCGGGGTCATTTTGCTGATTTCTTTGCACCACCATCAAAGTGCCCAGAAATGTGAGAAACCAGAGACACCCGCGCGACGGTAGACCCGTCGGGCGTTTGGATGGTGCTCCGGGCCAGGATCTGAACAACGCGCGCCGTTTTTTTTGGATCTCGGTCCGTTGCGGGGGGCTCCTCTTTGTGGGTCTCTGTGGCGCGTGCGCCGATCTTGATCGGGATCATTTTCGTGATTTTTTGCACCACTATCAAAATGCTCAGAAACGAGAAAAACCAGACACACCCGCGCGACGGTAAACCCGTCGGGCGTTTGGATAGTGCTCCGGGTCAAGTTCTGAACAGCGCGCGCCGTTTTTTTGGCCTCAGTCCTTTGCGGGCGCCTTCCTTTGTGGATCTCTGTGGCGCCTGCGCCGATCTGGATCGGGATCATTTTCGTGATTTTTACCACTATCAAAATGCTCAGAAATGCGAGAAACCAGACACACCCGCGCGACGGTAAACCCGTCGGGCGTTTGGATAATGCTCCGGGCCAAGTTCTAAACATCGCGCGCCGTTTTTTTTTTTGATCTCAGTCCTTTGGGTGCCTCTGTAGCGACTGCGTCGATCTGGATCGGGATCATTTTGGTGATTTGTACCAGCATCAAAATGCTCAGAAATGGGGAAAACCAGACACACCCGCGCGACGGTAAACCCGTCAGGCGTTTGGATAGTGCTCCGGGTCGGGTTCATCAGAACCACGCACGCCGTTTTTTTTTTTGGTCTCGGCCTGTTGCGGGGGGCTTTTCTTTGTGGACCCGTGTAGCGCTTGCGCCGATCTGGATCGGAGTCATTTTGCTGATTTCTTTGCACCGCCATCAAAGTGCCCAGAAATGTGAGAAACCAGAGACACCCGCGCGACGGTAGACCCGTCAGGCGTTTGGATAGTGCTCCGGGTCAAGTTCTGAACAGCGCGCGCCGTTTTTTTTTGATCTCTGTCCTTTGCGGGGGGCTCCTCTTTGTGGGTCTCTGTGGCGCGTGCGCCGATCTTGATCGGGATCATTTTCGTGATTTTTTGCACCACTATCAAAATGCTCAGAAATGAGAAAAACCAGACACACCCGCGCGACGGTAAACCCGTCGGGCGTTTGGATAGTGCTCCGGGTCAAGTTCTGAACAACGCGCGCCGTGTTTTTGGCCTCAGTCCTTTGCGGGCGCCTCCCTTTGTGGCTCTCTGTGGCGCCTGTGCCGATCTGGATCGGGATCATTTTCGTGATTTTTACCACTATCAAAATGCTCAGAAATGCGAGAAACCAGACACACCCGCGCGACGGTAAACCCGTCGGGCGTTTGGATGGTGCTCCGGGTCAATTTCTGAACAGCGCGCGCCGTTTTTTTTTTTTTGCTCTCAGTCCTTTGGGCGCCTCTGTGGCGATAATTGCGCCGACCTTGACCGGGATCATTTTGCTGATTTGCACCACCATCAACATGCCCAGGAATGCGAGAAACCAGACACACCCGCGCGACGGTAAACCCGTCGGGCGTTTGGATAGTGCTCCGGGTCGAGTTCTTCTGAACAGCGCACGCCGTTTTTTTTTTGGTCTCGGCCTGTTGCGGGGGGCTTTTCTTTGTGGACCCGTGTAGCGCTTGCGCCGATCTGGGCCGGGATCATTTTGCTGATTTCTTTGCACCACCATCAAAGTGCCCAGAAATGTGAGACCACAGAGACACCCGCGCGACGGTAAACCCGTCGGGCGTTTGGATAGTGCTCCGGGTCAAGTTCTGAACAACGCGCACCGTTTTTTTTTTGATCTCTGTCCTTTGGTTTGCGGGGGGCTTCTCTTTGTGGATCTCTGTGGCGCGTGCGCCGATCTTGATCGGGATCATTTTCGTGCTTTTTTGCACCACTATCAAAATGCCCAGAAATGCGAGAAACCAAAGACACCCGCGCGACGGTAAACCCGTCGGGCGTTTGGATAGTGCTCCGGGCCAAGTTCTGAACAAAGTGCGCCACTTTTTTGATCTCAGTCCTTTGGGGGCCTTGTCTTTGCGGATCTCTGTGGCGCTTGCGTCGATCTTGATCGGGATCATTTTGGTGATCTCTTTGCACCACCATCAAAATGCTCCGAAATGGAAGAAACCAGACACACCCGCGCGACGGTAAACCCGTCGGGCGTTTGGATAGTGCTCCGGGTCAAGTTCTGAACCACATACAAAGGAGACAACAACCGAGCAAATACGCGACAGCCGAGAGGCGTGGAAGACCCAGAGGCACCCGCGCGACGGTAAACCCGCCGGGCATTTGGGTACTGCTCCGCACCCAATTCCCCAAGGCTAGGAACTACAGACACCCGCCCTGGCTATAATAACAGCCGGCGCGGGTACAGTGGCGCCCATGTTTGGCCATTCTGGTCGGGGCACGCCCAGGCACCCCCGACCCGAACACCAACACACCGGCAACAGCCGCGAAAAGTAAAAAACTGAAGGCACCCGCGCCACGGTAGACCCGTCGGGCGTTTGGATAGTGCTCCGGGCCAAATTCTGAGCAACACACACCCGAAACGAGCCAGGGAGGACGGAACCGCCGAGAAATGTGAGACATTGGGCGCCCTCGCGTAACGGTAAACCCGCGGGGCGTTTGGGTAGTCCTGCGGGCCTTTTTGAACGAAATGCCCAATAAATATTTAACCAGCCAGACCAGACGCCTCACAAGGTCGCAGCCCCTGCGGCGCCTTCGTCCTCCCTTTCTTCTCCTCGTCTTCTTCCTCGTTCTCACTTTTTTCCACTGTCTCACCAGAGTGCTGACGCCTCAACAGATGGCCCCTCTTCCTCTTTCTCTGTCTTTCTCTTGCTCCTGCTTGCTCTTGTTTGTAACACCTTTCTCGCCTTTCTCTCCTCTTCTCGTTCTCGGCTGTCCTGCCGGCGCTGCCAGAGCTCCATCGTGGTCCTCACTAACCTACTGGCCTCAGCCTACAGAAGGCCCTCCGCTACACTCCACAGATTGCCTTGCCGCTCGTTCCTCGTCTTGTTTTTTTCGTCGCTTGACTGTCTCAACAGACTGCTTTTCCTACCTTCTCAACAGATTGCTTTTTTCTCTCTTGCTCTTACTTCCTCACTCTTACATACATTCGCGCGCGAGCCGAACACCGTCGAACACTTTCGACGGCTCTTCTCTTTTTCTTTGTGTGTCGTTGCTTGGTGTCCGAGAGTGCTACCAAGCAACGACACACCACCGGGGAGCCCGGTGGCGCTTGCGCCACCGCTCCCCCGCGCGGTCGTGGTCTCTCTCTGCCTCCTGCCCGGGGCGTACCTCGCGATAATGACTTGGGGAGTTCCTTTACTAACTGCTCAAAAAATGAAGTATTCTTCTTGCTCTCGTTCTGCTTTCCAGTAATCTATTTCTTGGCCACTTTCTTCTTATTATCGAATTTCCAACAATAACGGAGTACATAGCGTTCTCGTAATCCGCCTTTTGCGAACGCGGGTACGATCATGGCTACAACGATGCTGTAATCTCTTGATTCATGTACTTGCGTGCTGTTGTCCCTGTTGCCATCGTTCATGATGACCGTAGAGACGTGGTCTGACAGTATCACCTTCTCCGTCAACCAAACGAGTCCTTCTTCAGCCTTGTCTTACGAGTGTCCACTGTCTATTTTCACCACGTCCTTGGAGGACATTTGCTGGTCTAATTTGGAAACAAAGTCAGTCATTACTTCTGCGTTATTCATGTCTACATTAACATCTTCAACACCCTTAAAAATTTATTAGTAACAACCATCAACATCACAGGAATTCCAATCATTTCCTTTGAAAGTTTTTCGTTTTTCCTTTTCTCTTCTCGCATATCCGCTAACGATAGAGAGACCAACTCAACTGTTTTCTCCACCCCATCCCTCATCGGTACTGCGAAAATGACGCCGCCCCGCAAAAAATGAGTCTGAGCAGTTTCCAGAGGGAAACGGTCTTCGATTTAGCATTCCCTTCCTCACCATTGCTCAAGCTAGTCGACACGCTCTCCGGAACACCTACTTTGAGTCTGAGTGAGGATTTCGTGCCCATTCATTGTGACACCTTAGATGAAATGCATCTATAAGAGTCTTCTAGATTAGGTTAGGTTGGATCCTTCACTTCTACAGCATTTGCATGACTACCAGTCAACAAGTTGTAGCACGCTTTTTGGTGCTGGTGAAGAAGGTAACTCCTTCTAGGAAGAAATTACAGACGCCTATTTTTCACTATGGGACATACAGCGCAGACATGTTATAAAGTCGTTTTTCGGCTGATGTTTTTTTTACGTGTTGACTGTACTTCTAGACGTGTAAAAGTCTCTCACGTCGTCTCCGAAGTTTACCATTCTCTCTCAACTGTGTCGGTGTCCTCGATGTCGTGATCATTGTGTCCTCGATTGACAGTTTGAGTGAGGATGAACACCTAAAAACTCCTCAAGATCCTAGCCCCACGCTGGTCCTCGGCAGTAATAAGCGAGAGCGGAGCGACTTCTTCGTTGTAATAGTTTTAGTAGGGTCATTCACACGACATCAGAATCTTATTGTCGAAATTATTTGTCTGCGAAGGTATTGGAGGGTAGAGAATGCATAGATAAGCGTTTGTGGTCACCATATTAAGATCATTTTCATGCATGTACTAGTCAAGAAACATGTACTAGGATCAACATCTGATATGATGATGGCGTGTTCGAAAATTATCAGGGTATTGAAATTTTTATCTTCCTTCTAAGACTTTTTAGGTGAAACTTTTGGATCGTTATATGTGCTTCCCATTTTCCTCTCCCCTAGAGTCAGAGAAAGCACGTTCTATATTTTGTCCTTCCCGTTGTCGAACGAAAACAACTACACAAAACTTCCTGGAGTCGTAGTCGTCGTCAACAGCAAATCTTCGTAGTCTCCTTTTCCAGAAGATTGCCCATTGCGTCACTACGGGCAGAAGTGCTCTTGTACGTACCATAGTAAATAACGTAGCGTACCACTATTTTACAACTAGTAAATACCACGTATAGTATTTTCTAGCGTGACCACCTTTTTACTTCTTCGCCGCCGCCACTTTGGCTCCGTGTGCAGCGACATTTCTGCCTCTGCCACGTCCAGCTGCTGCCGCTGCCTGACCGCCTTTGAGGATACGTGCATGCTTGAGCAACTCTGGCAGAGTGAAGAGACGAACTTGGCTTCCACGCAGATGGACCTGCTCCAAGGTGGAAACTTCGCCAGTCTTCAAAGTCTTGGTCACGTTCTCGAGAAGTCATGAAGGGAGGAAGGGTTGTGAAAAAAGGATAGCTACAAACGAGGGATACATACGCGGGATTGGCATTGGGATTGGCATTGGGATTGGGATTGGCATTGGGATGAAGCAACAAAAAAATGTTATTTGTACAACGAACGCCACATGCTAGAAGTGAAGAAGTCCTTCGTCTATCGGGGAGACATGCTACGCTACAGCGTGTCACTATCAGTATCAGTTTCACTATTATATACCGAGACTGATACTGATAGTGGCACGCTTTAGGGCGTAGCATGTCTTAAGGCTCAGCATTCAATGGTCACTGACTCTGAAAGAAATGGGCCCCATGCCTCTCCCTTTGCTTTTCCTTCATTTTCCCCTGTTCTCTCAAGAGGGATCTCAGTGACCAACCCCAATGACCATTGAAAGCTGAGCCTTAAGACATGCTACGCCCTAAAGCGTGTCGCTATCAGTATCAGTTTCGTCTATCGGGGAGACATGCTACGCTAAAGCGTGTCACTATCAGTATCAGTTTCGGTATATATAATATTGCACCGGTAATTTCATAACAAACAGTTCATGCTCTCCTCACAGTGCACCAGCTTTCCTCTGTACTTGTCTCCGTTTTTGAGCTCGACTGTGACGGGATGCGGAATAGCCTCGAAGAGCAGCTTGATCGGAATGGTCGCAGATTTGGACACCATTTTGAGTCCTTTTTGGTGGTTAGTGATGAAAGTCCTTGGACGAAGGATGTAGTCGATGTTGTAGAATGGGTTGTATTTGTTGTTGAAACAGCACTATGCTCCTAATAGTTTCACTGTGGGGATGTTGAATGAATCGACATTGATCATGATGGGGGGAGAAGATCAAGATGTTGCAAGATGAAAAAACCAAAAAAACTGAGATGCCCAATGAATTTCATCTCAGCTACAACATCACATTCATTAGATATAGCCTGGTGCGAAATCCAGTGCTCGATCGAGCCTCTTCCACATGAAATTCAGAAGTAGCTTTGATCCAGGTTCATGTTCAGACATGCCATTGCAAGCACAATCTTCTTACATAGATCGCCAATGCCCACATTCAGATTCAGAGTGCAGCGCACCATCAGAGACACTGCAAGATGAGCATACTAGATCCCTCCATGAGTGAAGACTGTTACATTGTAGAAGACCTTCTTGGAAAGATGCTTGTCAACAGAGATGTTGTGGCCCCCAGCCACCTGCATCATCTGACCTCGTAGACCTCATACATTCTTCAAAATTTCAGATTCAGAAGACCTTCTTAGAATGTCAACAGTTGATTTCCATTGACCAGAAGCCCAGAAACATTTAGATTCCACAGTACTTCTAGATCCTAGCATCCGATCAATCCATTCAACGGATGTGTTCTTGAACACGCATATTGGATATTTTGCTACATGTAAGTGCGGTCTTGCTCCAAATACAGAATGGCTTTTCCCCCGTCGTTATTTCTATTAATTCTATGAAGTTATATATTAGGAACTACTAGCAATCTGCTGTAACGAGTGTACCAGCTGAAGAAGCTTATTTCTTTCGCTAGAAAGTAAATCCTGACAACCCTGACTTTGGACGTACATAGACACTTCTTTGCTCATATACGACGGAAAAGCGGTGGTGGAACAAGATGAGTGGTCCGTACTATTTGATGTACTCTGAGAGGACTTGGAAGAGGTAGTTGACGATGTAGCCATTCGAGACAGAACACAGCTAGCATACTCTGTAGCCAGCAGGTCACGCAATAGAAGGAGGACACTCTTAGCCCAGCTTGAATGCGCCGGATTCGAGGCGTTGAGAGGGTCCGTTTCCGTGGTCTCGATTATATTACAGATCTCGAAGAACGGATCCACAGGATTTTTACTTTTACTAGCAGTAAACGAGGAAGTCTTTGGCTTACCAGGATACGACGAGGATGGGGCTTTGATATCAGTAGAGCTAGTAGTATTCATCTTAGCATTACGCACTCTTCTCGTTCCATTTACTCCTCCTCGCTGATTGCTCTGATCATCCTCTCGACGTGGTTCACTACCTGGAGTAGATATGTACCGCAAAAAAGCGAGAAGTGTGAACGAAAATATCTCTGGCCAAAAGAGCTTATCCTTCTCCTCTGAGGGTATCTCCGAAGAATCGACGACTTGCGTCACCTCCACAGCCGGTGAAGAAGACTCCACGGCGGGACTGTTGGCACGACTAGTATTATGTTCGTCGCCTGGCGAAGACGGCACTGAAGGCGAGGAGCAGGAAGCTTTTGAGGAGGAGCACGACCCCGCTGCAGAGGAGCAAGAGATTGTCGAACACGAGTCAGGAAAACTCGTCGCTCTACTTAGATTTTGGTCCTCACAATTCGGTGCTGCTATTACATCTTCATCCTGTTCTACAATACGACCACAGGTCCGTTTGGCGTTCTCCTCCGTTCCAGCAACATTACCCAAAAACACTTGCCATCCATCCAGCAGCTTGTAGCAGTGCAACACGCTGAGGGTAGTGGGACAAGCTTTGGTTTTCTCCAGATACAGGCGCTTCAGAAACGGAGCTCTAGAATCCGCAAACGGCGTGTGCACGAGGTCAGCTGCCCGTAATTTGACTAGGTCGTAAGGATTAAACGTCGTGTGCGGAGAAAAGCCATAGGTCAGCAAGTACTTGAAATTTGTCTTGTTGCCGTAAGTGATGAAACATTCGGAACCTTTCTTGACGTTGCGGGAGGCGCGGAAGATGAAATACTGCTCGTCCTCCTCATGCTGCTTCACATGTTGCTTGCCCTTGTCATCCAGAGTCTCCAAAGTCGCATCCAAAGTTTGTAATCCACACATCGGCTTCGGCTTAGTTCTTCGCTTTGGAGTGCGTCGACTAGAACCAGTAGCAATCGAAAATGGACGACCAGCAACACCAGTTGTACAGCCACTACCATCATCTGTCTCGTCACCACCGCCAGAGGAAGAACTACCACACCTCGGATCGCAGTTCAGCATATCACCATAAGGCACTAGAGCGCTATGTCTCAAAACCTTGTTATTCCCGTCAAACGTTGATTCCCTCGCCTCCCGCAGAAAACAAGAGCGCGTCCACACAGTACCCTGAGCCCAGAGGAAGTCACTTTCAAAGCGGATTTGCTGGAGGCGGTCTTTTGTGGCGTAGTTGTTGTAGTCTTTTAATTTAGTCTCCACGACCTTGTTATCGTCGGTTCGTATTTCCAAGGCCCTTCTCGCCATACGCGCAAACAGACTTGACTCACTGCATTTATTTTGAGATTCAAAGCTAGTAAGACCTTGCTCTTGTGCTGGGGGTGATGCAGCTGCCATGAAAAACGTCGTCCAAATGCCCCTAACCAAATCCAATTCACGTTGTATTCTTGACGCGCGTTTTGCAGATATTGCTATAGTACTCGTAGTTGCTTCATCCACGCGGCCATGGTCTTTCTCTCCCTCCTCTCCAAACACCACAGACGCTGGCGTATTATACCACTCCGGCAACACGTCAAAGTAAGGCGCCCAAAAAGAATCCGCGCCGACGATACACTTCTCAAAGAGCAAAAGCAGTACCAAAACTATGTCAATTTCGACTTTTTTCCACAGTTCTGTTGTGCTGATGGTGCTACAGCCGCTCTTGCTTGATGTAGTAATCTCCTTGTAAGCCTGCATAAACGGATGTTCATTATCATCTGTCCGCAATAACAAGGCTTTCGGGATCGCTACCATAGGGTCGAAACTTTGGAGGTCGGTTTCAGCACACAAACCACGTCCAGTAGCCGGAAATTCAGCGATACTAGTCCTCTCTAAAAATGGCGTCCCAGCTTCACGCAACCATTGGAAGAAAGCGGCATCCCTGCTGTTGCTCAACGACCCTTTCTCTTGCGACTGGTGTACTGAGTCGCGCGTGGAGGAGGGACTTCTAGAAGGATCCCCCATGATTGGTAGAGACACGGGTTGTTGTGGAGCCATCTTTTGGTAAGCTCAAGCTGTGTGCTTTACTCAGTCTCCTGGTAAAGCAACTTACTCCAACTAATCAATCAATTAATCAATCAGTTTTCCTCCACAGGGCGCCAACCTCCTTGCAGCTGCGACTGCCGCACCTCTATGTCTATCATCATCAGAATCATCTTCAGAATGAAAACTCTGCCTACTACCAAATACCATCATTCACTTACATGACCTGCATGGTCTTGTATAGAAAATCCAAATTTTCTTTTCTTGATCGACTTTTTGTTCTCAAAGAAAACTACCAGTCCTAGCTAGTACAACAGCGATGATCACGACCCATCGCGATCATCAATTTTCATCCGTTTTCAATTTGTAGGATAAGAGGAGCAGTTCGACGTATTCGCATTCCTATTCCTCACAAGGTACCGCAACAGGATCATGCTACAAAAGGATCATCCATGGAGCCTCCGCAAGATCAAGTCTATCAAAGAACGGCAGTTGTTCCACGTGCTTTGAGTCGGATCATATTCAGCTCCTCCTAGTACAATGCGGATGATTTGCAGAAAGATGGCCGTGCCAAAACGTTGCAGCATTGTCAGACATTTATAAGTACTTCAATGATCGTGTGTCGTCAGTGGAAGATGCTCAATCCTATTATATTCTCAAGAAGCAGATGAGATGCCCATCTGCAATTTTGCACCTGTTGTATTGGTCTGACAGGTTGAAAGCTTAGGCTAACTTAGGATGAACATGCTCCTCCTACGTCACCAACAAGAGCAAAAAAAAAAACTACTATACCAATTCATCTACTGAATCACTAGTAACTAATTTCTATGTAACTCTTGGCAGCGAGTATGTAAAAGTAAAAGTATCAAAGTGAGTCCCTATGATTTAGATTTACCGCAAATCTTCACAATATCTAAGAGAAACTAGAAGAAAAACATAGATTAAATTTAGCTTCTTAGGCTTTATTCTTTCAAACAAGATTTTTCTCATTCCATGTTGGGTTGCCTACGGATTGCCCTTCGTTCTCACCACGAAGTTTCAGTGAAATCTTCTGCAACCCCCTTCGAGTAACATATTTGTAATTAAAAGCGGTAAGTAACCCAGATGTATATGATCTTTTTGCTCTTTTTCTTGATGATCACCCTGTCCTCCTACAATGTCTTGTAAATCTAGTTGCAGCGGCGGCCTGCTGTGTTCCTTGGGTGAGTGGTTAGTGATACGGATTCTAAAGAGGTAACAAGTGGTATTAACACATTCATGTACAATTTACTAAAATGTGATAAATATTATTCTCCTGTAGTTGTGGAATTCAACTTCAAGCTCTCGCCTGTAGCCGGATGAATCAACTCCCACGACTTGGATGGCCTTTCGGCTTGTGGCTTTCGCCTTGTGGCTTCCCTCGGACTCAAACCTACCATCACATAATCCCCCTCTTCTTCGTCGACATGCATCTTACCTGTATTTGTTTGGGGTTGTAGGTTCAATTGAATGATACATATTCGCATTGCTAAAACTGGTACTTAGAACCTCCCTACATATTCGCATTGCTAAAACTGGTAGAACCCTACTACATATTCTCATTGCTAAAACTGGTAGTAGTACCATCCAAAAACTCTTCGCGCAGTTGTATAGGGCTCGAAGGGCCAGTCACGCTTGGCGGACGCACGTCAGGGTAGGAACTCCATCCATCTGCTGTTGGCGACGGGGATGCTGTTGGTGAAGCAGCGGCCAAACTCCGCAACGATGGTGCAGGGGCTACGTTGACTGCTTCTGTTAGAAATGATTCATTTACCAAACAAGAGGTATCTCATGGGGGATAAGCTGCACAACATTTAGCGACTAAGACTTGATGTTGAGCAGCCAGGTACTAGTAGAAGAGAACCAATGGTGCCCCGTGATGCTACCAAATAAGTACTCGAAAGATTGAAGTAGCCGGTGAAACTATTCTAATTCTAATCAGCAAAAAAACCACAGCATAAGGTTTACTAGCTAGTTATAAAGATATCTGGTGGAAAATTAATTTATCTTCATTACTAAGTTGTCCGGAAATAAAACTACTTACTCCGAAGTTGTAGCCCTTCTCATAACATTGGCGATTTCAAGATTGTTGCAGTCGCAGTTGTTTTCTCAGATCCTCCTTCCTCCAACAGCCTCGTAAGCAACCGCGGACCCATGACATCCGGATCGTACTCGTCGCTCAAAGGTGAGTCTGAAGGATACGTCACTGCTTGATCCTTCGAAGTCTGTTCCATTTGCTCCTTCGCTGTTGTGTGTGTCCAATGTTTTGCTCTTCTTCATTCAATGAAATTGAAATACAAGGACCCGACCACCCCTACAATGTAGGAGTAAGAGTAGTAGTAGTAGTAGTAGTAGTAAACCCAGTCCAGGGGTACGTCTTATAAGTGACACCAAGCATAAAAAACAAGTACTTTTAGCAAACCCACGCAGCTGCCTATCATCTCCCAATGCTGCTCTCCAGTCTGAGGCTGAAGCTGCTGTCGGAGCTGCTGTCGGAGCTGCCGTTGAGGAGCCTTCTCCCTTAGCACCTTCACCCTGAGGAGGAATATCGATTTTACCCACATGGCGCTCCACAGTCAACTTCCTGGCGGCCCCTTGCTTATGCTCCGGCAACATCTTGGAATTGTCCCCAGGAAGGGATTCGTCGAAACTTCGCAGAAAATCTATGAGCCTCTGAACTGTTGTCGCCTATTAGAAGGAGAGGACGATGTAGTATTAAAATTTGTATAAATGCTTCTTATTTGACCTACTACACATGAGTTTACGGTTGCGGTCGTCCGCGACTAGTATTATTGAAAACGAAAATCTTCCAATAAGAGATTGCGACTAAAAAAACCGCCATAAGTGTCCGTCTTAGTCGTCCCAGGAGCATGTGTTTTCGTCCCGGTTGTTGTGCTACTCTTAGTCGTAGCATTAGAGGTAGGCTTTTGGTGCTCGCTTACCCCGCTTTTTATGCCTTTCTCCCTTAGGAGAGGCATAAAAAGCGGTAAGAAAAGCACCTTTAACCTACCCTTAATAGCAGGAGCACCAACATGTGTTGGTTTCCAGTCACCCCAGTTCTCGTCATTCTTACAGCAAGAATTCATGTAATCCACAACCTCATCGTCCAGAGGGTCCGACACAGGCTCACAATCAGCGTCGACATCAACAATAGGTTCAAAGGCGTCCGGATCTGGGGTAGTGCAACGGTCTGGGGTAGTGCACCGAGGACTGACAACAGGCTCGAAATCCAATATTTCCTCTTCTGTGCTGGTACTTACACGCGTTGGCGGGTAGTCCTTGTTAGAAGCAAGAGACGGAGCGCGAACAACGGACTAGTTGTACAACTTCTATGAGTTCTTATGATCTTATGATAGCAGTATAATTGATGCACCTTCTATTGTCTTTTTTATAATCGAAATATTAGGTTGCCTAACGGTAGTAAACAACATTAGATTATTAACAAGAATAGTAGTAAGCAAAGAAGAATCGATGGACGAATTATCTTAAGGACGAGAAGACAATCAAGAGGGGAGTGTAAGATCTTACAATCTCATAAGGGTAGTTCGACCAGAGCGGAAAGTTGTATCTTCGTGTCGGAAAGTTGTATCCTGTTCAGCCATGATATCACCCATCCACCAAGGTTTAGTGAGGTCTTGGTTGGCTACCACAACTTGGTTGGCTAGGACTTCTCCATTGTGTTCTTGAGCCTCAGCTTCTGTAGCCTTTTCCCCTTTGTCCATATCACCTCTCCACCATGGAGTACCATCGTCGACGTCATGATTCTCATCGACGACTACACGTTGTTGTTTGGGCCCTGCTTTGGTTTTTCCTACTTTGGTTGTAGTAGAAGTTGGTTGTAATTCTTCGACACTGTGGTGTTCGTGTTGTTCCTCAGGCTTAGTATAAAAGCCTGTAGTTGTTTTTGAAGATGCAAGGTAGTTGTTCTTGATGTTGTTGTTTTTTTCAACTTCGCTCCATGGCTCCCAAGACGTGTGCTGTTGCCCTCTGTAGTTGTTATATGACGTCCGATGGTAGTCTGAAGACGTCCATGGCTGATCCCATCCGTCTTCATAGTATCCACCGTTTGCACTTGTTTCATGGGTATTGCGTCCTCGAGGCACCCATTGCTTCTCTGTGGTAGGGTGAGGGTTGTGGTAGTAGCCATTCTTGTTTGAGTCTCGCCAATAGCCTTTGGTGAGCAGCAACGCGGAGCAAGTAGGTAGCACCAGTAGAGATGCCACTTGGGCGCAGGCGAGAGAGGGGACGAGCGGCATCTTTCTTGGTTTCTTTGTGGTTGTAGTTTTGATACATAGAGGATGAGCAAGCTCTAGGTCGTTAAAGAGTGTCTCGTTTTTTGATGCATAGAGGATGAGCAAGCTCTAGGTCGTTAAAGATGAGTGTCTCGTTCTTGTTTTCGGAATCACAAAATGAGAGCAGTTGTAACATTAACGATTCTTCACAAGGAGAGAGAGGTTACTTATGCCCCACAAACGTGAGTAGGATCACAGTGCCCGCTGACATCCATCACACCACTGACGAAGACCGATATTCAAGCAGACTAGGAGATGCGCGCACTTCGTGTCTCTACCCTTTGATTTCACGTGATTTTCTCATGGACCTGAGGAGACACAAGTTGAAGACCTGAGAATCGGAGGCAAGCTCAATTGCAAGCAAGAGCAACTAGACCAACGCCCTTCTACAGAGCATAGCGGAATAGAGAATTCTACGGCACATAAAAAATTCTACTGGTAGGGAATACAGTGGGCGACCGTTTCATCATGTTTTTGTTCAACAACAACTGCGACGTTTATTTGCGTATGATGATGAGAGAAGTTTCTTTTTCCAGACAGTGTGTGCTGAGCAGAATGAGAAAACACGCAGAGCCACATGTTTAATATGCTGTCTTTGAGAACAAGCTGAGTGACCATGGAACAGAAAAATGGCCAACGACAGCATCTTAGACTCGTCAGCCATTTTTTCCGTGAGACTCGTCAGCCATCAGAATTACTGTGCCGGATCTTGCATCAGCCATTTTTTCCGTTCGATTTTCGCGTCCGCCCCTGGCCCTTTGCACCGCACTCGGCGCTGCACCACGTCGTCAAAATAACCTGTATGATAGGAAGAAATGGAGATTTTTTGCACCTTTTCTAGACAGGTCACAAATTTTATCCTTGGAAGATAGACGTGATGCAGGTCCAGCTACTTGGTGGAAAATCCTAGACACGAAACGCGATCCAAAAAGAAAATGATCGATGAAGTTCTAAAGAAATGAAAGTACTAACATTATTACCCTGACAACTTATTTTCCCATCTGCTCGATTCCAAAGTAACCGACCCTTCTCTTCAGGGCATAATTGACATCTAGGCAAAACACCAAGCACTCGATTCTCAGCAACTCGTTCTATGAGCTCCATTTTAGGCCCATTTTTAGGTAAGCCGTTGCGCGAGAGCATCTCAGCCAGCTGTGCGACACTCTTCTTTGCAATCTCACCCTTAACCTCCTTAATGGCAGCATATTCTGCATCGGAGAGAACGCCTTGGTTCTGAGGTGGGTGTAGCAAGTGGTTAGAGAAATAATGCGCTATCGTAGTCCTAGTTGTAGGTTAACTTAGTTTGTGCATCCTGCGCATCGAGCTCCGGCACCTGGATCTGCGCTCCGAGGATGAAAAATACGGATTGATTCATTTGCGTAACAAAATCTCTATCTCATGGAAAGGCGCTCTCTGCCATTTCTATCTACACCAGTGTTGGACATCAACTCCAGCATGATCATTCGACAAACTGAAATAACCGAGTAACTACTTGTTAAACTAAGCGAGGTACTGAAAAATGAAGAGAAATGTAGGCAAGACTCTTTTACTTCAGTCAGTAACTCGCTTATTTTCAGTTTTCGAGAAGTATATCACGACTAGTCAGTACGAGTACCTCCATCAAATCCGCCAACGACGTCTCCGCAGGCCTTTTTACACCGCCTGCCTTGCCCATCGGTGACTTCATAGCAGTGCTGGTGTCTGCTGAAACTAAGGCTTCCCATAGCTCCTGCATCTTTTTCCGGTCCTCAGGCTTCACGGCTTCTAAACCCTTTATGTCATCCAAAACGCAGAGGTTCTCCTTCATCCATTTCGGACCCTTCATCTTGGGAAAGCAGTGGATGTGATACCTTTGATGTAGTGGATGTGGTCTACCTCTCGACAGTTGTGGAGTTGTGAGTGCTTGCTGGCGATGAGTTGTGAAGTTGTGAAGTTGTTATAATTGGCGATGAGCACGACGGCGCATATTAGCCAAGCCTCAAATATTTTCTGCGTATCTGTATCACAGCATTCTCTTGACACCCGGTTTTCAGTTTGTCGAGGATTAACATTAACATGCACGCATAAATGACAAAACGTTGCGTATTTAGTAGCATATATGCACTCTCCTCTTTTTACATCAGATGACATTATAGCTTCTTCTCAACTACGCAAATAGAAAAGTACCATTTAACGCCCATCATCGCGTAATTTTTCACCCCATCGTCGCCAGCTGGAACGTCCTGGCTGTACCCTATCCTGATCGCGTCCTTGTCGATTTTGCCCTTGCACGCCTTGCACGCGGCTCGGCCGCTCTTGGCATACTCGACTTCGTATTTGTGTGTGGACATTTTCTTTCCGGTTAGCTGTAGTTGCTTCTAGAGATTAAGGAAGTACTGAGATACCACCGAGTGCGAATGGCACAGTGATTTTACAAACCGAAGAACTATCGGGTGACGAAGAGGGTCCTAGTTTTAACATCAGCCTGCAACGGTGACGGTATAGGTGGATAAATTTCCAAGTGGTCAGTTGGATGCGCAGATGGCACGCAGAATCACACATCCGCTGCTTTGGCGAAATCTTCATTGATGATACTTTTTTCTCGTTTTGAGAGACGAACCAAAAACACTATTCACATTCCACATATCGATTCTGCGTTTGCATTCGATTGCGCAGCTCTCGTTTCCATGTCGAATGATCAGAACGCTGTCACACAATCCTATGAATCTGTGCATTATTCTTTCAGGGTCCTGGCGAGTCATCATTTTGTCATAGTCATATAAATCTCGATGCGCCATAACAAGTTGACATATTTATTAATTGTTCTTTTAGTTTGTTTCAGAAGTAAAAAAGCTATAAAGTTTCACGTGAACACGATTGAAGAATCCTAGTCTACTTCTTCGCTTTCCTCCCCATCTTCGCGATCCCCGCTCTTGCCCTGTCCATCTCCACCTGGCTGATCCAGCTACCTCCTCGTGAACCTGAACTGTCACCCTCATTTTGACGACCGCTAGGTGCAGGTCCAAGTCCTAAAATATTCGCCGCAAGCGCCCTGGCTTCGGAAGTGGCTCTAAAGGCCAATCTATTCAACCCTTCACAAGTTTCGTTTCCGCTAGTCACCGCCTCGACTAGGGATCTAGCACTGGCTTCGACACTAACTTGTTTTGATTCGACTCCACCCGAGTAGTGTTCTAAGCGGATTTTCTCTTCCCTTTCCTCCCTCTGGAAATACCAAACCAACAAGCTGTAGCGGTCTTTGTGGCGATTAAGAACGGGAGAAACTTCATGCTCCGTTCGATCGGCGCGGAAGATCGCGAGACGACCTCCGACTGGAGGTACACTGAGCAGTATCTTCTTCCTTTAGCGTGTGCCACAATGCATCTCCACCCCCTCATCTTGTTGACCACGTACCTTGTAAGTATACCTTGTATTTCATCATGAGATGAAAACTATATACAGGGCAAAAGAAGTAGGAGGGTACCTCCAAGACAACAAGACAGAGATCATGGACACAGACACTAAAACTCAAGCTGACCATAATTAGTACTCGTGCAGCTGTTGCTGTTGCTAGTACTATTGGCTTCTGCAGCTTTACTCGCCTCTCCCGCACCACAACCGGGATCAACACCACGATCCAACCACAATCTTAGTTCTCCTCCATCCCGCTCCACTGCCCAATCCTCTGGGTTCAGATACAGCACACACGCTAATCTTCTACCGTCTTTCTGGGTGTTATCTACATGTCTTTGGAATCTCGCTTTTTTGCTCCCACAGTATCGCCCAACCATGCAGTCAGAGCGCTCTATCAAGTCGCCGACGCAAGTGATAGAACCGTAGATGAACTCGTCGAGTCTGGAAAGCGTTTGCGACAGCTGCGGAAATTTCTTCTTGATGTCGAGTAGGAAGATGAAAGAGGATGCCGAAAAGAGAAAAGAAGAGAGAAGGAAGAATCTTCATTTGGGAAAAGAAGCGCAGGACAGGAAATTGAAACGTAGATTAGTAGGCGTGGACGCTGCTATTACGATGATCGAGAAATCCAATCATAAACGGAACAACTATTAGTTTTTTATTGTTGATCTCGACAAGTAACTTGAAATAGAAATAGTGCAGCGCTTGGAGAGCTGCGTTAGAACCAGATTTTTGACAACATCAAGGTCAGGGTAAGGTAAGAACGCTCACAGAGGGGGAAAGTAGTGGCTATCCAATCATAAAATTCTTCTGTCCACTCCCCTTCTCCGGCAATTTGCAGACATCCACTCCCGCATGCGGTTGCACTCCAGCAGAATCGAAGTAGCGCTCTTGCCACTGCGTTCTATGTTGTCCGCAAACCCAAACTATGTCATCCCCCCTCACTTCCGGCTTATGCACATGGGCACCTATGCCTCCGTCTTGGCCTACCCAGATTTCCGACGGCTCAAACGGCATGCCGAATACTTCTTCGCGGATAGATTTCGAAGTTTCAGGAGTTAAGAAGTCGTCTATGATCGCGAAGTCGCGTTCTCGCATGGATTGGTCAAGCAGGGAACGGAGTTGCTTTGTTGCTTTAGAGGTAGCTTTTTGGTGTTCCTTCGATATTACCCCGTTTAGAACTCTTATGCCTGTGTTCCTTCGATATTACCCCTTAACTCTTCTGCCTGTGTTCCTTCGTTATTACCCCTTACCTCTTATGCCTGTGTCCCTTCGTTTACCCCTTAACTCTTATGCCTGTCTCCCACTTCCTCCACCTTAGGAGAGCCATATATCAAATGATATAAGACAAGAGGAACACCACTTTAACCTACTTAGCCTTAATTGATGTACTTGATGTGGAAGTAGCAGAGAAGTGGTTATAACAGGAGATCTTCTCAGGCACTGGTTCTTGCCCATCCCACAGTGGCAAATCTGCTACTGTGATTTCAAAAAAAGCATCACCATTGCTATCATCGCCTGTAGTGCTGTCAACGCCTCTACCACCCGCACCTTTCTGGTCTGCACCTGCGGCAGCCGTAGTGGAGTCTTTCTTATTTCTGTCTCCTCCAAAACCGTCCCAGACCCAGCTATTTCCTCGTAACGCGGCGGACCACAAATAATCGTACGACCGTTTCTCATCGCGTTTTTCAACCTTTTCCCTGGCCTTCTTTTGTTCTTGAAATTCAGCTAATTTCGTCTCCGACGACTTCCGCTCTGTGTCGTAGAGCTCTTGTAGCATCTCAACTGTGAATTAGAAACTGATTTGCCGTGGTCACTCAAAAAGCCTACTACATTCTGAATACAACAACTGAACAATTAGATAAGAGGAACAACTACCATTAGTTTTAGTGGTGATCACTGCGAGGGCCACGAAAGAAAAGTAATAATACATAGTGCTCCCAAACTAACAAAAATATTAAATTTTCTCCTCCCTAAACTTTGCTGTAAATCATGACTCGATTCTTCAGGTTCTGCTGCCTGCACTGCTCCGTCAACTCCATGACGGCCACCAAAACGCTCTTCGTCGACAAAGCACCTATTGCCCCGTTCCGCTTCAAAGTGCTCTTCAGTTTTTCCACCAAATGCGGAAAGCCGCTACACCCCTGCATCAGAGCTTGAAACTGCTGTTGTGCAAGCTTAATATCAAGAGGTGGAACACATTTGAGACTGAAAAGGGACTGTAGCACTTGAGCACGATCGCCACGGGCATTGACGGCAGGTAAGCGTATGAGGCGATGTAGGCGATCGAAGAAACGATCAGATAGGAATTGCAGTGTTGCTGAAGCTTGATCATTGCGTTCATGCTGCGAACCGCCGCTAGAAAACAGTTCTCTAATATGTTCCTTGGTCCTACACCGCACTAACCCAGTGAAGCCTTTCCCAGCTCGCCATTCGATCAGACGTTTGAGAACTAGAAGATTTGATGAAAAATTAGAAGAATCCTTTCCGTCAGCGAACTTCCGCACCAATCCTCCGACAAAAGCTTGCGTCAACCCTCCACACGAGAGCACGCCAAAAGAAGTTGTACTTTGCGAATCATTTTGGTTCACTTCTTGAACTAAACTAGCACCGTCGAAAATGGTGAAGTTTTTCTTCTCCTTGTTCAGTGATGTACTACAAGTAGAATGATTTTCATTTACGTCTCCAACTTTCGAGGACTCTATTAAAGGCTTTACACAGTACTCCTCCATCCCCTTTTCGTACTCGCCATCCGGGTCCGCGTAGGCTCCAAATGGATGAAACACAGAGCATTTACCCTGTAAAACATGCGGTACAGGACGTAGTAGGTCTACATCCGCACTAGAGAAGTTGCAGACTCCCACAGCTCTGATGTGACCTTGTGTGACCCCCTGTTGCAGACAGGCCCAAACCCGTTGCACGTGGAAAGAAAACGCGTCTTCTGTGGTGTCAAACCGAAGCTTCTTGTCCTTGTGTTGGCAATCACCGTCAGAAAGGAGGTTTTTCACGGAGAAGGGAGTGTAGGCAGCGGAAGATATTGATTGATTGATTGATGTGCCTGGCAAGAGGTCGTTGTTGGAAGAAGTGCTACTTGCTTGTCCTGCTGCAACTCCCCTTTCGTCTCCAACTGCCTCTGCACTCCTCATCTCAGTTCCAAAATCCGACACCGGATGATGGATCAGAAACACATCGACGTAGCCTCCAAACAAACTTGCCGCTCTCGCGATCCAGGAACCCGGATCGGCCCAACCACAGTCTGGCAATTTCGTAGAAATACAAAACTCTCCTCTCGGGATGCCACTTTGCCTTATGCAATCCGCTAGAATCTCTTCTGATTCACCGTAGGTCGGTGCCGTGTCGAAACGACGGACATGGCACTCCTGGATGGCACAAAGAAGTAAAGACCTCAGAGCTTGCGTTTCCTTCATATTCTCCTTGGCGGAAGAGGAAGAAGTTGTGAGTGTGAATGGTTCTGGTATTTTTGGTATAGCCTGAGTTTGATCCTAAGGGAATGGGAAAACAAGAAGAGAACCCTTAGGATCAAATTCAGGTTACACCAAAAATACCAGAACCATACAGAGTGTACTGCTGCAAGATGAAGCACTACTATTCATTTTCCACAATCCGAGACCAAGCGCAGGCACGGCAACGCCGTTCGAGAGAGTCCTGCTTTGGTTGGCTGGATTGTTGCTCTTCTCTTCTTCTGCAGTCGCATCCTCGAAATCGTAGCGGTCGAACAAGGATGGTTGCTTTGCTAAAAAAGTGAGAGATGCACGTTAAGTTGTTGAGTCAGTAGGAAATAATCGTCTTTTGGAAACTTCGGTCCAACTCTTTTTTTTCAGAATATACTTCGGTCCAACGTCCTTATAGATAGATTGAAGGTGTACTACTAACCCTATAGACGTCCTTATAGATAGATTGAAGGTGTACTACTAACCCTATAGACGTCCTTATAGATAGATTGAAGGTGTACTACTAACCCTATAGACGTCCTTATAGATAGATTGAAGGTGTACTACTAACCCTATAGTTGGTTCATGAAGTCGAGGTGTTGTGCTGCAAGAGGTGATTATATTTGTGGTGGAGCCAACGAACTAGGAAAGATTGAAAAAGGTAAAGATATATAAGTACTATTAGTCCGACGTATAGATTCGAACTCTATTAGTCCTCATCATCATGGAGTCTACCACTGATTAGCTTAGTACGTCTGGATTCGTATTCTATTAGTTGTGGTGGAGCCGACCTAACTAGAGAAAAGACAGAAAGGACTTTAGTCTTTAATAAATAGATTCGTATTCTGTTCGTCCCGCTCCATACCACAACTCTCCTCACCATCACCATCATCTCCACCAGCCAACAGTTCCCGCACAACCGGCTCCACGTCTACTGTTTTCAGATCCTTTAGCATGGTTACCATCTCGATCCTCATTCTAGTCATGCCTTCCCAAGCACAATCTGCGTCGTTCAAGCTCAGTAATCTAGACAGTATTTGCCATGCATGCGCGAATTCAGGACATTGGAAAGCACATAGACGTGCTACGAAGAGCAAACGTTCTGCCTGTCCGTAGAGGGAGGAAGTAGACGTAGTAGAGGCACTTGCAGTTCTCATATTGAAGGAATCTAGTCCTGAAGACGATGACAAAGCTTTCTTCTTGGTGATATCTAGTTGCAGCAGCTTTCGCAGGTTAACTGCGTCTAGCTTCCATAGGCCTTTTTCACGTCCATACGCGAGAAACTCAGCAACTTGCGATGCACAAGAGGACTCAACATTTTTCTTCCGTCGACGCACTCGGACGGGATGATCTATGGGTGCAGGCGGTAGCGCGTCGTCCGTTTCAGGCTCGCCAGCATCAGGCTCGTCAGCCGCACCAGCGTCTGCATCTTCGGCTTGATCGCGACCAGCTTCAGCATCAGCCACCTCTACTTCTTCTGAGTTACTGTCGGACTCTGCAGCAACTGCTGGTGCAGCAGGCTGAATACGTCCAAAGCTTTGGGACAGCAGAGCCAAGAGCGGATCGCCACTTTGTTGGAACATGGTTTTGTACTACAATTTAAGCAACTAGTACATCTGTCCTTGTGTTTTTGTAAAAAAACTCATTCCTCTATTTTCCAATTTCTTTTTTCTCCAGCGCGATGCCTCTTCTCTTGCAATCCTAATCTTTTTCATAGAAGTGTATCGCAGGAACTCTATACACCCATCACTCAGTTGTACCTCACGTCTCCATCGCTCTCGCGCGGACACATTTTTGCAGGTTGGAAGAGAGCCTACTTGGCAAAAGTTTGATGACGGGGATCGATACGTACAAGTTAAAACTCTACCGCATCATACGTGTTAGCACAAGTTACTACTCATCCTGGTCATACAGGTTAGATACATTTCCAATCACTTCGGTCAGCACTCTCCTACTTTGTTAGTAAAGTATTAGCTTGCTGTAGATCAAAGCATGATCTAGACTCGACTGAGGCTAAGTAAGTCAAGATTTCCTTAGAATCAGCAGTCACTTTTATGATCGAAAAAACCAGCCACACCTTCACTTTCAGCTCATCACTGATTCTCATCTTGCTTATCTTCTTAATCAATTAGTCCAGACACTACCCTCCACTCTACCGCATCCCCATACTGCTTTCCCCATCCTGGTGATCGTAGCCACTCGCACCCCCAGTCAAGGATCGTTTCTCAGCCGGCGTCATTCCTCGAAACAAGTGTTCGCTGACCCCAACAAAAACCGTATCCGTACTCCCGTCTTCAAAAACGTACTGCGTTCGCTCTGGCCAAGTCAGGTACTTATCAGGCGACTGCCTTTGCAGCAATTCCGGTAAAGGATTTTTCGTACTCTTATCGAGTCCACTCCAAATCCAGATTTGTCTAGGACAAAGGACTTCGAAGGGAACAGTGCTGTTGGACCGAGTTACTTCTAGGAAAGTAGAAGTCCTAGGAGCCGCCTTGTGTTGAAAACCTCCAGCACCATCTCGGACACCATTAACCGCAACACCGTCATCACGACCACGCATTTGACCCGTGAGATCTATTTGTCCACTCGCATTTGGCCACAATGCGTTTAAGAGTAGATATTCGTCATAAGCGTCTCTACAGCTCCTCCATCTAGCGATTAATTCTTGGGCTTTTTCTTCATACTTTTCGATCCTATTCGATGATATAGTTCGCTTTTTAGAAGGAGACGGTCCCTCACCCCTGAGGTGAACAAAGTCTTCAACATCTCCATCATCTTCTTCGTCAAGACCGGGAGCAGAAAGGATTGCGTAGTCTAGAAAGGTAAAGCCGGCTCTTCCACGAGAAGCAGCATTTCCAGAAGATCCAGCTCCACGCGCCAAAAACCTACTTCTAATTCGCTGTTCATCACTTGCGTCTAATTCTCCTCCACCTCCACTTTGTTCAGAAATTCTTCCGGAACTTCCTCCAGGAGCACCTGCTGCTATGAGTTTCGTAAACCACTCCCTAGTTCCTCGTATCTCCAACCTGACCTCCATTGTCTGCCATCTTAGTTCGCGTAATCTCTTCACCAGTTCGTAACAAGCCTTATATTCAGCACCACCCACTAAAACGACACCCGGATGACCTGCCTTTGACCAACCATGGAGTCCAAGCTCTCGGCTCCATTGAACCAAGGCAGCGCGCTTGTCCTCATTGAGCAAGTGGTGAAACAGCAGCAAGAGAATACAACTCGAATGGATTCTGTCGTCTAGAATTTCTACTGCCGCAGAAGCATCTACGGGAAGAGCAGCATTGTCTTTGTCGTCAGCAGCTCCTGCGTCAGCTTTTTTGTTGGTACCCCAACGTCCGCGCTTGCCCATTTTATTTTCTGGTTAAAAAAAAAGTAGAATGTGTGATCCTGATTCTCCATCTTCACATAAAGGAGTGGTGATAGAGTTGTGGTCTCATTAGACTTTTACTACTTGCGCTACTCCATAATATTATTTTCCGTCCACCTGCTCATCATTCTTTCTTTCATCATTTTTTCTTGGTTGCAAGAAGAACTTCATCATAATGGAAAGGGAATGGCATTCAAGTTGAACACTCATTCAACTACAGAACAAATCAAATGAAGTCTGCTTTCCCAATTTTGTCCGTGCGTTATTTGCGCAGGATGACCTCGCAGTTTCGGTTTCCAAATTCAGGATATATTAAAACAGGATCGTTGAAGATTCTCAAAGAACTTCTTTCTTCTGATATTCATAACTTCGTTGAGGTTGGTATAATATCGCACATGATACAAGCACGATTGCTTCCCTGTCACAAAGAACTGCGTGATATAAGTGCTCACCCCCATTGTTGTACATAGAACTCGAAACGAGTGTTTTAAGTACAACATCTAAATTTCAATCGTCACTAGATGTAGTAGATCGTGCTTCTTCTTCTGAATGAATGTGCCTAGCAAGAGGTGTTTGCATTGCCTAGCAAGAGGTGCTTGTCGTTATGTGCTTAACAGTCAGTCCTTCATTCAGTGTTGGTTACCCCACAATCACGATCCATTCAACACTGATTCTTCTATATCAGCTTCAGCAAATTCACGCACCAGCAGCCTGAGCATCCGCCTTTGCGGCAGGTTCAGTTGCGGCAGCCTTCTCAGCAGCAGGAGCCTTGGTCTCGGCTTCCTTCTTGGCCTCAGTTTCCTTCTTGGTTTCGCCTTCCTTTCCAGCCTTAGCTGTGCCACGAACACGGTGCGCCTCAGCTTCCTTTTTGGCGGCATCCGGGTTCATAATGGATTGGACGTTGTACTTGTGGTACCTGTAGTTGAGAAGAGAGTTTGGTTTCTTACTTCATTCACGTTGTACTTGTGGTACCTGTAGTTGAGAAGAGAGTTTGGTTTCTTGCTTAAGTTTGGATGAAATTTTGCTTTTGGTGCATAAAATAAATTGTGTAAGTAAGAACATTCTTACTTCTCCCATTTTGCGAGCAATCCGACTCCCATGAACAACGGGTTCACCTCCACATTAATGCACACATCCGGCTTGTCGATGCTGACTGGATGGCCATCAGACCACTGATCGATAACTTTCAAAATAGCATCCTTGGTCAATTTCTTCACACCTCGCGTCTTGAACTGCAGAGCCCAAGTGAGGACCTTGGTCTTGTCTGCGAAGACCGGCTTGATCTCCTTCTCAGCCAAAGCACGGAAAGCCTCGAGAGTGGGTTCGACGCTGTTGTTTTTTTGGCAACAATAAATTGTAATGTAATGTAGTATTGAATCATCTGCACTGGAGAAGGTTTTCAAATGATTCTAACACATCAAGGTGCGTAGTTGTATCATAAATGCATCACAAACAAAAACAAATTCGGAATCTAAAAAAAAAGCTAATTCAAATTATACAGGAAATCGCAAGGCAGAACTCGTGTTAGTGCAAGACTCTTTTCCTGACCCTGAGCGAATCGCTCAAGCAGCCCCGTGGCTAATTCGGTTGGTTTCTTGTCACCAGAGCAGCGGATGAAAGAGACGCCTGTTTTTGATTTTGGTTTTGATAGATATGTAAGTGATAGATGAAATGTTAGTCGGTTCGGATTGGACCTACGATATGTAAGATAGATGAAATGTTAATACTTCTCTTCTAAAAGAAGCACAAGCAGGAACTACAATCTAATAGAGGTTCATCTTGATCTCTCTTATCTTTCTCGATCTATAAATACCATGCGGAAACTTGTGATCGATGATCAATTCGAATTTGCGCTTTTCAGCCTCGTTCTCGCTATCCGGCCACGCTCTTCGGAGAGCATGCATGCAGTCATGGGTAGCTGACTTCATACTGATGGTATTCTGAGCGGTGATGAGGATTCCTCTATCCTTCGCAACATCCAAGCCTTTCTTCCTTTGGCCATTGGGCTTCTTCCCTTCGGTCTTGGAACCTGCTTCAGCTGGCTTAGCAGCCTCCGCTGGCTTAGCAGCCTCTTCAGCTGGCTTAGCAGCCTCTTCAGCTGGCTTAGCAGCCTCTTCAGCTGGCTTAGCAGCCTCTTCAGCTGGCTTAGCAGCAGTAGCATCAGCTGGCTTAGCAGCAGTAGCATCAGCTGGCTTAGCCTCTTCAGAAGTCTTACTTTCTTCAGAAGAAGTCTTACTTTCTTCAGAAGTCTTCTGCTTCTTCGCTTCTGGCTCCTCCTGGGCATCTGTAGGTTCCTCAGCACCGCGCTTCTGGGGAGCCTCAGCCCCAGTTTTAGTCTCCTCCACGGCAACGGGGGCCTTCTCCTCTACGGCAACAGGAGCCGCAGGAACTTCAGTAGTGGGTGTCGTCATTGTGAGTTTTGATTGATACAATTATGCTTGGTTGATCAAAAGAATGTAGTTGTAGTTGGTTCTAAAAAATTAGAATGGGAGGTTTCTTGTAGTTCGATGTCGTTAATATTGATGAAATTCGCCAGCGCCTGAGAAAACGAATTTACAGTAGGCCAGGATGTTTCTAAGCACTTGTGACAGGTAAAGCAGCATTCCTAACTTTCCAGAAGATGTAAAGTTAAAGCAGAGAGCAATTCATAGATCTTGTATTTCCCCAACATCGAGGTCGTGCATAGTCTGGACCATCAAGTAGCAGTGATCTTTCTCACTGGGATCGGAGGAGATCTTTCTTGCAAATAAACGGAGCCTGATTTTGGAGATCTCTTATGCTACTTACCATCTCTTGCATGCGATCTTTTTACTGTTTTGGATGTCGAGCAACACATCAGCTATTGTCATTTGTGGTGAAAAATGGACCCAAAATCTCACAACGGCAGTCGAGACGTGGTTAATGAACTACACGAGCTGCACCTCATTTATGTTCGTCTCTGGAAGTATTGTTCATTCTTCAGTCAATCTTCGTTCATCAGGACAACTCATTTTTCAATCACGAGGACAACTCACTGTGTAATACCAACATGCCTTTGCCTTTATTAGGTCTAAAAATCTACGAATATGCTGTATTCTTGGCATTTTCACGTCGCTACCTATAAGCATCTGTACAAAGAAGGTGTCCTTTCGATCAGATTTCGGAAACCACTAGTTCTAATACTATTCAATATTCTTGAAAATCACGATACTTATGGCTTGGAGCCAGCACTAGTGCTCAGATGAAGAAGCCTGCCGCTGCCGAAATTGTTGCCCCGCGTCATTACAGCAGCCACCTTCCCCCCCCCTGTAGTAGCATTTTTTCAAGGTTTAAAAACCTTACTAAACTGCCGATAATCTCAGGGGCCGCGTGATGGTACTTCCTCAACTGTATTTGTTTGATTTCTTTCTTACGCGGCCGCGTGGTACTTTTAGTTGCTTGCTTACTTTTTTATTAGGGCTGTCCGATATTCGTCTTGGATTTCCATCCTTGAACCGTATCACGATGAGGGTACTCCCTCATACTTTTCAGGGATGCTCTGAAAGATGAATTACATCTAGTCTTGATGTTACTTACTACATACCAGCTTTTTATATGACAGAATCAATTTGTTTATCCCTCTACTTCTTATTCCCAAATATTTTTGTTTTCGCATTCCTATTAACAATCAACGCAACTAATTAGACAAGAGCAAGAGCAGCAATGTCTTGCTGTAATTACTCTTATCTAAGAAAGTGCTGCCAATAAAAACAACTGTAGACCTCAGAAAAAACTATCGACAAGCATTCTATCTACATCCAAACAATCACTTTAACATTCACCAAGAACAAAAACAAAGACAAGCAGTAAGATGGCTAGAAGTGAAACAGAAGTGCTGGCAGCACTCTTTCAGCCTACCCGTCGCAACTTCGTGATATTACTTAGTCATGATATCGGACAGAATACTAGGAGTGGGCCCACCTGCGAGGAGATGGGCGCTCGCGCACCATGATCAAGATCAAGTCCTGCCTTAGTACTATCACAGCCTCTAGCACTATCGCGGCCTTTAGTATCGCAACGCTTAGGATAGGATAGGAGTCGGCACACATAGAAATACGATCGGGGTCCCCCTCTTCCTTACTCTTAATGTTACTAGTGTGAGTATGCTCTACTGCAAGTCTCCTCGAGTGGTCCAAAGTGCTGGATCCGTCGCTTCTTCGGTTCATCTGTCATTGCTTCCCTTGGCGTCAAGGGGTGCTAAGACAAGGTCGAAGTAGTAGACCATCGGCCCAGGCCCTTTTCTAGCCATATCACACCTCCTCTGGCTCGTGATTGTTGGCTCTTGGGTAAATATCAATAGGTTTTTTTTAATAAAAATCTTAACCAATTCAAATTCTCGACATTGCTACTCTCGCTGCCAAGTGTTGTTGTTGTTGAATATAAAGTGCCCCGCTATTCTTTCGAATAGCTGCAGAGCACTAGCGGTTCATTCTTTTGCGCAAGTCATTGTAGGCGACAAAGATGGAGCTTCGTCTTTTAGCACACATCCTGACCAGCCTTTACACATTAGTCTTTACCTCCACCTTAATACTCGCTTTTACACGTATTTGAGACCATCTTCGTTATCATAGAAGCCACCACTTTCTTTGTGAAAAAAATGAGTCGCCATCGATTCGCTGCGTGAAGGTCTCTCACGGCCTCTACTACAGTTGTGTCGATGGTGATTCATATCTTCGGAAAATATCTGAAAACTCTTCAGCACCAAAGAAGTAAGCCTCTACACCTTGGTGCTGTATGATATTCTTCACCAATAGCTTTGAAATAATTGCAATAGCTACTCAGTTTGCATTTCTTCATCCCATTAATTTGCATAAGTTTGCTTTTCTTCATCCCTCGTGATCGGTCCTCTTTCATCCACCCACGCTGAAAGGCAAATAGAAGTAGTGGCAGCGATCTTGACAACAGTCACATAGTCCAAAAAGATACTGTTCTATCAGCTTTTCATCATTCCGCTATAAATAGTGCCAAGCAATTGCGGCCAGCCTCTGAAGGGGCTGTCGGCTACTCACCCCGGGACTGTTTACCAACTAGCAGCAGCCCCCCTTCTCGGAAGGCGTACCGGGGGAAGCAGTGGCCAACTAATGACCCACTACCCGCCCAGCAGTCACTTAATGAGTAGTAGATGATTAGTGGGACAAGACCCACTAGTCGCCCACTAACTAGGCACAAGTTTACAGAAGACTCCAACTAGTGAGGCTGATCCACGTTTTTGCTTGATGAATGTTGTGACTGCCGACACCAGTATGCGACAACTGATCCCGATCACCTGACCTCCTACGAACGCCCCTCAAGCTGTGCTGGTGTGCCTAGTTTCCCATTCACCGCCATCCAGAAAGCCCAACCTATAAAACAGATCAAGAAAATAGCGAAGATGATAATCAACGCTTCGACGAATTTCATTTGCAGAAACGAGACACGCACCAGGGAAGCCGAGAGGCCAGCCCCTGCTAGCGAGGCCGCGCCCTTTTCATCCTGGAGAAAGAGGCAAGCGAGCTGGGGGGGCCCCTTGTATGCACATGTAAGACCACTTTTTTCCGCGGTTCCGACTACGGAAATGGTCGGCACCACCGAAGACTCCCCATGCTTGCTGACGGCATCCGCGTCTAGCCCCTTCCCCCCTTCCTCCTCTTTTTCGTACCATAACTCCCTGATGACTTTCGTGCCTCCTCCACGAGACAACTCTGCACCCGGGAAGAAGATCCCCCTTGACCCACCTCCTGGAAATTCCTCATACTCTGTGATGGCCTTCGTCAAGACAGGAGGAAGCGCGGCGCAGCTCTTCTTCACCATCGCGACCCGAGCCTTGCTTCTAAAAAGGCCAAAAAACTTCGCCCACCCGCCTTTCCCTAGGTTTGCGCAGGCCTCCAACATGGTGCGCGGTAGCTTCGCGGTCAGCGCCAGCTGAAAGCCAAAAGCGAGGCCGCGCGGGCTGTAGGGAGCCGGTATGGGCTTCGTCACCGATGTCGTACGCACAAGGCGCCCCCACTTGGATCTGCTGGATTTTTCCATCTCGACCAGCCGCGTGTACGTCTCCCAAAGGTTCGACCACGTTGCATCCCGTTGCCGTTTTCCTTTTTCGTTGCGTTTGCTCGTGATGATCTGTCTACTGTACTCTTTCGGCAATAGATAAAATTCCACCACTTCGTTCTCCTTCCAGAAAACAGTCAGCCACACATCCTCCTCATCTCCCTCATACTGCAGCAGGCCGGAGTACTTCCCCAGGCGTTTTACACAATCGCCGTCCTGAAACCCGTTGCTAAGCGCCGTAAGGACGCGCGTGGCCATATACTTGCCGTGCTTGCACAGACCCTCAAGCGCCTTCTTTTCATCTGCAGTCTGCGTTCCAAGTCGGTGGACCCATTTAATCCGCTCTGGGTGTGTCGCCTCACCTTCTCCACTACAATCGCAGCCCGCCGAGGACCCACAACCACAGTCTGACAGCTGAAAAAACCCACCCGCGTGACCCACCGCGTCCGCCCTGGTTTCATTCCAAGCAGCAGGGGCCGCCTCAATCTGCAGCATGTCATTGCCCTGGGCCACTTCTTCGCCGGTTTTGTTGACATCCGGGGCACGCCCGCGCATTTCGAGCACGGGCGAGGAGCTAGGAGCAGCGAACGCCTGGCCACGTGGTCAGAGGATTGGAAAATAAGCGCGGTGGAGCCGACCTAACTAGGAAAAAGAAAGACCAGAGGAAGATAGAAAAGAGAAAAAATGCAACCATCGCCAAGCAAAAGCATCGCCCTATCTGCCAAAACTAACCAAGCGCCAGCGCTATCGCCGTCCTGTCAGCCCCACAGGCCTCACCTTCGAGAGCAGGCCAGAGCCCTGCGCAACGCCTCCGGCGAGTGCTCAGCCCTCTGGCTGTGTGCGCAGGTTTATTCGCTATGGGGTACCGGTTCACCGAATAAACCCAGAACCAGAGAGCAGGGCCCTCGCTACTTTACATCTACTGCTAGCCTTGCAAACTCTCACGCAGAAGCCGCAGCAGAATACCCACGCCCAACACTAGCGCCAGCCCTGTACCACCCTAGGCCTGTCGCGGATTCTTTACGCCGTAGCTTATGCCTAGAACCTCTCACAGAATCCGCGGCCCGGCAGATACTACCAAACCACGCCCATGGCGATGCGCTTGACTTCACTCGGCGCCCCTACGTCCACACAGCGCACGCCGCTGCGGTCCCCATCGGCTCCCACTACACTATCTACAATACCTGCACACTCGCAGCCCGGCAGCACGTGCTCACCCCGTGACTATCTGATACTGTGACGCCAAGGCCCCCGGTATAGCGCATCGACCTCTTCAACGGTTTGGGCCTCTATGTGTCGCCGCGGTCATTTTCTATGCTAAAAAAGACAGCGGACGCATGACTTACAAACACTAGGCGCGCGAGGTCTGCGCAATGTGTTGGGAAAAGCTGACGCCGGGAGACGGGCCCTCCGATGGATGGAAAGCACCGCCAGGGAACTCCTACGGCCCCCAGGTAAGCACTTAGTTACTACCAGAGCCCTAAGTGATAACTGTGCTGGAGCCGACCTAACTAGAAAAAAGAAAGACCAGAGGAAGATAGAAAAGCGAAAAGGGTAATTACCATCAAGCATCCTCCTATCTGCTAAAACTAATTAAGCGCCGGCGCTATCGTGCTAAGTATAGTTGCCAGTAGAGTCCTAACCACTACGAAATGACTGAAAACGAAATAAAAAATCCTACTTTTTTTGCTCTCAAATGAATAAGTAATCATGACTCGCGAAAAGCACTCGAAAACGAGCGGAAAAACCTGGGCCGCCCTAATGAAGGGACTGACACCAAGACAACCGACAAAAGAACGCCAGCAAAAAGCCCCAGAGGCCACCCGAGTGCCTCTAGCTTCAGCACGTTCAAGCCTGAGGCCTTTTCTTGAGTAGCGCTACTCAAAATCAGGCCTCAAAACACCCTGGGTTTTGAGGTCTAAAAGCCTCAAGCCTGACCTTGCGACTTTCGTTGAGTTCCGCTACTCAGAACAGGCCGCAAAAGCCGCTGCTTTTTGCGGCCTGGAAGTCTCAAACTGTTCGATTGAATTGGCTTGCGTCAGATCCTCAAATTGAAAATCATCCTCAAAAGCCAGTCGCTTTTGGACCCTTTTCCCGGTAGCTCTACCGATTGAGTTGGCCCTACTCAGTGAGTAGAGCTACAGGAAAACCCCCTCAAAAACCACTGGTCTTTGCGGATGATATATTCACTCTGAGGATCCGATGCTCGCAAGACAATTTATACAGCCTGAGACCCCTCAAAAACCAGTGGCTTTATTTTGAGGGCTAGTCTGAGTTTCTCTACTCAAGAAAAGTCTCAAAATTCAGTCTGAGACCTTCAGGCCCCAAAGCCTGCAGCCAGTGGCTTTTGAGGCCTGCTCTGAGTAGCGCTACATATCAAAACCCTCGTGGAGGATCCTGCTGCAGGCCTCAGAGCCTTGGGGCCTACTCTTCGCTAAAGAGGCCGGGCACTGCAGATTCTTCACCCCCGGCCAGTCGCGTGAAGCTGCGCCGCGATACATCGCCCGGCCCCCTTCGTAAGTCTGGGCCGCACTAGGCATGCAAGGGCAAAGTTTGGCCAGTGCAGCCCCCAAGCTTTTCCGCCTTACTCTACCAAGTGTGGCCAGGAGTAATGGTAACAATTATATTGCCACCCATTCTGGTGTTGTTATGGCTATAGTAGCAGCAACAACAAGTACAAGGTCGCCCCTAGTGGTTTCTTATCTTGCTCATCATGGCTCGTAGAAGTATGCTCTTGGTTATTGTTCCTCATCGTCTAGAAGATGAGGAGACGAGGACAGTTTATTCAAATTTTCTCGAACCACTTTAGTGGCAATAAAAATTCAGCAAGGTCGCGGTAAAAGTCCACTTAAGTTGTCGTGGTAAGTACAAGGGTACCTGAGTAGGGTAGCCCCGCTGCGCCAGAAACTGACCACGGCCATTTCCCGCAGCACCCAATGCACCAGCGAAGAGCAGGGGGAGCATACGTCCGATATTGGCAGAAAAAGTGGACGACATCTTGATTCTTTTTGTAATTGTTGGATGGGGTAGCAAAGAGATCGGCGCGAGGGGATAGTGACTAATACACCTACGAGCACTGTTTTTGTTGTTGACGACCTAGCGCTTTTACTATAAAAGCAGCATGGTGGAGGCGGAGGACTACGTGAGGCAACGAGAAGTAGTTACTTGTAGATCAGTTCTACTCTCTAACCCTTTGAAAAAGAATGACGATCAAGAACAAACCCCAGACTACGATCGATGGCGCTGATCATACAGGAAACCGCGGACCTTTTTTGCAGAGGGATGACGATGATAACTTCTTAGTCTTTCAAAATGCGACAAACTTAGGAAAGAGGGGGTGAAGGAACGACAAACGCGCCTCTTAGACTTGTGCTGCTGTGGAGGTTTTTCGATAAAATAAGTCAAAAAAATCATTACCAAGGACGTGGTCGGTACCACAAAAGCTGAGTCCTTACAAGGGGCCTCGTCGTCTGTCCTCATCAAGCAGAGCCGCTAACGATGCTCCCATCTCGCTCTCCCAAACAGAAGCGGCAACGCTGCTTCCCTCTCGCTCTCTCAAACAGAAAAACTAGCGCTGGTCACCTCTCTCAAACAGAAATATTGACGCTGCTTCCCTCACGCTCTCTCAAGCAGAGGCGCTAGCACTGCTCTTCTCTCCCAAGCAGAAGCGCTAGCGCTGCTTCCCTCTTTCTCAAACAGTGACGCCATAAAGAGCGCGCTCTCTCTGTGCCAAGAAGCAGAAGCGCTGCTTCACTCTCAGGCAGAGTTCTCGTTGCTACAGTCTCCCGGAGAAGTATCTATAATTCTTGTTGCTGCCCTCTCAGACAGATCATATGGTGGCCCTCACAGACAGAAGCGTCGCCGCTGCCTCTCTCTCTCTCAGACACGCTGTTGGTGCTCAGAATGCTGAGGATGCCCGATACTGACCTCCTTGAAGGTACTCAAACAGAAAGAAGAAGCACTAGATCGGCCAGCGCAACGACCTCACTCCGGTCGCTTCTTTATTTTCATCCGGATCGTGGAATCATCATGGGAGTGGCTCTCCATCGTCAGAACGACTGATCTTGTTTGTCTAAGCCCATACGCTTGCTGCTATAATGATTGACATGATCAAGGTCACCCTTTCGTACTGTTTGTAGCGATTTTTTTCAAACCTCTATGAAAATATTGCCACTCTTTAGGAATAGCAAGATAAGATCAGACAGATTTAGACTTTATAATAGCTCCGGTTCCTTAGAAGTGGAACTAGAGTAGATAGATTGGCTGACATATGGTATCTCGAGGCTAAGCTGATTGCTCTTGAATGGTATCGCGGCATTGGTTAGGATTTGAAGGAAGGACTTTTCGACTTTCGTTGATGATATTAGATCTGCTCAGTTGCACGCGTGTCTGAGACTGTGCTCCCACTCGTAGCATATGAATTCTATGCCATTCATTGTGTGTCACTCCTTTGTGTTTTGCGGCATGTGTCTTGCTCACCTCATAGTAGTATACGCAGAGCAGTGCTGCGAGCAGTATTCCCATGAAAAACCCAGAGGTCAATGTGGGTTGTTCTCGTAGGTGCGTCCGTCTAGATCTCGAATTCGCAACATCTTCGCCATCGCCTTCGCCGCAGCGATCTCTAATATTTTTCGATGATGTTGCCAGTCATGCGTCTTGATCTTACGGAGCTCGTTTAGTTCGATGCACAACTACAACTACTCGTTACATCATTTATAACGACAAACCCACTTCAACACCACAACGTAGTAGTTACCCATAAGAATACGTCCTCAAGCAACGACGCCTTCGCAGCCGTACACCTACACGCACTTCTCATAAAGACACCACATCAGTCTCGTCTGGTAGTCAAACCTATCGGAGTCCACTTGGCCCTGTGGTACACAGACCTATCGCCCGTAAAGCCCTTCTATGCAAGCAAACAAATTCGGACGCGTCTCGGCGCGGCGAATCAGGGCCGGGCCTTCTTCCTTCACCAGCACCTCCGCACTGCGTAGCTCGCCGGTGTAGTTGAATCCCAGAAAATTAAAACAGCCTCCAGGATGACGAGGATAACCTGTTGGCGAAGGGCCTAGAGGTAATAAAAAACATATTGAGGTAATAAAAAACATATAAGTAGATGATGAGGATGAAGAGACAACTCAGCAGATGAGATGAGGCTGTTGACGATGATGGACCTGCTTACCACACTAAGGGGCATAGAAGCGTAGCATCATCCCATCTCTCTGTGGAACACGGGCACAACCTCAAAAAATTGATTTTGAAGATGGAAGACTTGTAGACGTAGCATCCAGATCTACTTCAGCTTCTACTTACTTGCTATGTCTTAATAGAGTGCCCATGTGCACCAGCATCGTGGATTAGAAACAGGTCTCCCACCTTAGGCTCCACGGGAAGATATCAGTCTATCGCAAATTTGTCGTTGTTCTCGCAGAGGCCTCCTGTGACATCGTGCATATTTCTTTTAAATGCCCCGTGCTTTTGAGTTGGATTTGATTGCGAAGTATTGGACGCGTTCTTATCGGGTAGGTCAAAGGGAATAGGCGGAGGTTGATGATGTTTAAAGTATTACATTGTGATCCATGGATTCTCTTTCAACTCGTCCATAGTTCAAAACATCTCTCTGACCATCTCTCCACGGAAATGAACTCAACCGACAAGTAACAAATACACTCTGATACTTGAAATCTGTAAGGATTCGCATATACACTCATGTGACAGAAGCAGTCTCAATCAGAGTTTGTACCTACACTCTCTGCAACTCACCTCTTAACAGACGAACACATAAAAGGCATGTTGGGATCAACTTATCCGCTAAATCCACTCGTACTATTTCTCAGTTTTACAGAATTAAGGTTGACAGATGTGTGACTCTCTAGTCTTGCTCTAGTCTTGATGTTCACACAAAAGAGTAGAGTGCAAAGCTTTTGGCGGTGCACCAACATGCTGAATACGAGATCTGGAAATTAGTGTGAGCTCATGCCACTTTGATGAGTTCTGTATTCCCTTCAAACACCGAAGGAAGAACAGACTGTCTGCACCGGAAAGTTGCGATACATCAGTGGATATCCTAGTGTGTTGTGCCACCTGAAAACCGCATGGCGTGCTCTATGGGCGCTACATTGGCCCCACTGTGCGAAGAAACCTCTAGCACTCCTACTCAAACGATTACTCCGCCTTAATATAGTAGTCTTTTGCAGTCTCTATCTGATACCTCTTTCTTCCTCCTCGTCATCTATATTGCTCAAACTATAAAACAATGTGTCATCCGCGGCATGTTGTCTGCCTGTGAATCTTGGCTCAAATTTGGATACTCATCTTTGTTTAGTGCTGCTACAGCATGAATTGAATATTAGTGTCGTGAGTGAAATCCGTGTCGGTATCGTGTGCTCAATTGAAATGAAACGAAAAAAAAGGAAAGGAAGACAAAGGAGAAAAAACGTTGATGCTGACGCTACCTTCATGTCTATGGAGGTACGAAAACACTCACTCTTAAATTATGGAAGAGATACGGGACAACTAAAGAAACATAGATTTGAAGAAATGTGAAGAAATGCTATGCAAACAAACAGGATGTATCTTATCAACCATGATACATTTAAATATTATGATCATGCTTGAAACCCTCACAAACTCATCATGCCTGCAATATTGAACTGTGCTATTTCTCTAAAAATGAGTGTCATCTCATCTTTGGATTTAGATTTCGCATGTGCGTCTGCAATTTCTGTACATCCCGAACATCTATGAAGATTTCATCTACTGAGGTTATTAGTTACTAGTGCGATCTCAAAAGTACGATCTCAAAAGTCCACCTCAGTGCGTTCCCAAAAACCCTCTACTCGAACGAAGCTCCACTTAGGATTGCTTTTCCTTTGTGAAGGTGATCAATCTCGTTCTCACGTTTCACCTCCCGCTCGTCGAAGTGAGACAAGATTAAATCACAGCTAGCATGGAGGGCGCTAAGACTCTCTCCCAATTGCTCCAACTCGAGCTCGTGGACGCTTCCACTCGTCTCAGCTTTTTGCAGCTCCTCTGGACATTAGAAGTAGCTTGTTGTTGTTGTTGTTGTTGTTGTTGTTGTTGTTGTTGTTGTTGTTGTTGTTGTTGTTGTTGTTGTTGTTGTTGTTGTTGTTTTACAAATGAGCTATCGGAAGCTCGTCTCTTCATCTAAGTTGTGTGGGTGGTAAAGATGGTGTTAAAAATATGGGGCAGTAAGGTTTCGTGGTGCTATCGATATAGGACAGTAAAATTTAGCAGAATAAATCTACATTATCTAAAAGCCATGATGCTGTCTTCTAAACGTGGGCAACACTGCGCTCCGTTCGTGAACCTACCATCGAAAAATGCATACAGAAATCTAAATTATCTAAGAATCATTCAAATTATCCTTAAATTAATCCAAGTTACCTAAATCAAGATTCAATGTCATGCTTGTTTCATGTCATGTCATGTTACCTCTTGTGTAGCTATCGCAGTTCCTTCAAGATTACCAAGATTCAATCAGTCATAATCAAATCCAGCCTTGGCAGAGGTGGCATCGGCAGTAGATTTTCCCCACTCAGCTTGTTGTTTGGCGGCCTCCATGGTCAAATTTTCGTAGTCGTTTTGTGCGACCTGAGGAGCAAGTAGTGTGTGTGTGGTTTCTTTTTCTGATGATGTGGAACATGGGACGGTGAAATCGACGAAGATTCCCATTGATTACAGCATGATAAGAAAAACGTGGTGACCTTATGATCATGCTATTACAATTTCCAGTACATACCGACTCCAAGAACACTAAAAACAGTAGTACCTTCTCATCCGACTCGGCAGCCGCCGAGTCCTTCTTGATGTCATTCTGGAGCATACGGAGCAACGCAACGACAGAGTTGCTCTTCTGGCTTTTGCTCTTGCGTTCACCCTCAAAGATTTCTGGTGCACTTTCAGTCGGGTCAACAACTTGCGATGCGCTCAACTGCAGAAAGGAGGAAGGGGTGTTAGAAGTGGGAGGTGAAGAGGTGTAAAAGAAAGATACTGTCTGATAGAAAAACAGAGATTGTCATTTGTGATTAACCAAGATGGACGTTTTCAGATTTCAAGGGGCCTCACTCCAGCTATAACGCTCTGTGCGCCAGCTTGGCGAGACGTACTTACTATAATGATGCACATATTAATTGCGTCATATTATATCCAGAAGAACTGTCATATCCAGAACTATCCTGCATCAGAAATAATCTCCTCATCAATTTCTTCCATAATCTTCTTCTCCAAAAACGCTTGTGTCTGCGACGTTCCCGCAATAGGCTTCACAACCGTGGTGTCCCCAATGTCTTGACCAGATGCCTGAAGGATCTTCTCTTCCTTTGACAATTCACGTTGCTCTGCTTTCTTGTACAATGCCGGACTGTAATACTTGTTCAGGACGTTGACAGCCTTGTCGATCAACTGCACGGCAGAGGTATTGAGGTCGATGGCGGCAACGTAGTCGGCGTTTTCCTTCATGCGCTGAGCAGTGGCTTCGGAAAATTAGAAGCATTTACAGAAAAGGGAAGATGGAGATGACGACACCAATTTTCTACGCGGTTGGTCTAAAAAATTTAAAAAAACCACAGAAATTATTATGAGTTGTGACTTGTAGTTGAATTAAGGCGTAAAGAGAGCTGATTTCAGACAGTAAGACAAAAAGGACAAAGGCGAAATGCAGGTGTCCCTTAGAAGTCCTACTGATTTTCATGTGCAAGAACACCATGATGTAACGCCTATTTCTCATAACTAACCGCCTTCTTCGATTCCGCAATATGCGCTGTGTTTTCCTCGATCAAAGCTGCTTTCGCTGCGATCAGTTCCGTCATCTCACTATCCTTCTCGTTGGCGGCTGTGAGAGCGTGCTTGTTTTCCTTAGTATCAGCCGCATTTTCGGCCAAATCAGCAGTGCACTGGTCACGAGAAGCTAAGTCAGACTTGCCTTCTTCTTTGAGAAGTGCAATCATGTCATCGATCATGACAAGGACCTTGCTGAAGTCGACTTTCGATAGGCATTAGAGTAATCGAGGGATAGTAACAGGATGAGATAGGACGGAGAAAGGGAAGGTAGAAAGAATGTCAGAGGAAGGGGATCTACTAGAGAAAAAAAGTAAGTACTAGAACATATGAATATTTCCATTTTCGACTTGGTTGTATATGAACCACTGTGGACGAGTAGTTTGACCAACATCAAACCTGTGTCCATAACTCAGCATCTGCTTCGCTGTGTTGGCCATCAACGCCAGAGTCTTGGCTGCTTTCTCCGATTTTGCTCCGGCTGCGGTCCTTTCCAGCAGTTCAATAACGCGGCTTCGGACTGAGCTTCCACGTTGCAGAAGCGAAACTTGGGTCAAGGCTCGCGGGTCAGCCTTCTTGAAAATATCGAGAGAATCATCGTCATTCAAGACAACGATGGCTTCTTGGATGGCCTGTTGTCAGGTGCAAGTATGGGGGGCGGAGTCTACCGTAGGATGGAAAAATTAAAAGAGATTTGGAAAATTTGAATCTTTAGAAAATTTAGATTTGGGAAAAATCATGCATCTTGAAAAATCTTTATTGAAGGAAAGGGGACTCTAGTAGTATTATATAATAAAAATTGTCCTAGCCTATGAAATGTACCGCAATCTCCTGCTGCGCATCCTCCACTCGGACCTTGTACTCATCCACTTTGGTAGAGCACATCTCCTTGAGCTTGACTAGAAAAGCTTGCGCATCGCCTAATTGCTTGATCGCCTCTTCCTTAGCCTTGAGGGCCATAACGATCTCCACCGCAACCTTGCCTTTCAACTCGGTCTTCTCTTCGATCATTTCTGTTGGGACGAGATTGATGGAAAGCATGTCCTCTTGGTGAGAGATCGATGTGGATTTGAGATAAGTACGTGTTTTCAATGCAAGATCGTATGTTGAGCAACAACAAAATTAAAAAAGACGGGCAGAACAACATCTATGAATAACAATGAAAGAATATTACGGCTCAACGCCGCAATTTCGGTCTCCTTAGCCGTTTTCATTTGCAAGAACGTTTCCCTTGCTTTTTTGTCCTCGTCCAAGGCGCCTCCTAGATCTTCGTTCATCTGATCCAACATCTGCTTCAGAATGCCTACGATCTCACCCGACGCAGGTGCATAGTCCTTGTTCAGGAAGGCGAATACGGCTCGTTGGTCATCCTCATCGGCATGTAAAGTTGAAGCTAGTAGTCTACTGTTCTGCATGATTTTTTTCAGGCTCAGTGCTTGTTCTGATTGGAGAAAACTCTTGCCCATGCCCTTGTTCAGTGCTTTGATGGCAGATTCCATAGCTTTGATGGTGTCCAGGTACTCCTTATGGTCAGCCTCGAATGCGGCATTGCGCTCCTTTTCAGCCTCCACAGTCATTTTCAGGGTTTTTTGTGCTGCCTCTCGGTCCTTCTTATGCTGCTTCAGCTCTTCACCGAGACGCTTCTTCTCGCCCTGTAGTGGGGAGGGACAAGAAGAAGCGTTTACGTTGTGCATATGGTAGCACATAAGAAAGTGAGAGATACTTGCACAGGAATAATCACTTGGGCAATTATCTATCTCCTGCTTGTCAGGTAATCAAATATAGTCGGGCTCAATGAGCCATCACAAACATCTGTAATAACACTTTTTTGTTGTTCCAGCGATAACAGGTATTTACGAGTATCAGAAATTACTTTCTTCTGCTCTTCTATTGCTGACTGCTTCTCCCTTTCTGCCATTGCCTCGTCTGCCTGACTACTTAAGGCCCCATCGTTCTTCTTGCAGTAACATTCATACTTGGCGTACATAGCCTTTTCGGACTCCATCTCGGACGTGATTTCTTTCTCCATATCCTGCAACAAAGTTACGATTCTTCTCACCGGGTTTGCACCCAAAGTGCCAGCAATTAAGCCAGCAGCACATAGAAGTGGCACGCGAGTCGAAGAACGACGCGTCATTTTAGTGACCTTCTTTTGGCTTCCTCTACAGCTGCAGGCTTCCTGCATATATTTGATGCTGACTGACTAAGTACACACAGATAATGCTGACTGACTACACAGGGAAATATCCAAGAACGAAGTAATCTTCTCTGGGATTGATTGATTGATTGATGTACCTATTCGGATCCTGACAATAGCACCGATAGTGTTGTGCTCCTGTGGCTATGCAGAAGAAACCGAATAGCAGAGGCAAGACCTTTTCGTTCATCTGCCGCAGAAAAAATGCGATCATGAGAAGATAGTGAAACGCCTAGTGCATCGTTCCGAGGCGTAGGGAGGACGCGCCGTTGGAAACGTTTACTAACGTCTTTCGTTGTCTCATAACTAACCCATGTGAGTGAGAGTGTCCATCTATATTTGAGTAGCCGAGTCCTCTACTACCTCATGGAAACTGGGACAAAAGAAGACGCGTAGGAGCCGTCTAAAATACTGCAGTAGTTCCACCTCAAAAAACACAACGAAAAGCTCAGCTTTGTCCAAAATAGCAAAAGATGTCTCCTTACGAAGACATGTGATTGGAAAAGATGAAAATTCTTTTATTGGTTGGTTGAAACAGATTGTTGGAAGTGGTATGTAGCTCGCTACTACATGACTCGGAAAATGCGTTATGGTAAGAAGCAAGTAGAAGAAGTGCTTGCTAGTACTTCATCAGCCTCTTTGTAGTCGTTACCCGTACCGACCTTTCCTCCGATTCGGTTATAGACTATTAAGATAAGCTATAATACATCATGATACAATCACGTGAAAAAGAAGAAAGGGAAATTCTAGCAAGGGTACCACAGAGAGAGAGAGAGAGCACAAGCTCTTGATTTAATGTGACAGAGTACTTACTCTGAACTGCAGACTATGTCTCTTCCTTGCTGTAATGGGCATGAGAATATTTATCGAGAATACAAGATGATCAACATGATCGTAATAAGCGGGTAAACCTTAGATAGTCAAAAAGTTCCACATGAGACGAAACAACCCCAACATGATCGTAATTAATATCCACCCTTGATACCGGTCGTGGTACTAGTGCTGGCAGAATATCTGTTCGCAGTCTTTTTCTTACGCGAATCACAAATACGAAACCGTCGTGGGCCTTGTCCTAGCTAAATATCGCGTCTGCAGATAACGCAGGTGAAGAATACGCATTAAAAGCCCCCCCATCCATCCCGTCTCCACCTCAGTTGTAGATTTACTGGAACACTCAAGTGCTGTACTACTCTGTCGTTCACTGCCCACCGTATGTTCCTCTCGACCTCGCCGCTCTGCAGAAGTTCTACCTCTTCGTTTCTGAGGCGATCCCTGTGAGACCTCTTGTCCTCCTCCCTCTTTATCTGCTTCCCCATAGTCATAATCAGATTCATTTTGCTGTCGTAGATGGTACTCGAGCGCTCTACCACTGCCTTCTCCCGGTCCCCTTCCCGTCATTCTCGACCTCTCAGCGGCAAGCGCGTGAGCCTTCTCCGCCAACCACTCTAAATGTGTACTGGGAAGATACCAGGGTCGGCTTTTCGCATTACGAACTTGAACACCAGGATGAACTTGAACTCCGAATGACGAACTTGAACTACGAGCAGCCTCCATTTGCGCAGTAGAGTAATCATATCCGAAGAGGCCGTCACTTCTCATATCCGAAGAGGCCCGAACATCGTTCCCCCCTCCGAACATCGTCCCCGCAGCATTACTTCCTCCATCGCCGATAAGCACTTCTTCTACACTCGTCCTGCTAATACAAAGCTCACTTGGAGGTCTTCCTCTTCCTCCTGCTCCTCCTCTTGCCTTGTAATTCACTGCTACTGAAGGACGTGACGCGAAATCACTTGGATATAAAGGACTACTCCAAGAAACATGATGTCCATCAACATGATGCTGTTCATCCTTAGCTGATGTAGTACTAGAACTACTGCTAGTACTACTGCCAGTACTACTCCCAGCACAGCCTGGCGCAGAGGTAACACCCGTAATGTCACAACGGTCCCTTGTGTTGTCCACGATGAAAGCAAAATCTGAAGAGCAGTCCATGACAAAAGTCGATGAAAAATCGTCGAAGTTGCGGCCCCGCTGTAGTGATATCTCTTCTGCCTCCGTGATATCAACGATCTTCGGTGAGGCAGAGTCTTCGCCGCCTAGTGTCAACACCGTAGAGTCCAGTTTGCCGACAGCTTGGAAGCTTAGACGAGACAAGTCTAGCTGCGTGGAAGAGGGCAGAGTCAAGATGATCGTGGAGAGGAATGTATTTCAGTCTGTAGAAACAAGCTGCACGCTAGCATTCTAAATGTTGACGTCACAGTCTGTAGAAACAAGCTGCACGCTAGCATTCTAAATGTTGACGCTATGATGATGTTAGTCGATTCGGACGGGACCTACGACTTCCCTGAATCTCTTCTGACGTTAACGATTCTTTTGCTTCCGTGTAGACCAGGGCCATAAAAACAACGACGACACGAGGTCTTCATCGAGCAATGACTCCTGAAGACAAATATCCTCGCCTATCGAAAGCGGTGATGCAGAGGCAGGCATACCAACACTTGTACCACAGTCATCCTCGTCGTCTTCGGGTTCTGGTTGCTGATCAGTGACGCGTTTCTCCAGGGATGCACTCCGTTGTTGTCTCACGACGAGGTGATTTGTAGAACTATTCGAGCTGGAAACACCTGTGGCCTCTACAACAGGATCCAATCCTCGCGTCGAAGGACTTCCACGTATCTGCTCTGAGGAACTTGAACTAGTTTGCTTCTGTCCTGTTTGACTCTGGAGAGGCTCTTCCTTTTTTTGGAATTTGAATGAAGTAGAAGTAATCTTCCTAGAGGAGCTACCATCTACTTCTGCTTGTTGTGTAGTAGTAGCATTAAACCTCTCTGGAGACACGTTCGAGGCCGCTTCCTCCACACCAGTATGTGTTGAACCCGACGAACCACGACCACTCTCTACTAGTACAGCTTCCACGACCACATTCGCACACGTTGATACGTTCCTGCTGTGGTCAGTACCACTGGCATCTCCACCCCCGCTATTGGCGTCTATAGGCAAATCTGAATCATGTAGTTGTTGTGTTCTACTCCCAATCCCATCTACAGGAGCATTGCTTTCACGCACGAGGACTCCCTCTATAATGCTATCCTTAGTAATACTAGCTGCTCCTCCCGACACCGTCTCATCAACCTGTGTCAGAACTGACGTTTGAAATGGCTGCAGAGACCTCCGTGCGTCATCATCTAAGATGGAAGATGTCAGGCTTGTCGAGGACAGATTCTGCGAAAGACTACTACTAATTTTGCTAATATCTGAGAGTCCGGTTGTCCTGGTCGTGGTCGTGGACGCAGTAGTGCGGGAGGAGGAGGAGGAGACCTGTTCTCTGATTGGATAGGATAGGACAGGATGTCAGAGCATCTCACCTGAAATAAGAGCATCTCTACTTCATAAAAAATGCTGATGAAATGATATTCAGTTAAGTGATGTATGGCACGCATCCGGGATGGTGACAGCATCAGGCCAATAACTTGAATTCTTATACGTGTAGATTTGTGAGGACTCGAAGGTTGTCCAAATGATATTCCTGCAATACAAAGGATACTTCACTTTCGTTCTTATATTAAAGCTCAGCATTCAGTGGTCACTGACTCTGAAAGAAATGGGCCCCATGCCTCTCCCTTTGCTTTTCCTTCATTTTCCCCCCATCTTTCCTCAAGAGGGATCTCAGTGACCAACCCCAATGACCATTGAAAGCTGAGCCTTAATTATACAAAAAGCAAAAGGCAGCTGCTCGAGTAAGCACCTTCTTCCGCGCTCGTGACGTCCGCGTTTTCGGCCGCCGCTCCGAAGCCAGAGGCCACTCGACAAATGCCATGCTAGCACCCGTCCACCAGTGTCATGCTAGCACGTTTGAAGACGCCTCATCTTTTTTATTGAGATTCGCAATTATAGTGATCGCATCCACAAAGAAATGATTAGGGGTGATCTTGAGTTGTGGTTCGCGTTCTTGAAGCAGCACTTCTTGCTTACAAATTTCTATTTTACTCAAATAACTCTGTTCTTGTTGAAGCTTACACTTTATTGAGAAAATTGCTTCACGACGCCCTCCCTTCAACCTCGCGCATGGCGGTCATCTTTCCGCAACAGTACACATTTATTCCCTCTCATCATATTGTTGAGGAACGATGACCGCCGTGCGCGAGGTTGAAGAGAAGGAGTTTTTTTCACATTTCATTTTCAACGGAGATCATGTGCTGTTTCACTGTATGTTGGCGTTTTTTTCCCGCCCTAAGTGCCCAATTATAGACCCAGCCGGAAGGCATTAGTCTAACAAACCCTGCCGACTAGATGGTTGAAAATGAGAACTGCTACGAAATAAAAAGCGGCTGGGTCTCTCTGTTGCCGTCAATTATGCTCGCAGCCGCAGCCTTGTTGAGCACATGGCGGTCATCTTTCCTCAACAATACACATTTATTCCAACTCGTCGCCCTCCCCTCTCATCGAGAACCCGGTCTCTCGACTATAGCAATAGCAAGTTCTCGCATTTTTTATTGCTAAGGTGCGATATCACTCCAAACAACACTCTTGGCACAGAGCCACTTCTTGCATTACAAAAAGGACAAAAGCCGTCAACTCCTTTCAGGGTTCTGCTCTTCGCCATGAGCAAGAGAGAGGTAGTACTAGTAATTCAAAGTTGTTGGTTCCCCCGCTGCATGAATGTCAATACAGTAGGATAGGATAGGAAGTGATTCGCCGTCCACAGTTTGGCCTGTATCTCTACCGTAGCTTGCATCCTCACCAAACGGAACTTTCCTATCACAGCGTCATGTCCGAATGCAGAATATGAAAACCATCGATGTTAATCGATCGCATTCATCGATCGCATTGCTTACGTTCAAGGTCAAGATAGTAGATCATTCGAATGACCCAACATCTTGTGCCAAGAATTAGAAGAGAAATCTTCATCAGGACTTCATATCAATTGATTCGATAACATCTTCTCAATATCTGTAGGACTTAATAATTGTCTAACAAGCTCAGCAATGTGTCCCACGTGAACATTCTTGACCAGCGACAGTAGAACTCATTCAAAAACGCGAAGACGTAGAAAAGAATCTTTCTCGGGGACTTAGTACTTGGTTGGGCCAAAAAATAATTATCGTCATATTTATATTCCTTGTGTCATTATATGTTCAGTTCAAGTATTAAGAGTTCTGCCTAAGGATTTTAAGAGAAGAGCTGTGCTGGTAGAGTTCTGCTATGTCATTTCCGTCAAGATGCGTGCTCAGATTTCTGCAGTAAAAGTAAACTCCAAAAATAAATGGTTACATTGATTTAGTCGTGTACTATCATGCAGCTATCTGCCTCCGAAAGAAAAAGCAGCTCAACATTTCGACTCAACTACATCGAGACTTTTTGTATGACCAGTCAGTTACAACCCACATGATCAATAATTCCGTTCAAGATTTTTGTATCAAAGAAATCACTCAATCTACTACCTCTATGTATAACAGAGAATTCTCACTCTCTTACAAAACATGCTTTCTTGGCGAGCGTCCCACCGGAACAAAAGACCCTGAAAAACTTTTTACCTACCCGCGGTTTTGTTCTTAGTGTAGCTTACAGATATTTGTAATTCTCAACACTCTCTTACAAAACATCTCTAAACAACTGAACCAGCTCTGGATGTTGGCGCCCTACTCCTGCACTGCGTAGAAAGCCTCGCAAACTAGCGCCATACTTCATGGGGAAGAATTTGGATGAATCCAAATGCACTTTCACATCCAGATCGACGTGCATGCGGAGTCGGAGTACTTCTCAAATTAGAGGCGGAAGATTCATCAGAGGATTATTAAACTATTCAGTCAACTTCGGTTGATTGATGATAAGAGGCAACATCTGATATGCGACTGGGGATGTCATGTTCTTAAGCAAAGGGCAATGACAAATTCATTTAGATGCTAGGAAGACGATCTGGATATTCTATTCTACCTCTACATTTAGAGCTACCGCGCTCGCATCCCCGAGAACCTCCCTGGTCCCTTTTTCTCCTTGAAAAATGGGCCAAGGATGACATTCAGGATATGGTCCAGCGGTAGCCTTAATCAAATTAGAGGCGGAAGATTCATCAGAGGATTATTGATGATACGAATCTACTCGGCTATCTGCCTAAGATTTCCCTGACGAATTCTACCCGCTAGTCTAGCTTGTTGTTGGATTAAGAGGATTATTAAACTATTCAGTCAGCTTGTGTTGAATTCTTATCCTTAAATAGCTACGTACTTCCAACAGCCTTAATTGAATCACCTGGAAAAAGAGAGCACGTCGCGACTTTACGGCTTCTGTCATCGTCAAGTCTACTTTCTTCTTGGAAGTAGTAGACTTATTAGCGAAGAGAAAAGCCCAACCTTACGCCAGCAACCCAGTATGGATTCCCCTTGTGTAAAAGGGGAATGAGAAGAATGGGCTGTGTAAAGGGTTGGGTTTTTCTGTGCCTTAAACTTAGTAGACACCGCACTACTACTACTAGATTTCCCCATTGAAGATGTCTTGAACTTAGTAGACACCGCACTACTACTACTAGATTTCCCCATTGAAGATGTCTTCATCTGTTGATCGTGATCCCGTCGCACTCGATCCAAAAGCTCTGAGGGTAATTTCGCATCCGGTTTACTCAGGGAAACGTACTGATTTAGAGCTCACCCGAATCTTATATAAACTGGAGAAGAAGCTCACCCCCCGAATCTTATATAAACTGGAGAAGAAAGTGCATTCTTAAGACTATGGAGGAGGAGTTCAGTGAGCAAGACTATGGAAGATTCAGTGAGCAAGACTATGGAGATCAAGTTCGAAGACAGCGTGGCCGCTGAACCGGAACAGCCAATTCATTCACTCATTTAGACCTAGCGTGAGGTACAGAAGTGCCTCAAGACCAACAAAATAAAGAAGATTATAAACAACTACCATTCATTCTCCAGGATGTTTTCGAAAAAGTGTCTTTGAAAAAGCCTTAACTGATCCACAGCGATGCCCAGGACTGAAGGAACGCACTCATTACTGCAATTCAAAGCGAAAGTCGAGAGCACAAATTTTGGAGGAGAAGAAATAGAAGTCGTCTTATTCTTCTTGGCATTTTCATGGTGGACACTTGTTTCTGAGGTAGAAGTGGTATTAGAGAAAGTAGTGATCTTCTTACCCACGGTTCCGGAAGGAGCAGAAGTTCCGGAAGCTGCAGAAGTAAAAAAAGTTTTACCGGTTCCCATTTTCGCAGAAGTCGCCCAATTTGTACTGAAAGACTCATTTTTGCCCTCGTCAGACAAAGAAGAGCCAGCATCGGTCGTCGAAGTAGAGTCGTACGTCGAAGATTGCTGACGTTGATTCGTACTGCTCGTAGTAGAACTAGAAGGCTTAAGAACTAAGTTCGCAACATTTTCATTCTCCGTCCATTCCAAACCGATATCATCGATATCCACGACTGCAATTTGACTGCCACCTGACGCACTGGAGCCAGAGCTGTGGGCGGTCATGGACGATAAGGCCCGCGAGCGTTTCTTGTCGCCTGCAGCTCCTGCGCCACCTGAGTCTTCCCCCGACAGAACCACTGAAGGAAAAGCAGTGTTTGAAGGAAAAACCGTACATGAGGGATCAAGTTGTGCTCCAAGAATTTGTTGTTGATTTTCTGCTGCAGCGTGGTCCACTGCAGGAATTACTGGAGCAGGTCCTAAAAATTGTTGAGCTCCTTCTAATTCTTGAGCTCCTATAGTGGTCCGCCCGAGCACCCCACCATTGCCAGTCATGCTGTTGCGACCTCGGGTTAGGGGTCCATTACGAAACGACAGAGATTGCAATCGTTTTTGTACAGAAGCACAGTCACAAGCAATTGTTTGGAGATCAGCCAATGTCAATTCGCGATCTCCGACATAATTAGTTTTGTGCTGCTGTAGTGGTGGTCTCTGATGATGGCTCTGTAGTTGCTCTTCGACGGCCTCGTGCTCAAGAGCCATGCTGTCCTCTCCGAGGATGAAGTTAGCGGGATCCAACAGATCCCCTAAAAGTGTAGTTTTGCCTTGCAGCTCTTGCTCTTGTTCCTCCTCTTCTAACTCGGCTTGAGCTTGCAGGAACAGTCGAGTCACCTCGTCTTCGTCGCAATCCTGGGGTCCCAGATCGTCGGTTTGCATCCCTTCCACCACTTCTTCAACTTCTTTCTCTTCTTCCGTGGTGCTGTCCACGAAGTGATCTACTCCTCCACCAACAACGGCGACTATCTCACCAAAAAAATCGTCCAACATGCAGCTTTCATCTCCTCCTTCCATTGGTGCCATAGAGGACAACTCAAAAATTATTCTTTTCACATCTTCATGTTCTACTTTTTGATGCAGCGACGTACAACATTTCGTAATTGTCCTGCTGGCGGCTCTACTTCCCAGTCCTTGTCCGATCTTCTTCTGCCGTGGATCTTCGTGAAGAACCGGCTTCCCCAACACCTCTAAGAATATGTCCGGATACTGCTCACAGAGTGCCCAGCATTGGAAGTCGAACACCCTGCCCAACTGCGGGCTCATATCGGCATATTCGACCATAGCGCGGAGCAAATTCGTCAACCCGTTTTCGCAGACGATGCGGAGAGTACACCAATGAAGCTTTTTCTTCTCATTTTTAGAAGCAGTTGGTAGCAAAAGCTGCAAGTTGACAACTATAAGTACAATTAGAGGTTTCCGAATTGCATTCTTCAGAACATCCTTGACCCATTTCCCCCTTGAAAAGGAGCCAAGGATGGTAGTGAGGGATGTAATTCGGAAACCCTTAATACAATCTACCAGGCGTAGTACTTATAACCTATGACTCACTTTCCGAATTGTTGAGAAAAAGTCCTCATAGATACTTCTTATGCACACGTAGTAGAGTCGTGTTCAACTTCCAAGAGTCCTTAATTTTAGCAACTGGAGTAGGCCTTGCGGAAGAGGATGAATCGGCGTTGTAGCTAGAGGTCGCATTTTTGCAGTGTTTAAGTGCTCCTGTGTCTGATCCTGATCCTCCAATGCTATACTTCTGTGAAGTTCTTGGCGAAAAAAGTACCTCGGCAGGAGAGCAGATAATTGGAAGAAACACTTCAGAAGTAGAGTCGTCTTCTCTGAAACAAGCAGAGTCGTCCTCTTCATCAATATCTGCAATCGATTCCAGCGAAGATATCCCCCTGACCCTGCTCGTCCGAGAGGAAGAGGATGAGAGAGCAGAAGAAGAGTTAGAACTAGCAGAACAGAACCATCTTGAGCCGCATCTACTTGGTGCCCGTTTTAGTTTTCCCCTAAAAAACGGGCCCCCCAAGATGGTGGGAAGATGAATTTCCTCACAAGTTAGTAGCCTTAAAAGTACAGGATGTTGCTGTCGGTGTTCCTCTCGTTGAGAAAGAAGTTTTTCTAGTACTACAACTATTACGGCTCGTACTAATCGAAGAAGAAGAATCAAAGCTGCTACCAGATGAGATTTTCGATCGAATTTTACCGCCTCCTTGATCAAGACAAAAAGAACCTTGACCAGCATCATCTTCTATAATTTCTTCAACAACGTACTCAGTATAAGCCCACGCTCTACAGAATTCCAGGCCCAAAGCGTTCAGAGCCTGTAATAGTTCAGTGCGTAGTGGATACGCCTCAGCAAAAGAGTACTGCTCTTCACCTGGACCTTCTATTTCTTCGTGCATAGTTGCCCTGTAACTGAACTTTCTAGCCTGTAGGTCAGGAGAGTCCTGGACTTTGGCGGAAAATGTAGTTGTAGAACTACTAGAAGTTGTTAGCTTGCTATTTCCCACTTGGTCATGAATATTAGAGGTAGCGTAAATCCATAGCATCAGGAGCAGGAGCATCAGGAGCATCGTTTTCCCTTTAAAAACATCAGGAGCACCATCGCTTTCCCTTTAAAAACGGGACCAAGCTTTGGCTGGCCGCTGGCCTGCTCAAGAATGGTTCGATTCATTATTGTAGCCTTAAGAATACTACATTTTTCCAGCATCGACAGCATTTCTTCGATCCCTGCATCCTCAACGCTTCTGGGCAACGGTTTCGAAGTCAGGAGGTCCCAGTCTTGGATCCCTTCTCGATTCTTCCATGCTTGAATCGTCCAAGCAACCGCGATCCGGTCTAGAATGTGACTTCGGTAGACGCGAGGACTCCGAAAAACGACACGCAAAGCCGGATCTTCTGGAAAGGCCGGATCACCTTGTTCTATGAAAGGAAAAAGTGTTGTGCTCAGAAGTAGTATACTCAGATTGGAAAGGCCGCATCACCTTGTTCTATGAAAGGAAAAAGTGTTGTGCTCAGAAGTAGTATACTCAGATTTGGAAAGGCCGCATCACCTTGTTCTATGAAAGGAAAAAGTGTTGTGCTCAGAAGTAGTATACTCAGATTGGAAAGGCCGCATCACCTTGTTCTATGAAAGGAAAAAGTGTTGTGCTCAGAAGTAGTATACTCAGATTGGAAAGGCCGCATCACCTTGTTCTATGAAAGGAAAAAGTGTTGTGCTCAGAAGTAGTATCTCAGATTTGGAAAGGCCGCATCACCTTGCTCTATGAAAGGAAAAAGTGTTGTGCTCAGAAGTAGTATACTCAGATTTGAGTGGGCTGTAATGAAGCGGAGAGAACAGGAGTGCTAGAAGAGAGATATTTAAGCTACCTAGATCAGTAATAAGTACCTGAGCAGCAGCGCAAGCCGTCATTTACTGTCGAAAAAATCAGCATACTCACAAAATCTCAATATCAAAGCTAGTTGTGCTTTCCTACTTATAAATAATCCCAGCCAGCACATAACTTCTTCTCCTCCTCCATCTTCTTCACTAGTACAGCTAGAATTGGCGAAGATACTAGAAATCCGACTACTGTATTCCCCTAAAGGCAACACTTCTTCGTCATCAACTTCTTCCTCGTAGCCGGTCTGCGGACAGGTCTTCAACACCAGCAACAGGGTAGGCGGAATCCGCAGCACCGAGTATAACAGTTCCCGCACATCACGATCTTGATCTGAAGAGGCCACTTCTAGTTGTACTCCTGCTCCTGCCTGTCGTGGTGCAGCACCGGGTGGACATGTGTTTGAAGAAGAAGATGGCCACTCCTCGTAGAAGATGATTGAGTTCACATTTCCAGGGAGGTCGTGATAGCGGAAAACATGCCAATCGCCTTTCGGCAGAGAAGGAGGGTGCAAAGAAGGAGAAACCATTCGCGAGGAGAGAGACATCTTGTTCGTATTCAACTAGCTCAAAAAAAATTGTAAGATTTAGCTGTTCTAAATTTTCCGTGAAAGCAGAGCCCTTTAAGTGTAATTGAGATCCTCCATAAATTTGGTGATAGAACAAACTCAGTCCTCCATATAAACTGAGATTAGTTGCGCTGGTCGTGATTACACATCTATCTAGTACTTCTCCAACTTCTCTGAAAAATAAAGACAAGTTAGTTCGTTAGTTAGTCCTAGTTCGTTAGTCTAGGATAGGATAGGAGTTGGCTCGCCGTCCACAGTTTGACCTGTGTCCTCGGGCGAACGTCCGTAGCCTCAGAGGGACTACCAAACAGTAACTATCGCCAACTACAACTTCTTGAATGTATCACACCCCCTCTACTCCCCTCTACTGGAACGCGTGACCGATTAGTTAGCTATTATTTACGAAATTTAATTGCAATCGATTGTAGAACGGCAGAAACAACCAACAGTCATATCTTAAATCGTGGTCTACTCGAGGATTTACTCACTTCGAATATACAGTTCGATGAAACGACGAGTACGGCGAATAGATAAACGAGAAGTGGCGACGAGCTGTCGAGCGCCAATTATGACAATCAGTATTATGATTTCTCTGTATAATGCAGTACACGAAAACGAGGATTCATGCCCTACGTCGAGCCAACGACGCGAAGATTACTGTAGAATCACAACAGAAACTGATGGAAAATTCGAGACAAACGACGGATAATATAGATACATACACTGATTAGCTATTCTATTCTGTGCATCCCAAATAGGTATGCGGAAAATTATAGGCAAGAATGCCTGGAAAATCGTTACAACTACATCTATGTAAATAGGGCATGGTGGGATAAACCAAAGAATATGATAGTATGTAAATACTTTCACATCAAACCGTATGTAAATACTTTCACATAATTCTCCTGTATGTTGCCGATTGAGTGTGGGAAAAAGGATGATTGATCGCGGAGCGCCGACGAAAGTATTTTTACATCTTTGGTCGACTGTGCATACTGGGTTGCCGAAAGCACCGAGAGAAAGGTTGTTGAACGTTCCGAGCACCGATGTGGAAGGGGAACAGCGACGTTACTAATTCTAGTAAGGAGTACTGAGAAAGTAGAAGATCATTCCTTCCAATACCAAGTGTAGTCGTACTGAGAAAGTAGAAGATCATTCCTTCAAATACCAATCCAGATGGCCATAATGGCGTCTCGACTAGCCATCCTAAGCTACCAGCCAGACGACGTGCATTAGATTTGAGTCAAGAGAATTATTTTGCTCCTATGCATCGGATTGATCCCAACGCAGCGACAGTTTATTTCTGCGTATATTAATTACCCTGAGCAGTCGTGCAAAATTTGAATCACAGAGGATGCGTTCATGAGTAGGATGTTTCAAAAAATTCGAAAAAAAGGGTGTTTCAAAAAAAGGGTGTTTCAAGCATTCCTCGCCGAGCCGCAGACGAAGTGCTGGTAAAAGTCGCATTATGGAAGTGAATGTCAATGTGTTCTTGGACCATGCGTCGAATACTATTTATGTCAATGTGTTCTTGGACCATGCGTCGAATACTATTTATGTCAACGTGGATGAACATGCAGTAAGCCGTGTTTCTTAGTACCCTTTTTTACACCCTTTCTTCTGTAACCAATCAGGTATTGTAACCACAAGGGCCGTTACAAACAATGGGTCGTGATCAGATTTTTTGCTTCATGTTGATATGTTGCTTCACAAATCAGATGCGTGACTAATAGAAGTGTACCAGGTGGATGTGTTGACTCTTGACGCGCTTGTGCCCATACTTCACACAAGTGATATCTGCACACAAGTACTTCACATATCACAGTTGTAGTACCCCGGGCACTTCACAACACAACCAATTTTTACAGTGAAATAAACCCGTCATCACGACAACAAAAACTCTGCAACCATTTTCCTCTCTTCCTCTGGAGAAAGGGAGTCGTGCTCATTGGGACTCCTTCGAAACAACAGCTTTCCCTGTTCATGCAGTGCCCTCAACCCAACCAAGTCTTGGTGGAATGAAAAAGGGAAGACACCACGATGGGTTCTTTCGTCCATTACATTTATTGCAAAAACGAACAGTTGGAGAAGACAAGTAGTACAGCTAAGTTTAAAAAATAGGGCATCCCTTTTCTTTTTGTTGAGGCTTACTTACAACAAGTTGTTTTTTTAGAGGTTGAAGAGAGTTGGCATCTCATAACTGCCACAATAGCGTCTCCTGCAGAGGGTAAAGCTTCCCTTCGTCCACTCCGACGTCCGCGAAAAAAGCGCTCTCCTTTGGTGATAGGACTGTGTCGCCTTCGAATGTTAGAGAATTATACGTTTTTTGCTAGTTAGGTTACAGGTTATGGATCCTGCACATCGAGCCCCACCGGCACCTGCTCGACTCCTCTTTGCCTTTGACTCTGAGGCGCAGAAGACTGTAGAACTGTATGAGCCTGTAGGCGACTAGTAAAACAGGGCAACAAGAACCACGTACTCACCAGTTCACGTTCATTCATTCATTCATTCGAACCACGTAGCAACTATAAACAGATGCCTGGTTCCATCACATAAAAACAAGATCAGCATCACTTTCTCCAAACCTGCAAATCTGTTCTTCTGCCTCCTACAGTCTTCCGACATTTCTAGATTTGCAGCTGCAATGTCGCCATGGAACGAATGAGAGTCTGCTTTCTTGAAAGTCGGCATCGGTTTGGACGTTGGTATCCCTACAGCACACCCAAAATTATTGAGACGTCCTATGAAGCTATTATTAGAGGTTTTACATTCTTCAGAACATCCCTGGCCTCTTTTCTACTAAGAAAAGAGTCAGGGATGGTAGTGAGGGCGTCCTATAAAGCTATTAGTAAAGCTCAGCATTCCTTGGTCACTGACTCGGAACGGAAGCGACCCCCTTCAAAGCTCTCCCCTTTCCCTTCGTTTTCACCTGTTCTCTTACGGGGTCGGCTCTTCGATCTCGGTGACTCCAATCTAAATGGTGACCATTGAACAAAATATAATAGACCCTTTTTGATGGTAACCATTGAATTTAATAGACCCTTTTTGAGGCAGGTAACGGACTCGCCTAATACCATTGAACAAAGTTGAGCCTTAATATTAGCTCGTTGCCCAAGCGTCGCTGCGGGGCTATAGACGTAATCGAGGTAAGCGAAATGTCGTCGCATGAAGTCGGAAAGGGTCACAGTGCGGAGGAAAAAGCCGGGGAATGAAGGAAGAGGAAGTGGTGATGGTAGTTTTGGTAGTTTTGGCGGTGGAGGTGGTGATCCTTTAGATACTATGGTACTTAACTTGGCGAATCTACATGATGCTTAAGGGTTGCTTAACTGCTTCGGCGGAGTGATGCTTAAGTGATGCCTACGTGTTTCGGCTAAGTGATGCTTAAGTGATGCCTCCGTGTTTCGGCTAAGTGTTTCACCTTTCATCCCCCTAAGTGCCTCAGAAGGCGAGTCGCTTATCTGCCTCAAGAGGCGAGCCCCTTAGCTGCCTCAAAAGGCGAGTCGCTTATCTGCTTCAGCAGGCGAGTCGCTTATCTGCCTCAAAGCCCCGGTCCCTTAACTGCCACAAGAACCAGATCCTCACATTTTCCTTAAGAACCCCTTAACTACGACTAGTTAAAGTTACCAAGAACCTCAAATTAAAGCCAAAACTACGCATGATGCCTGCCTACCTTTACAACATCCCTTCCATAACCAAACTTTTGTAGCAAAAGGTCCGGGGGCAGTACTTCCAGGTATCCGAGTCACGCCACTCTGCGGACTTCCTACCGACACAAAGCGTCTAAAAAAGGCACCACTTGGTAGTTCGCAATTCTGAATCATCCACCTCGACACCAAACCACCTTGGGAATGTCCTATGATGTCGATTGCTAAAAGATGTCCCTTTGAATTCGGTTTCGTCGTCTTTGTCTTGAACTCAATTGAAGATGTTGCTTCAGATATAGAAGACGATGTTGTTGAACTCAGATATAGAAGATCTTGACCTTTGTCCTCCTCATGGTCATTTGTAGTTGAAGATGGAGATGCTATTGACGAATGTACAAAGTCCTCCTGAAAATCCTCCTGATCAGATTCTTCTGGTGTAGGGCTACTTGCGTTAGAATCATCGTCATCTTCTTTTTCGACTGAAGTTGATGTCGCACTAGGTGAATTCCTCATAGTCCTCTCTGAATTTTGTTGCTCGTCTTCATCAACATGTAATGATAAAGTCTTCGAAGAAGAAGTTATCTTCTTCCTACTTTCCCCGCCTCTCGTCTCCTTCTCCTCCTCTTCCACCATACTCAAAATCTTCGTTGCTTCCATTGTCAGCCCATAACATGCCCGATGTGACTGTTCTAGCATGCTCAACCTGGATGTCTCATCCCCAGCGGCATATTCAAGGCGCATAATCGTCGCAGCTGGAAAATTGCTGGCCATGATCTCAGATTCCCGGACATAGTACTCGCCATTCGCAGTCGCACCTAGACCATGCACATTGACGATTAGATGTGCGGCGAACGGAGGTGGATTTCTGCTTGAATCACCGTGAAGATGATGTCCTCTTCTATTCCTACCTATATTAACTACACCATGTTGACCTTTTTCGGTAGGCTTGATTATAGCACTATGTTGATGCTTCGTCGTCCCAGTCGTGTTGGTCGCGTCTCTGAAGGCCCTTGCTAACCTAGCTGCGATGTCCTCCTCTCTCTTTGTTGGTGTCATTTGAGAGTCCGAAGAGTCTTCCCCTGACTCTGCTGCCGCTCGCACCTCATCCTGCCCTGCTGTTGACGATGCCCCTTTCAATTCTAGTAAATTCACACTTGGCAGCTGCTGCTTGCAGAACAAAAGAAGGGGACTAGTGCGAGAAGAGAGCGAGAGAAGCGTCCCTGGCAAGAGCACGAAGAGGACTAGTGCGAGAAGAGGAGCAGCGCTGCTTCTCCACCTTCTCCAGATTCCGTCTGGATGTGATGTTTTTTTGTCGCCAAGTGCATCTGAGTCCTCGCCAGTCGTCGGCGAAAGTAGAGAACGTTTCAATAAAGAATCCATTCTTATTATTATTGCATGAAGGGATAAACCTAACGGTAGAGCAGGGAAATAAACTATAACTATTATCTTCATTTCGTTTTTTCAAACAAATTGTTTGCTGTGGGGGAAAAAATTTGGCCAGTCACATCTCTCTTGTCTCTCTCACGTACATACTAGCGCTGATACCGCTTTTTCCTTAACTGGGCGCCGAAAGGAGGACAAGCACGCCCAGATGTAGCCAAACGCTTTTCCCCACAGGAGGAGGATTCGACAGTTTCATAGATTATTCTATCTTCTGACTTTTCCCCACAGGAGGAGGATTCGACAGTTTCATAGATTATTCTATCTTCTGAGAGGACATAGATGCTTACATTCATAGTTCGATCATCTTGTTTATCGTCACTTGTCTTAATTACACCCCCATAATTGGGTCTTTTGATTCGACCTGCTTGGGCTATTCACGAAGACTTCACAAAACAGAACAATGGAGGCTCTGTGATTATCTACTGGTATCACTAAAAGGAGGATAGAATGCAGTCACAATAGGACACTCTGCTGTTGGAAAAGTGTTGTGACTCGAATATGCAGAGCTTGCAAAATTCACATACAAATAATGGCTTTACTCTGTTCTCTTCAACTTCACAAAATTCAAATAAGATTTCAAACCTTGCACTAAGGCTTACGCAAAAAAAATAAACTCGAACTATGTTTTTGTCGAGAAGAAGCGGTATGTGAGTATCCACTCTTGCGAGTACTATGCGCCATCGACAAGACATTACAACCTACAACGAAAGCTTCCATGTTGACAGCGCATCTAGATCGAAGAACTACTCATATATGGAACTAACAAAAAATCAACATAGATTTTTATGAACATCATGAATCTTAATCTGAAAAGATTGAATCTCAAAAAAATAAAATCACCCTGCATAAGAACTAGAGCCCTATCTCCTTAGCATCTTGCATGCTCGTTCCCAGAAACAATTTAGGACGCTCGCTTGCGACAAAGGCCTGTTTCTCTGCACTCCAGATCTGAAGCGGCCATGTCACTGCGAGAGAGTTGTAGTTGCCATCGTCTTTCTCGCAAATGCAACGTGTCTCACCTGGTTGAATATCCTCGACCTTGACGAAGTTTACCAACTCCTTGAACCGGCGACCTGCATGCTGAGCGTACAATTGGACGACTTCTGAACCACTGCGATCCGAATGCGTGTTGGAGATGCAGAAACTAGGGACAAGACGGCCACGAGTGAGAGAAGGAGAACTCTTGGTTGTTGACGAAGCGAAGAGTTTCTTCCCTTCGGACGTTGATGTTGGAGGTGGAGGTTGCTTCTCTGAAGAGGTGGACGGAGGCGTTGAAGATGTGGTCTTCATGATGTGGTCTTTCTCAACATCGTCCGTCTTGTCGTGGCTCTTAGTGTCCGCCACGTGAAGATGAGAATGTTCTTTATCTTTGCTTGAGGAGGGTTCTTTGCTTGAAGTGTCCGTCTTGTGAAGATGAGAATGTCCTTGAAGACGATGATCTCCTTCTCTTGTCGACACCTTTTGCTCTTCAACCGTGGTATTTCTTGTTTCCACGATGCTCCTGCCTCTAGGCTCATGATCATCCGAAGCTGTTGAAGTTTCAAGTCTCGTCCTCTTCTGCTCCCTATCCTCGACACCGGCTGATTCTGAATGCGTAGTCGTTTTCTCGCCCTGTTCCACCGTCTTTTCGTGCTCTTTAGTCACTAGTGACTGCTCGGCCTCCTCACGACTGCTCTTTTCATGCTTGTTGCTAGAAGATGAAGAAGATCTTCTAGATGTCTGGTTCATGAGGACCTTGATGTCTGCAGACTCTTCGTCATCTGCCAGAACAAGAGTTCTTGCAGTTGCACCCAGCATAGTAGAGGACAACAAAGCATCATGTTGATAATAGTAGGAGTTCTTCTTCTCTCCTCCAACGACACGCAGTGTCACATTACCCAATTCGAATGGTCCAGCATAGCTCAGTCCAAACCCAAACGCAAACAACGGCGCCACCTTGTTTGCCTCAAACCAGCGGTAGCCGATCTCCAGGTTCTCGGAGTAGTAAGTCTGAACTCCCTGAACAGGCGCGTGCGGATACACCAAACTGCCGTAGTAGTTGCCAGCCGAGTCGAAACCCATCTGACCAGTGGTCTCTCCAAACAATCGATCCGGTCATGTTAGAGCCCGTCCGAGCATGTCTGAACAAGCTATCCCCGCCCTAGCATCCCCCTGAGCGCATCCTTGGCCCCTTATTTTCAAGTAGGAAAAGAAGTGCCAAGGATCATACATGGCGTGAAGGACATGTGCTTGAGCGGTTGCCTTAATAATGGCGGCAAAAACGTGTCCTCTCCTCCACTGGCCATCGGCGCTCGCACTCCCGGATACTGCTCTGGTTCGAACTGCAAAAGAGCGTCTCTTCTGGGCAAGGTAACCGGCAATTTTCCACTAGGCGAGACATGCCCAAACAGGAGGTCTCCCACTGCCAAGCCTGCCTGTTCTCCCGGAAAAAAGCCCACCAGCAACGCGTCGACGTAGTTCAAGGCACGGGGAACGCTAGACTCCGGCAGAAGTCCTGCATGTACATTAGACTTCTCCCCTATTCATCCAAATACCTCAAGCATATGCGTGAGTATGGGTCCCTTGTATTGGGGTGCACATGAATGCTTGAGGGATCATCCCTAAAGAGGAGATGGATTAGGCGGGGCAGCCTTAAGTACAAGCCCTTTGGCGGCCAATTCGCCGGGCAGCTGCTCCACGCCTAGTGTGTCTGCGAGGAAGACGCCTGGAGAGGAGACGAACACGACCACGCGGTAACCGCCGTGAGCTGCATCGAGCTCACTCTGCAGAGCAGAAAAATCAAAAGCGGCAGTGCGAGGCGGCAGTTTACTAGTTAAAGCTCAGCACTCAATGGCCACTGATGCTGAACGGAAGAGACTCCCCTCAAAGCTCTCCCCTTTCCCTTCCTTTTCCCCTGTTCTCTAAAGGGGTCGCTTCTTCGATCTCAGTGACCAACCCCAATGACCATTGAAAGCTGAGCCTTAAACTAGGCTGCAAAGATTCCCCGGTTCTTGGCTGATCTACTTCGTCAGGCGTGGAGCGTGCGTGGAGACAGACAACAGCTGTGATTTGACCTCTGGGAGGACTCTCGTGATCACCCTCAACAAGTACTGTGTGCTCCACCATCGTCCTATTCAAAGCGTAGACACTGAGAGATTTCACACCTCGTCCTTCTGTACTAGAAGTACTATGACTTGATTTTTTATTCTTGTTGGATGATGAACCCCCCGTCCAAGTAGTTTGGGTCTGTTTGTGTAGATGATCGTTTTTCGACTTCTGCATCGCCATCCTTACCCCGTCTTCCACGCTCGTCGCATAAGAAGCTTCCACACTACCAGAACCGCCTCCCGCAGCCATCTGAATGCCATCAGAACAGCCGTACAAGCGTAGATGATGCCCATGCCCATCATCTTCTGCAACACTACTAGCCTTAATACTAAGAGAAATCGGCAATGCATTCCTATCGTTCTTTAACAAAACGATCCCATCTGCAGCTGCATCACGTGCTACACGTTTCTGCTCTGGACCAGTGGTATTCACCCACAAGAAGTTGTGTGCCTGCTTTTGCTCCAAAAACACGCCTTCAGTACCTAATTGACCATGATCCGCCATCACCTGCAAGGTATGTTTCACTTTTTCATCTAAGATCTTCTGGTACTATGTTAGAGCTGCTAGAGGTGTGAGGAATTATCCATCTCAAGTAGAATCTTCATCTCGCGAAAAAATCTCTTTGATGATTACTTCCTATGATCGGTGCAGATGATGATCGCCTGCCTCTGGAGATAAAACAAAAATTTCTGACACCCAAACCCTTAACTGAGGATACTTCTCTGGCTTAGCGAAGAGTTCGGCAATCGCGTATTGAGTGCGGTACAGAGCTGGCATCTCAATGTCCATCTGGGCATCGATCAAAGATCTTGTCCCATTATCAACCGCGGTCGACCAATCACTCATCACTAGGACGTGGTCGCGAAGAAAATGTGGTTGTTCACCAGTCGCAGTCGAGGAGGTGTGTTCGTCTGCGAAGAAGTTGTCCTCGTCTAGAAGAAGTTGCTCGAGTTGATGTGTACTAGAAGTGGGAAAAGAAGAAGTGCTGGGAAAAGAAGAAGTAGAAGAAGTTTTGTCCGCGTCGATGTCCTCATCGTCCTTATTATACTCGTAGTTCTGATCAACGTACAATTCAAACCCTTCTTGTTCGTACAGCGCCTGGTCAAAAATGCCCTTTTGATACAATTCCTCAAACTCACATGGCGATGTGTTGTTCACTCGATTGTAGCTGCACATCACCGCACCAGCGCCAGCGGCAAGTGACTCCCTGAACGGTCTGGAATAGATTTCCATGGAGGCCTATGAAAGGACAAAGTGTAAGTACACTCATATTCTGAAATAAAAACAATAGGCACCTTCCTATTGTTTAGAACGCGCCTATTCTTTTGCATGATAGGAGTGCACTTTTTCCCGTCCTAAAGCCTGCTGAGGGACGTTAGCACTGTAAGACGGTGGAGGCGGCAGATTCGTAGCCAACGCTCCTTTGGTGATGCTTTTAAAGAGAGTGTGCGGAGTCGTCCATCCCTGCCACAGGGCTTGCCATAGACCGTTGAAAGTCGCAAGACCAGCTAGGGCTTGGGCGAGAGCGAAGGTGCTGATTAGAGATATCGATCAGAAATATCTTTTTCTTCTCAAGTAACAAAAGAAGCGGTCGTACGTGGTCAGGATGAATACCTTTTTCAAAAGGCAGTGAGATATTTCCCTAGAGCTAGAAGTTCTACGACATTTTCTTTTCCAAATATGCATAACACAAGAGACGCCGAAGGCGGAAAGATTTTGCTCACTTCCTCGATGAAGTTCGAGGACCTGGGCGCCAGGTAGTCCTTGTGCGTCACGATTCGGCCATCAGCGAACAGAGGATTCAGAGCGGACGTTGTATCCACTTCTTGATCGTTGTTCAGCCAGTGCTTGACCGTGACGACCAATTTGTGCTTGAAGCGCAGTTGTCGCACGAACTGCTTCGCCAATTCAGCACCTAAAATGGCATCTTCGCCAGGCAAAAACTCCCAATTGCGCGCGCCGTAAGGATCGCGGTGTACATTCAGCGCTGGACCGAGGAAGCAGTTGACACTTTTCCTGCGAAACTCTCCGCCAATGCTGTCCGCGACACGACCCACCAACCTCTTGTTCCACGTGGCGGCAAGCGCGAGAGCCCCTGGATACTGAGTGGTGCTGCCTTGCGGATTGCAAGCAGGGAAGCCATCGTCCTGTTCGGGCAGGGGTAATCCTTGGCTGTAGTAGCGCTCAAAAAGCACGCCGCAGAGGAAACTATGCGTTGTCGTCACTCCTTTGCCCGAGATCGGAAGTTAGAAGAGGAGAGAAAGGAATGTAGTAGTAAGAACGTAGTAGTACTTCATCTCTGACAGGCTAGAAGTATTTCATCTGTGAAGATCGGAAGTTAGAAGAACGTAGTAGTATTGAATACTCTGTGAAGATTTTTAAGGCTAGTAGAAGAAGAGGATAATTTCAAGTAATTTACTAAAAATGAAAAATCGCACAAACAGGTGATCTGATCGAACAAACAGGTGATCTGATCAAAAATAAACGATAATTTATCTAAAGAAGATATACGTCGAGATATCAACTACAATTACAAACCTCATAATATGACGCCTGCATAAATTTCCGTCACTTCAAAGTTAAACCAGCCAGTCTTCCACAATGGTGGAAAGACCCAACGCTTCATACTCGGTGTCGGCAACAATGTGTCCAAGTCCAGCAAGTTCTCCATCACGTGCATCCCTTGATTGGAGGTTACAGAATTACATTCCTCAGAATATCCCTGACTCATTTCCTACTGAAAAGTGCGAGTCGTGAAGGATGCGAGTCGTGAAGGATGCGAGTCGTGAAGGATGAGTAAGTGAAGGATGCGAGTCGTGAAGGATGTAAGTGAAGGATGCGAGTCGTGAAGGATGTAAGTGAAGGATGTAAGTGAAGGATGTAAGTGAAGGATGTAAGTGAAGGATGTAAGTGAAGGATGTAAGTGAAGGATGTAAGTGAAGGGAACCCTTAACCTGAGGGCCGTCGTTCGTGATCAGCGGTGGAATGCCTAGGCGCGGCACACCAGGCACAATACCGCTATATAGTCCAAAAGCTGGGATTCCATGAAGCATTGAGCGCTTCTCGTCGTTCGTCATCTGCGAGACGAGGAAGCTGGGAGAAAGCATTAGCTTGTCTTGTTCTTTTTAGAGCTCAAAACGTTTCATTTCTTGCCTGCATTTCTTCAGAATCCCAAGAAGGAAACTGCAAAAAATGGCTTGTAGAAATGAATTGTTTTGAGCCTTAATCTTTGGTTTTACTTTTAGCGCGGCTGTTGAAGAAGATCTCACGTTTTCCATTTTCGTATAATCTTCTGCGTTCGGCGGGATCTAGAATGAGGACTTTTTGGTACAAACTGCGAACGCCGTGCAGGTAGTGGTAGAACAGCGACAAGTAGAGTAGTAAGATCAATGCCACCAAACCTCCGCAACAACCAAGACAAGCGTTCAGACACAGGTTCTGCTTTTTCCGTGCTACTCGTCGCGATGGGGAAGTGGCTGTGCGAGCCCGCGTACGACCGTCAGGTGGAGAAGGCGGTGGAGACTTAATATCTCTTTCGCCCTTCTTCGTTGGCAACTTCGTCAATTCCACTTCATTATTCTTATTAACTGGACTGTTGGCGCAAGCCAACAAGGGTTCGCGGAGAACCTCCATCTTTTTGTTGCTGTTTCCTGGGGATGAAGGCTCAATCAAATGATAAATAGAAGTCGGCTAGTCAGATGAACTCAAGGAGGCGACAGGCTTTGAGCATCAATTTAAACCAATACTAGTTTGTATTTGAGAAAAACAACGAACACGATCGACAAAAATACTCAGTTTCGATCTTATTGTCGGCGAAAACCGTATCAGAAAAATGGATGCGGTTCGAAAATGATTTTTTACTCAATCCTAGAAGAGCGTATTTTCTTCAAAAGTAGTACATGAAGATCCCACCAAGGGGGGTGGTATCTAATCCTTTTTGCAGGCGCCAACCGAAGAGAACAAGGCCTTCAGATCTCTTCCCGTTAATCACCGAAAATGACTATCCGACTTTTCTACAACATGACTGTGTCACTTCAATCTCTTGTAGAGAAAAAAAATTCAGACATGCTCATGAAATCAAAGAACAAAACTATGAGGAGACCGACTTGTGGACTCGAACACTGTCGTCGAAAATGAGGCAACATCATTGGAACTTTCACTCTTCATCTTTTTCCTTGCGTCATGAGATCTTCTCCCAAGATGAACTATTTTCAAGTCAGATAAATTAGGTGCGTTGATGAATATTGCAATGTCGCGTGTGTCGTTTGAGGAAAGAAGTGTGGTCGCTAGGAGTATGATTTCAAAAAAGTTTCGTTAGATTTGGGCGTCGCCGTGTGAAGAGATATACATTAGAAGTACACAAAGAGGTGGAATCAGGGATTCACCTTGCTCCGATCATTGTCGGAAACAATTTTCATAATTGCTTGCGCAGATTGTACTTTTCCCCGTAATTTAACTAGAAGTAAAGGCTGCGTACAGTACTCGATGATCATCTTTTCTCAGCACCACCCCCAAGCCTCGGTGATGCCGGAGGCTGTAAGAATTTCTTCAGTGTCGTCTTCGCAAATTGAGTACTCTTAGCGGAAGGTTTCGTTTGCGGCCCATTGGCAGTATCTACATTCAATAAGTCCCGTACAAACGTCTGTCTTACGTTCGGACCCCTATACCACAGCATTGGCATTCCGGCTACTGCGTCTATGACTAGTAAACCGAAGAGCGGCAACATGGACTCCGCACCGGAGTTGGGATGTCCTGGACCGGTTGTTACTGAGCTCGTACTTGGTGTGGCAGATCCGGATGAGGCAAAAGGATTGCCACCTCCCAATGACACGCAATCAAAGCTTGAGTTCGTGTCTCCCGGATTCTGATTTTCTTGGTTCATCAGCTCCAAGTTGTTGTCTATGGCGGTCAGCCTGCTTCTTAGCTTCACCACAATCGCCATGATATCTCCGTGTAAAGAGCCAGGCACAGTTTCGTGTATCCCCAAAAACAAGGCACGCAGTAAAACAACACCAACACAGGTTGCCCCATAGCTTTTCTCTTGGTACTTTTGAAGGAGGGAGAGGTATGTATTAAGTGGAGCAGATGATGTTGACCCGCTTGTTGCATTTGTGCCCGTCACAGCGTCTTCCACTTTCGCTTCCAGCATCACCGAACTGAAAGATTCCGCAAACAACAAGGAGAGAAGCTGCACGGCAGGTAGATCTAGGACGCAGTCTAAGAAATGCAAGGCACATCTCAAAGGGTTTAGTTCCATGGCTGTTACGTGCTGCTGTCCCTGCTGTTCTAGTGGGTCTGTACTTTCTGCAGACTCTGCATGACTACACCCACTACCACTAGAAGCTAGCAAAGCCAAAACGAAAGTGAGTGCTTGCAGAAGGAAAGCGGTGTTTTGACCTGCGCCGACGCTTAAAGCTGTTGTACACGCTTCGATTAATCGTTGGGCCGGAACCACAGTATTGGTTGAGGAAGATGACGATGATGCCAACGCTGATGACCCCGACGAGGATGAACTACTACTACTGCTGCTCCCACTCAAGGTGGTCGTCAACAGACCAATATTATTGCCAAGAACAGTAGAACTAGAAGAAGAACCTCCATTATTATTAACGCCGTTTCGAATCCTTGAGGTACTGCAACCTTCCAACACTTGTTCCATCCAGGTTCCTCTCTGATTTAGTGGTATGCTTTGGAAGTTCGCAGGTAGCTCTCCAACGCAAGCCAAAACGGCGGAACAAAACTCCACAAAGATTTCATCAGGCGAAAAACCTCCATTAGCTACTAGGCGCAAATGCTGTTTTGCCGCTTCAAGGGCCACTGCAGCTGGTGGTTGCGTTTTTGCTGGACAAGAGTTAGAAGTTGTACTAGAAGAAGACCCTCCCGAGCCTGAAGCTGAAACCACAGACGCTACTAACCCTCGTATCTGTGCGCTCAACGGCAAAGTGTCGAAAAGTCGGGCGCCTCCTTGTACGGACAGAGCTTCATGGGCTAATCTCGCAATGTAATCTCGACTGATCGTCCTTGTTCTTGGAGTTGGCGAAAGGAGTGTGAAGCATCTTCCCGTGATCAAATGCAAGCGTGCAGTTCCGCTGCCACTACTAGATTGCTGAGAAATCGACGAGGGGAGCATTCCTCTCTTAGCGGTTTCGCCACTTCCTCCAGAAGTATTATGTCCTCCACCTGCTCCAGCACTGCCGAAATAAACTGTAACGTCAAACAGCACACTCAATTTCCTCCCAACGTCGTGACGAAATTCCGTGAAAGTAGCGCGCAACAAGTGCGTCAACAATTCCGACAAGAATTGCTCTGCACCCGTACGTTTTGCTGCTACCACGGTTGTCCCCGGTGCCGCAAGCCCTTCTAAAGTACCCAACACCAGCCCCTCATCCACATACTCCTTGTTGTCCCGACACTGACGCATCAAGATCGACACTAGTTGCAACGCAGTGTCAGCGAACCACAACCCGCCACTAGGCTTCGAAGCCACTGCCAATTCCCGAGCCAAAGGCAAAGCTAGACTGACCAACAAAGGCGTTTCCCCAATCGTTTGCAAGAATCTGCCAAACGCAGGGGAACATTGACACCAGAACTGCGATTGCATTTCGGTACTGGGTGAAAGCATCCTTACCAAGAACGTTTGGGCAAAGGTTCGCAAGACCATTTTGGTGTTTTCCAACACCCGTGCAGCCGCTCCTTCTGGCAGTTGTTGCGGCAATAAGTAGACTCGTCTGAGACCCTTCATGGGATTCATCGCGCTTGATGTTACCGCTTCACTATTCCCGCTACAGGTTGATGGCGAACTACGGCTTCCAGATCCGCCCACTAAGGGAAGTAACAAACCGTGCCTCACCAACACTGCCATGTGCGAGAGCAGGTTTGACGCCAACGAGACTTGTTGTTTTGACGAAGGTTGTATCGACGCAACTCCACTCTCCGCTACGGTTCCTAGTGCTCGTAGTATCTTTCCAAGATGTTCATGTGGCTGTAAAAGCATCGGCGCAACTTCCAGTGAACCGTAAGTGCACAAAGAAGCGAGCATTTCACCCAGAATATCTGCTGTCCTGGCTGGAAAAAGAGCGGACTGCAACTGGTCGGATGTCGTTATTGAAAACGAAAACGCTCTTTCAATATAATCCAATGCCCACAGAACCAAAAACCACCTGCTCTCCTGGTCACCCACCATATGCGCAGGACCCACTTCCAAGCTTTTCGCGCACTTTAGCAATAGAACCGCTCCAACGTGATCTTGTCTGCTCCTGAAATTGAGCAGTTTTTCTGGCGAGAGCACTGTTTGCCGCAAAAAAGTGTCGGGGTCTGCAAACATAGAAGATGGAAGCCCACAGCCACGAACTGTCGCACTGTCCTGTTGCGCCGCACTTTCCCTTGTCGAGGATGACGCTCTACTTTGAGCACCTGATAGTCTTGCCCACCGAGCTGGTGCGAACCTACAATCTTCCACCGCATGCACGTAATTCTCCTTCAATGCTTGTAGTGCTTCTTGTGAGCTGAGGAGTGTTGCTGAAGCCTGTGGAGCATCCGAAAACGATTCCGGATGCACCTCCAAAGAAAAAACGCAAAGCCTGAACAACGCGCGCATCAACTGAGGGTCGCTTTCTTCCGCTAGCAGAGGTAAGTAAGCGGAACAGAGGCGTAGGAAGGATGCGCACAATAAGCGGGATTGCCAGAGGCTTGCGCGGATAGTACTACTACTACTACTACTATTCTGAAGATTTATTTGGCCAACACTATTTGAATTCTGGTTTTCCAAACCAATTCCCAACAAACACGCTTTGAACATCTGCACCAAGCTTTGCGAAACCAGCGGTAGGTGTAAGCCCTGGATGTTACGACTCAGAGATGTTAACAGCGCAAATACTTCGTCTAGCTCTGCTGTTGTTTCTAGATCCAGTGTTGAAGTGTTTCTGTTTGTGGGGGACGATGATAAGATTCGCGAAACCTTTTGCAGGCTCTCCTCCACAACAAAAGCAGCTTCTTCACTCGTCGACACCAACTCCCGAATCGCATCCGCAAGTGTTTCCCTATACGCGATAAACTCATCTAGTTCCTCCTCATTATTCATGGGGCATGAAGGTGATGAGACTGCTGTAGTTCCTGTTGTTTGTTGTGCCGAACCTAAGGGAGCTGAGGAAAACATTTCCACGGTACTGAGCTTCGCAAAACTTCTACATCTCGGCAAGATTTGTTCTGCGCCACAATTCGCCGGAAATTGTCCACCCCGTGCTCGTTTTACGGTAGCAAAAGCGGGTAAGGCCAGTCCACACAATGCTCTAGTGTGCAAAGCAGGCACTACTTTCTGCATTACATTCACCGCGACGTCGTCCGCACTGGCACCAAATGCTGTTAAAACCGTCAACAGTAGCCGTAGCCTCAAAAATTGGGTCTTCGGAGTTACATGTCGTTGTTCGATTTGTTCTAGCAATTTTTCCAGACAAGCACGGGCATTAGCGTCAGTGGCCAGTGGTAAGGAGACGACCTTCTGAACAATGGCTTCGAGGAAAGATGTAGCAGTTTCACTGTCAGGAAGTCGTGCTGCACCTTCGAGAAGCGCACTCAGGGGCGCATTCACTATTGTCGAGGCGTTGCCGATTAAAACCTGTTAAATTTTGGCAACAGCTGTATTTTAATACACGAAAAAAAATGTAAAAGCGAATCCTCGTTGTATGTACCGCAGGCTCGTCAAATACACTAATATTACCTACTTCTAGTAAAGCTGTACCCATCCCGTCGCTGCTTCCAACACAGTTTCTATCGGGATCTGCGCAGATTGCATCAATCTTTCCAACGTCGCCAACACTTGCGGGGCTCGCTCACACACCGGTTTCAAAAGTCGTGCTTTCAACTTGACGACTTTGCATTCTCTTAGTTCGATCACAAACGCCTCCAACACATGTAACGCACACACGGATCCGCTTTGTGCGAGTTCGCTTACTAGAGAATCCAAAGGGGCTTGCCCTTGGTGGATAAAGCATTGCGCGATGGCACAGGCTAGACAGCGGATCACGGGTCGGTGGTTCCCAAAGTCCGGTGCCATTTCTAGTAAGGCAGGTAAGTGCGCAGTCGGTGCGAATTTTCTAGCGCTATTTTTCAGAGCGGTTGCCACCGTCGCGGCTGCTGCCATACTGCCAGATATTGTGCCGAGCCATGTTGATGTTGTTGAGGACGTGTTACTATTACCACCGACTACCTTCCTCAACCGGTCTAACGCGCATAAACAAGCGGGAGTAAGGTCCTCGGACGACTCGAGCCATTGTCGGATCCACAGGTCTGCGCCCTGTCGTTGCGTTGGATTGCTCTCAGGTCCATGAAGAAAAAAAATCTGCGTAAGCAACGCATCAGCTTCTTCAACAGAGGATAGGTGCGGACCTCCAACAAAGCTTTGGGTAGTTGTACCCTCCATTTTCTTGCCACTGCGAGTATGTAATAGCAATTTTTACAACCGCGACAACAGTGAGGTGGTCTTAATCATTCGCAACATTGGCAGGCTGATTTACATTCATCATCTCCATGCGTTTTTTACGAATCAGGATAATATCTTCAAATGTCTCCTACATTTTTGTCCAATACTTCTAAGAGTCACTAACGACCTCCGTGTCTTGATCCCGTTTCGTCTGGGGTATTTTAGTGTGCTGAAAAAAGAATCATGCCTGAGAAATTTCCTTGTTGTAAGGTAGCACCCGTACTATCACAAGTATTGGTGTTTCAAAATTCTCTGGACACCAACTTGAACTTCTCTTGTCTAGATGGCAGATCTTTCATTTTTTCTTTTAGTACCGAGAAGGAAAGAACTTCTTGATTGCAGTAGGTTTTTTTCAGAAGGCAGGAGACGCTTTGCCACTAAACGATAAAAGAACTTTAACCTTGTGACCTTTTCAAGCCTATTACAGCAAGATGATTCTCTATATCATCGCATTGCTAATTGTGAAGATCTTTATGATGTTATGCTCGTCGCCAGTAACAACCTCAACTGCGATGTGTCCTCAATGTGATCTCTATGTTTCCTCTTCAACATGTTATGCTCCATGTAACTGTGTACCTGACCGATGCTTCTCGTCACGGTTCTAAGGCATGATCCTTAACGTGCCTTTCGTCGCCTCTGGGGATCTACGGTAATCGCTTTTTCATCATTGTGAACCCCCCTACAATTTTACTGAAATGATCTTAGAAGTATAAAATCCCTGCACCGATGAATTGAAATTTTCAACAAAGAACTAGTGGGGCCTTTGGAGACAACAGGGCCGCAGGCCTCGCTGCTTTCTTTTTCAAACACTAACGAGCATGCGGGCTGTGGTACAAGATCCTGGCCCCGCGGATCGAAAGGAGAAGGGCCTCTGGGCGCGCGCAGGTACCCGGCGCGGCCGGGGAACCCGGCGGGCGGAAGATGCAAGCATCGGCGCCAAGATGCCGTGAGAATGGGGAAAGGCCTCACCCCGCCGATCCCCCGCAAGCGCGCCCCCCGCTCCGGAGCGCACGCCGGGGACGGGCGCCCGAAAAAAAGAAAGAACGGGCGGGGGGAACTAGTAGCCGCGGCGCGATGCGGGGAATGTAGAAGCAGGGCGGGCGGCGGGGGCCGCCGGCCGCGCCTGCTCACGCCGGTGCGGCCGGCTGGGCCCGGTAAGGCTGCGACCCCCCTCTACAGCGGCCGACGGGACCAAAGGCGTCGCGCCTTCGATCGGGGGCTGAAAGAGTCCCGACCAAGTTCCGCACTGTCCCTATTTTTCTCAACTTTTGCCGTGTGGAGTCGCAAAAAGCCCCGGCTTTGGTGGTTGTTGCGCCACGCCTAAAGGGCGGCAGCGGGCCACGCGCGTCGCGCTGAGGCATGGAAAGCCGTCGCGGGCCGCGGAAGCGCGCGGGGGGCTTCCCTCCAGTGCCACGCGCTTTGCACGATTACAGCGCAGAAGCCCGCCGGAGTCCCGGGCCTTTGGAGAGAAAGCAAGCGGAAGGCGGTCCGCGTGTGTCGTCGGCTAATCGCGGACCGGCTGCGGGGTTTGGAGCACGAGGCCCGCACCGGGCCAGACGGTCCGGCCGCGTGGGCATTCCCTTCAAAGCCGCGTGCTTTTGCATGCTTACAGCGCAGAAGCCCGCAAGGGCCCCGAAATTTTGGGGAGAAAGCAAGCGGAAGGCGGTCCGCGTGTTTCGTCGGCCTATCGCGTACCGGCTGCCAGGTGTAGAGCACGAGGCCCGCAACCGGGCCAGACGACCCAGACGCGTGGGCCCTCCCTTCAAAGCCGCGCGCTTTTGCACGTTTACAACGCAGGAGCCCGCAGAAGTCCCGGGCTTTCGGGGAGAGGGCGAGCGGGGTGCGGTCTGCGTGTGTCGTCGACTCATCGCGGACCGGCTGCAAGGTTTGGAGCACGAGGCCCGCAACCGGGCCGGACGGTCCGGCCGCGTGGGCCTTCCCCTGAAGGCCGCGCCCTTTTGCACGGTTGCAGCGCAGAAGCCTGCGAAAGTCCGGGCCCTTCGGGAGGAAGCAAGGGGAAGGCGGTCCGCGTGTGTCTTCGGGGGAAGGGTCGGAAACCTAGTGCGGGCCGGTGGATTCACGGGGGTCGGAAAAGCCTGCGAAGGCCGGTGGGGTTTTTGGCACTTTCTCGGTCTTGCCCTCCTCAGCCCCCGAGGACCAACCGGCAACCGGCGCGAGGGTTTCGCCGCCGTCGCCGACTTATCGCGACCCGGCTGCCAAGCTCTAGGACCATGGAGCCAGCGGGCGCGCGGGCGTGGTCTCTCTTGCTCCTAGCTACGGGGCCGCAACTTACCACGCGCCCAGCCTGGAAACCCTTCAAAAGGCTTGGAAACCCTTCGGAAGTCGGGGCTTTTAGGTCGCGGCAAGCAAGGGAGCGGAGCCCAGTGGGCTCCCTACTGATTTCCCCAAGCGTCTATTTGGTCATCGCGCTGGATACTCGAACGGGTGGAATCTAGTGCGGGTCTCCAGCCTAACGCGATCAGACTCCGCAAACGCAAAATGAACGCACTCCCCGGCAGGTTTTCCGTAGGCCGTTAAAGAGGGCGATCGCGGTCCTACGGCTGGGCCCGTGCGCATGGCGGCGCGGAGGATCACGCCACCACGGACGCGCAGACGCAGGCGCCTGCGTGGAGACGCGAGCGGCGACACAGGGGCGCGAGTGGCGGCGCGGAGGCGCGGACGATAGAGCGGGGGCGCGGGCGGTAAAGCGAAAGCGCGCGCAACTGCGCGGAAACGCGGGCACCTGCGCGGAAACGCGAGGAATAACACAGAAGCGCGGGCGCCAAATGCGCAGCCTGGGCTGCAGCACAGAGCCGAGCAAGGGTCTGGCTTGGGTCGCCCTCTATAGGGGCCTACGGAAAACTAATGGAAGGAGGTGGCCAGCCTTTTCCCCATTAGTTTCCCGCGGCGTTTCGGCTTTCTCGCTTCTATTCAGCTTAGGGAACTAGAAGGCCGCGGGCTTGGCAATGGTTGCCGACCCTGCTAGGCCGCCCAGCGCTGCGCGTCTGTTGTCGACTTATCGCGGGCCGGCTGCTAGACAGCCCCGCGCTCCGCGTGTTATCGACTCGGCCCGGGCCGGCTGCTAGGCAGCTCCGCGCCGCGCGTCTCTTATCGACTTATCGCGGGCCGGCTGCTAGGCAGCTCCGCGCCACGCGTCTGTTGTCGACTTATCGCGGCCAGGAGATCCGGCAGCCAGGCCTCTTAAGGGGATCACCTTCCAAACTCGAAGAAAGTCGCACTTTTCAGCGAATTGCGAGGGCTGCGCGCCACCCAGTGGCGGGGGCAGGGCCTCGGGAACCGGTTTCGCGACAGGCAAACAAACGCGCGCGCGGTCGCGAGCAGTCTGCCAGG